TCTGATTGATCGTTTCTCACGCGCTCAGACTGCTCTGGGCGTTTACCTTTCTTACTCTTGGTGGCTTCATAGCCTTCAGTTACGACCTGACGAGCGTCAAGTTTAGCTCCTGAGCTTCTCAAGGTGTGTGTTCCGGACATTTTCATGTACCCGTTAGTTGGTTTCAATAGTATACGGCGTGTTCAAAAAAAGTGTAATAAGTGTATATGTAGCGTAGCTTATGTAAAGCTATGCTACGACGCGACTGAACAGAACCGAGTGATATTGAGCAAAAGGACGACGGATACATGAGCTCTCGTAGGTAGTTTATATGTCGTTCGCTCGGAATATAGTTCTACGGGCGCCATATGGTTATACGGCGCCCTCTCAGTTGTAGTGATTAACCGCGTCCAATGGGACGCGGTAGTTACTTAATTCATCATGCCGCGGCGGCGGCTTACAAAGCGTATCAACGGTAATATAATACTACCGTTACACCGTTGGACGAGCGAAGCGAAGTCGACTGAATATATTCGTATTTTCCGTGCATTTTCGGGGACATCCCGAAACTCCCACGGTCCGACTGCAGCATCTCCTCCTCTCGCCCAAAAGACTAGTGGACGTCGTCCGGCTCGACGTTCTCTACCAAACCGACTCGGTATGTCCCAGCTATGCTGCTCTCGTGGATTCCATGCGGAAGGATGAGCCGAATCGTGACTGCTTGGGATGGATGCGGTCTCTACAAGCTGGATGCTGACCGCAAGCTTAGGTCCCTCCAAGATGGCGTCAAAACTCCCGTCCGTCCTCAGCGCGACTGAGGAGGACATCACTATGCTCCTGGCTGCCCAATGCCACATCGGGACCAAGAACTGCGATAAGCAGATGCTGCCCTACGTTTGGAAGCGGAGAGCCGACGGTCAGCATCTATTATACTGCCATTTTTACATCCCCAGACGGTGTAATCGCCAGGTATCCACATTCTCAACATCGGCAAGACCTGGGAGAAGATCGTTCTCGCTGCCCGTATCATCGCAACGATTGACAACCCGAACGACGTTTGCGTTATCTCCGCCCGCCCCTACGGCCACCGTGCCGTCCTCAAGTTCGCCGCCAACACCGGCGCGCAGGCGATCGCCGGCCGCTTCACCCCCGGTTCTTTCACCAACTACATCACCCGCTCCTTCAAGGAGCCGCGCCTGATCATCGTTACCGACCCGCGCGTTGACCACCAGGCCATCCGTGAAGCGTCCTACGTCAACATCCCCGTCATCGCCTTCGCCGACACCGACGCGCCCCTCAAGTTCGTTGATGTTGCGATCCCGACTAACAACAAGGCCCGCCACTCGATCGGTCTTGTCTGGTGGCTGCTTGCCCGTGAGGTGCTCCGTCTCCGCGGCACCATTCCCCGCACTACCGATGGCTGGAACGTCATGGTCGACATGTTCTTCTACCGCGACCCGGAGGAAATCGAGAAGCAGCAGAACGAGGAGGCCGAAGCGAAGGCTCTCGCCGCCGCCGCTGAAGCGGAGCCCGCCGCTGCCGAGTGGGACGTTGCCACCGCTCCCCAAGCCGGTGTTGCTGGTCTCGCCCAGGAGGGTGGTGCGTGCTTTCCCTTTGCAAATGTGCGCTATCGTCTCATTCCTGGGCAGCCCTCGACTGGGCGGCAGAGCCCACTGTACCGGGTGCGACCGACTGGGCTGCGGAACCCGCTGCCGGCTCTTGGGGCGATGCTCCCGCTCCTCAAACAACTGGATGGGATTAAGCGGTTTGTGGTGTCGGTGGGCCGAGATCAGCAAGTTACTCGTGGCCGTATTATCCTTTCATGTTCATTGCTGCATAAAACTATGACCATGCCTCTTATGCCACGAGAAAGTACCAAGGACCGATTACATTTAGCATTCAAGTATGATACTAGGTGAGCCAAGAAAGTATCGGAGCCGCTGCTGGATCAGGATCTGGATGCCGGAACCCACGTTACCTCGTCCTCCGTCTTCTCCTCCACCGGCGTCTCCGTGCCGCTAGATACCGCGGCTGCCCAGTCGCCCTGGATCCCGCTCTCCAGTCCTTGGACCTTAGCGCCTTTCTTGCGCAAAAACGCAACCACCTCCTTCGCGCGCCTGTACCCGATCTCGGTCGGTCCATCTGGCATGGGCAGCCGCAAAGCGTCATCCGGCAAGCCCGGAGGCGGGGGTAGGTTCTCCACGCGACCGTTGTAGATGCGCGCGAGGTGCGGCGCAGCGTGGACCCAGCCGTCCTCGCGGCGCTCGAGCTGAGCGAAGAAGGACGCAAGCGCATGTGTTGCTTGAGCTCGTGCACGGAGGACATGTCGTATGAGGCGCCGAGTTGGAGGTCGGCGGCGTCGGCGACCTTTGTCTTCGTTGCCACCCTTGGCGGTTCCAGAAGACGGGGCGGGGGAGGCGGAGGCGGATCCGGGCGCCGGCGAGGCCGCGGGGCTGGGGACGGACGCCTTCGGTTCCCTGTTCCGGTCGATCCAAGGGTTCTCTGGCGGAGTGAGGGGGCTTGTATATTGCGAGAGGGCGGAGATCGAGAGGTCCCACTTTCTGGGGACCCAAATGCCGACAAGGACGCGCCAGGTCGTGAGGAGGCGCTTGGCGTGCTCGTAGTTATCTGCATGAGGAAGTCAATACATAGTATGGAAAATGGGGGTTAGGGGGTTGCTGACCGTTGATCATCCGGTTGTGGTACATTCCGAATAGGTAGAGAATCCCCGCCGATACGATGGCGCCGATGGGACTATACCACAGCATCGCCCACAAAAATACAAATGCCGCGGGGTAAATCAGCATCACGAACAGCAGCCCGAAGACGACTTTGTTCTGAGCTTGCGTTTCTTCTTCGTCCTCGACAAGCTTAGCGCCGTAGCGAGCCATGGCGTACACCGGCGCGTGGACGATGAGGGGGACGATGAAGAAGGGAAGGTGCAGGATGGAGATGAAAGATGAGGAGAGGAGCGTGAGCAAAGTATACAGGCGGGAGGAGAGGGGCACAGTGGATCGAGGGTTGAGGGTTGAGGGAAGGGGAAGGGTGGAGAGTGTCGAGTGCGTGAGATGGGTGGAGTGGAGGAGGGAATAGTATTCGAGGAGGTTGCGTCGGACGGAGACGAGGTTGTTTGTTGCATCGGGGGTGGAGAAGAGGTCGACGAGTCTACGCATGCGTCAGTGGCCTGCCCACTTCCTGGTTGGTAGTACGTGAGCTTACGTCTGAGAAATTGTGACGAAGTCATCGAGTGGTATGGATCGCTCCTCCGGCCAAAGCATATCGCGCGCCATGCGAGCGGCGTATAGCGTTTCCCTGATAAAAATGTGTTAGTACATCGCACCTGCTAATGCTAGGTATGCGGAGCATACCAGTCGGGGGCGTTCACAGTGTTCTGGACGAGAGATGTGTATATCGCCGATGTCAGCTTCTTGACCGCGAGCCGGGCGGCTCCTTCGCCACCTGAGATAAACTCCGGGAGGAAGTCGTTAACCTTTATCGGATTGGCGAACTCCATGATAACCTGTTGAGTTCGAATCGTCCAAACAAAGTCAGGACGGAGAATGTGTGGTGGTCAGAGTTGCTTACATCGCTCCGGTATTTGGGCTTGTTAGTATACACAATTGCCGCGGGTACGATAACGAGGTCCTTGTCTTTGGCCACGGGACCGACCTTCGATGGGTTCTCCTGAGCCCATTTCGCATATTCAAGAGCAGCCCAGGACGCGCCATCTTTGATCTAGTGCAACACATGTCGGTTATCGGTCGTCGGATGAGCGAGCTGTCAGGAAAAGCCGTACCTGCATTATCTTGGGCTCGGTGTAGGATGTGCCTTCGGGAAACAACGCGACGGCCCACCCCTGAGCCAGCGCGTCGAAGGTGCCGCGGAAGAGGATTTGCCGGTCTTTCGACTTGCGCTCCACTGGGATGTTACCGGTGCTAAGGAGGACGTATTTCAAGACCGGATTGGCGAACAATGATGCTAGAAAGCGAGAGGGGGGAATCTTCAGCTCGAAATCCCGACAAAAAATCAGTTTGGGAATGGTACCTTTGGACCAGTAGTTCATTACGCGCCCATACGGGAATGCGCTTGCTGAAAGACGGTAAGGCCATGGAACGTGCGTAGAACGTGTACTACGCACATAGTACCGCAGGATCAAGCATCATATTGTGATGTGTCGCAGTTCTGCATAAGGGAACGCCTGTCAACAACACTCGGATAAACGCATCCTGCAGTGGAGCACGCACACAATCATCGGTCCCTCTTTGGGTACATTCTCCTCGCCAATGACATGGACACGACTGAAGAACGAAACGACCGCGTAGCTCGCAATCTTCCGTAGTACGCGGTGCAGGGGCTTGTTGTCCACCAAAGCGTCTGGCATACTTGATTTTGCCAGCAATGCCCGATTCGACGAGAAAATGTGGTAGGCGGTCCTGAGCTGCCCCGAAGGGAAATAACCACGGGAAAGAGTTGGGGATTGCAACACGGTACTTATTGCCCCCAGAACACGAGGGCAGCAAGGACAGCGTCAGAGGACGGTTCAAAGCGATCGAGAGCGGTGCGGCGTCGAGGCGTGCAGCCACACCGCGCGACGCCGCCACACATGGCGAACGTGGCGGCACTGGCGAACAGCGCATCCTCTACACCTTCCACAGCCTCACCTGCCTCCCCTTCTCCGGCACTAGGACGACTGACTGAAGACGCTCTTTGCGCTTTGATAGCAGAAGAATTGGACCTGAGCAAGCCATACTTGGAACCCGTCATGCATAGCGTCTACGCGAGGATCAACAATGTCTCTACGTATCTGTCGAGCTGTCTGCTCGCGCTGCTGGGCGCTATAGCCCTTTCAAGCTTTGTATTCACCGCTCAGCCAAGCGGGAATGTCACCATCGCGAATCTGCGAGTGTGAGTGCCTCTGGCCTGGTTTTGCGCCTCTTCTCCTCCCAGCTTCTTTGATACTCGACCTTCGCTGTATATATGCTCTATTCGATGCGCATATCCTGACATCTTCACTGACTCTGCGCCCTCTCCTTCTAGATTTCCCGGCAACTCTCCTCGATACCGCGTCAAAAACCAGGAATTCACGTTCGTCAACTTCAATGTCACCGCAGGTATGATCACCTTGCGCATATACTGGTATAATATATGCGACCGAACCTCCATTTGCGTAGATTTGACTCCTCTATTCCATTGGAACACGAAGCAACTCTTCATATACGTGCAGGCCGAATATACGAGCGCGAAAGGGGTGAGTCGAGTACCTTGGCTGCCTGGCCTGTTTCTGGTCCTACCCTCCTTTGGCTGCGACCACTTTTATTTATACCTTCAGTCTTCCTTCTGGCGGAACATCTTTGCTCGCCCTTCATCTTCGCATGGCTGGTGACGATTGGCCAGGGCACTCGTTCTCTTGCGACCGGAACAGATCCAAGCTTCATCGCTGCTCGCTCTGCTCCATATGTTATCAAAGTTCATTCCATTCTCGTTCATTGCGGTCTGCGACGCGCTTTTCAAGAGCGTGAGGCTCTATGGGTAGCCTTGCATCTGCCACGCTTGTTATCCTATCCATTCGACGTTGCCTCTCTCCGAGGGTGCAATACGAAATGGGATGGCCGGCCTAATCCCGATGCTATCCCGTTACGAAGTAGCTATGTGGCTTCTCCCGCACCCCGAGGTTTACGCTCTTTCCTTGGCGCCTTCCGGTGTACCTGTGTTACGTTGGCTCTGCTCAGGGCGGGTGCATACGCCCTTGGTTTTTGGCTTGAGCAGCTTCACCGCTTTGGGCGTCTGCTTTCATTCCGATTTCATGATGGATTATCGCACGAAGCCTATTATGGATCATCGACGATGATCAGTGACGTCGCGGTTCACTTCCCGTTGATGCTGTGGGGCGATGAGCAGCTGTGCGGACCAACGCCTCCGGAACTGCGCGCTCCGGAGGGCCCCTCCTCGGTTGACGCTGCGCCATACAGTCCTTTTGTATTGCCCTTTGCTTCATTTTCTCTTCAATTGTCCGTCTCGCCATGTTCCACGCCTCCAATTCAACCGCATAATCTCGCTCGCCCGTGCCTAACCGCTGGATGCTCGTGCATTTTCTACTGTTTGGTTCTGATGAAAGTCCGCGTTCGTATTCCTGGCTCACGGACGCGCTCCCACCTTGTGTCTGGCGTGTCGGTCGCTTTCGCGTATGGCGCCTGACGTCGCTTCCCTCTTCCGGCGGGTCGCATGACTCCCCTTTGCCTCCGTTCTCGTATCGTGCGTCGGGGCAAAGTGGATGGCGCTTCTATTTGATCCGTACCAGATGACCCGACCCCACTTAGGCGGCCTTGTTTCTCTACTTAGCTTTATTGAGCGCAAACGACGGGAATTTTCGGGATCAGCCAGTCTTTACTGATGGTTATCGCCTCGTTTATCTTGTTCTGGTTTACGTTTCATGCGGGATCGTCCGCAAGGGGCTTCCTGGCGTGCTTCCATGGCGCATTGGCTGTGTTTTCGATTCCTTGTGCATCGCACGTATCTCCCTTCTTTCGGGTTTGTACCCCCTGACTTTCCGGGTGGTGATTGCGCGTTGAACACCTGTCGAGCCCATCCTTCTTTAGCCTGCATGTTCAGGTTCTCGTCACTTTTCAGATTCCCGGCCTGGCGTTTATTCACGTCGTCGCTTAGCCCATCCCATGATGCATTTTTGACTCCACGATTTATTGCTTGTCGTGATGACCCTGCACGCTCGCATTGTATCTCCGAATCGCCCTATGTTCCGTATTCCTCGGCTGACCCACGAGCTGAACTCGCTCGTCTCGCATCCCACCACCTTGCTACCTCGTTGCTGTTGTTGTTATCCTTGTTTCCAGAGAGCTGGGTGCATCTGCCTTTGTTATCTCTCCATCACCCCTCGATATTTTTGCGTATATGCTCACGCTTGTCGATCTGATCTCCAGGTGCAGAACGAGATCGTCATCTGGGACCGCATCGTCCGTCGTAAAGAAGACGCGGTCGTGAACGTTGCCGGGCGGAACAAATACGTGTTCCGCGACCTGTCGCGGACGTTCAGGTGAGTCCGCGTCTCATCTATTCATCTTATCCTTTAAGTCCCGATTACTCTTTCCTGGTGCCGGCTGGCTTGGCTTCTGTCCTCTGCGCTGCGCTTTGTGTTTCGGGCTCGGGAGAACCTGTGCCTCGTTGGGCGCAATCCATTGCTTGTTCGACGCTGCGTCAGCTCGCCCCTCGGTTCTTGCCGATGGCAAATGGCCTTGATCTGCAGTAGCGGGTCAGCAGGGACTGTGACCAGCCGTTCCTCCTCGTCCGGATCATCGAATTATCAGATGACACTTCCGCGCGCTTGCACACTTTCGGACGATTGCATCTTCCTACTTCCAGGGTCGCCCGTTATGGCCGCACATAACTGCACCCTTATGGACACGGTCGACGTATCTCTGGCTACACGGTTTCTCCCTCGCATTATCGCGCCTTGAGCAGCCCTGATTGCTTGCGACAGCCATGCTTCATTATTGCTGCAGTTGGCAAACCTATTTTCCCACTTGTTCTCAGAGGCGTGTGCGAAGGCGTGTCCCATCGGTGTCGCAGCCATATACCACCTCATGCCCTTCCCTGTCGCATTTGTTGTCTTGGCGTCTGCTCGTCACGTCCCTGCGCCTTCCGTGGCGCTTTTTTGCTTTCCTATGGCTCGAGTCAGATGCCCTTCTTTTCTGGTATATTGACTTTCGCCTTTCTTCTATCCCTCGTTCGTGACCATCCGCGTTGCCTAGACGCTTTGCAGCTGCTCCCACGCGGCTATTCCCACTTCCATAGTTGTCTTTTCTGATCTCAACGCGTTCTCCCGAACCACGGCCCGTCATGCCTTGTCCCATTCAAGGTAGTTCGTCGCAGCAGGGCGTTATCGGCTTCCGATCCCGTCCTAGCACAGCGATGCACATGCTACTCATCTGCCCTATGCGTTGCGCAATTTGACTCGGTGCGCCTTTAGACTATGCTCCTTGGTCGTTGGGCATCTCATGTTCATCGCCCACGATCAAGCTATCTGGCCCTTATCCGATTCCGCCCGCCGGCCAGAACTGGGTTCTGCTCTCACATTCATTTCGCCTGTCGCGCGAGCTTGTGCTTTGCATGCTTCTGGCACGGCTCCATTGATTGTCTTTGCCACTAATCCTCTACGGCTTGTCGACGTGTTGTCGCAGCCCTTTGTGAACGCGGCGAGGGCTTCGAGGCGTTCTGCGTTTCTCCGGACGTTTCTTTTCCCATTGATTTTCTCTGTTTGTTTCGAGCTTCGCGGGAGATCGTCATGCAGTCGCTGTGTCTCCGCGGGATCGCTGCACCAGACGTCATCGCTCAGCCGATGTTGCGTTCCACATTTCGGCGGTGATGCAAGCATCGCCGGATGTTTTACCGAAACTCTGCGCCGGCTCAGCGACCTCGCGTAGCATTGAGCATTGCTGGTTGCCGGCTTCCTCCTTGGGTTGTCCTTTCTCCGGCGGTCGAGAACGACATGACCACTGCAGTAAAGCGCCGACACTTCGCTTACTGCGCATCTTGTCCCAACGTCGAGCCGCCGCCTTCCATATTTGGCCTACTTGCCTTCCGCATTTGTTCACCGCGCCCTCCCCCTTCTCCAACATTGTAGGAATAACGATGCTCACGCTTCTCGTCGTCTTTTAGGGGCGTTGAGCCGGCTCACTACTCGCTCAAGTACAACCTGATGCCGTACGTGGGTGCTCTGACATACGGCGAGGTCGCGCGCACGAACGAGAGCGTGCCTTTCCCTGATGCGCAGGAACTCGTGTAATATCTCCATCGTTGTGACGCTACCGTTGGTTCAAAATGGGATGGGTTTGTCTTTTCCATGTGATACAGGGTTTCTCAGGTCGACATCGTAAATCTGCAACTTGGCAAGACTCGAAGAACCGCAGCAATCGCGTACGTACAGAGTTCTGATGACTCGTCAACGCCTTGCACATGACCTTCGGCCTTGTCTTGCTGCATGAATACAACCGCACCGGTGATGTATCTCAACAGGCTGAGCTTCCCTGCTGATCATGACGCCCCGGAGCTACATGCGCCTCGCCTGAGCAGCAAATGCCGTAATGTGCTCGCGCATGATGATCTTCGTTCACCCTGTCGGAGCTCGCCTTCGGAGCGGTGGTTACGCGATCTTAGGACCTTCGGCGCTCCGCGAGTTGCCCCCGCACATGGAACCCAATCATATCGATGTCGCAATCGGAATCAGAATGTCTTTCTCTTTCGGTGTCGCCACAACTCGTGAGCATGACACGATGGTATCGCCAGGACGTCCGGGTTCACCTCGATTGGGAAGTGCGGTGCGGTGCACGACGGCTGCGCCGACAAACCCTCCCTTCCGGCGATCGATGCCTTTTCTCCTGCGTGGACCGTCGAAATGCGCACGAGAGATGCACATGAAGCAGGAAGACAAGGGGTGATCGTACGCGAAATGTTGCCGACCGTCGGGTTGAGGGTTCGCGCCCCTTCTCCAGCGATCGTACTCTCGGTCCTGGGAATGATCCGCCCCGGTATGCCGACCCAACGCTGCCGTCGATCGGTCGACGTACGTACGCGAGTCCGTTGCAGTTTTTCTCTTTCGTGGTATGCACGTGTCTGTTCTGGGGGCGCTTTACCCGCCGGACACGCGGTTCGTCTCCCTTGGCGAGATGGTGATGTAGATCTGTTTATTGGATATGGACACTTACCGAGCGGAAGCGCCCAATTGAATTGATCTGCATGGGTTTATGGAATTCACGGATGGCGCGTTACGCGCGAGGTTACGCCGTAGAGATGACCATGACCATTGAAGGTCATAGGGCGCTTGCATGCAGTTTCGTACGAGCCCTGCGCGCTTGACGTCAGTATCTGACATCTGGATCTATCACGAGTCCATGTACTATTCGTTATCCGTTAGTACGGACTCGATATCGATGGTTTGTTACCAATCGGAGCGGGAACGTAGTGGAGTCTGGCGATCAATCGTTACCAAGGTCCGTGACCCAGCCGTTGTCTCCAGGAACAGCCGTATGTGGAAACATCATTCGTGCAATCTTTACGGCTTTACTGAGAGAAGCTCGGATCCATATCCAGGCTTCCTGCTATTGGTTACTATCAGCGAGTTGGTCGAAGAAGTCCAAGTACGTCGTTTGCAGACATTACCACGGTGGCGGATTGGCGCAAGTTCGGCGCGAGACGTGGCGTCGCGTTCGACTACAACGGCCATGTTTGGTTTGCTTTGTTTGGATCTTGGCGAGCTCCAGCAGCGATTCGCTGCGCGCCGTTCGCAGAGACGAACAGCGCGCGTGCTGTGGGACATTCCGCTCGCCTTGACGCCGGAGGACCCGGGGCCCGCTCTCACTGTGTAGCTCTCACCCGACTTGAATCTCGAATCTGGAGCCGAGCCGCCTCTTCGACTCGGATCTCGTGGCTGGAGGATAGATATCATATTCCTGGTGCTGTACCATGACCTTCCCTGCTAGCGCCGGGTGACTCGGACGACACGAGGCTAGCGCATGCTGCTGGTCCAACCTGCTGAAACGTGCGTCTTTGCTCACAGGCTCACAGTATCGCGAAGCCTACGACGGGACCAGCGTCCGGGGATCCATGGCTGTCTTTGACGGGCACGAGGCAGGAGCGCTATCTGTATCTTATCTGCTCCCGAGCCCTCGCGCCTGAGTCGCCGGACCGCCCATTACTTTCTACGCATGTTCGGATCATGCGGTCTTGTGACGGCCAGCGGGAGAAGCGGTTGATGCTGCTGTGGCGCACCCGCGTCGTTCCTTATGGCAAGTCAACTAAGCTGTCCGAGCTATACTCGGCCCTCCTCTCTCAAACCGATCTGCAAACGTGATCCCTCCAGAGCGAGCTCGTGCAGCGGGGAGGGGGGGGGGAGCTTGCTCAGGTCTGTCTGTCGACTCTGTGTTCCGACACGTTCGTGGCCTTATCACGCCGGGGAGCTCCAGTACGAAGCCGCCCGAAAGCCGGATCGCTACGTGGCTCGCGTTCGCGACCGTGTACGGCCCCACCCACGTCGGTTGTGTCCCATAAACCCCACAAGCAAATTGTCATGATCCGCACCTGCTTGCTCGCTTTCAACGCGCGAGCTTTGCGGTACCCATCCGTGCAGCCTATTCGCGCTCCGAGGTGACGCCGCGCGCGGTCCGAGAAGGGGCGACCGACGTCAGGCAAGATCAGGGCAGTATGTACTTACTGGTTGTAGCATGGACTTCCTTGCGAAAAACAACCGCGCTCTTGCTACTGCGTTCGGATGTGCGTGAGCGGCTTCCGGCAACCGGTATGATCTCCATTCGTGATACTCATGATCTGCGGATTTCTACCGGCGAGGATTACCCCGGCATCGGGACTTGTCCATACGACGATGACGCTCGTGCATCATGCTTGGACATGCTCCTCTTTCTGTATGGTGACGGCGGCGGGGGCTCGGGTCTACATATCACGACGAAACCTAAAACGCCCGGCACGAACTCGAGAAAGCCGGCGATGGAACATGCTGCTGTTATCAGAAACGGGGCGCTGTGCCCCATCATTTTGCGTGAAGAGAGGTGGAGCCCGGGGGGGTAGGGGGCGAGCGCTCGGATCGGATCGAATGCTCTCGCGTGTCTGTACCTTTTTTCCGCAGCAGCAGCCGAGAAACATCAAATCACTTGCACCCGGACTAAGCCCTTGGGGGGGGGGAGGCGTACGTGCGAGCCGATATCCGGGCACGAAGAATAAAAAAAGAACCAGTTCGTTCGCCAACGCGTCCGGGTCGGGATCGGTGTCCTAAAGCTTTACACAACGGCGTCGGCTCGCTCCCCTCCCATATGTAAGATCTTGTTCGCGCGGAAATCTGGGCTGCGAGACCGCTTCCGTTTTTCATTATCTCTCCCTCTCTTGTTTTACTGCAATCGCACACGCGCAAAGGAGAGACCGGGGGGTTTCTTTTTTTCATTTTCCCGGCGCTCGCAAGCAGCAAAGAAAAAGGGAAGGAAAAAAAAACCCCAACTCAGCGAACGCAGGTGTGAAGCGCGACACGATATATACATAACGTGATGAATCATCGTTATTGTATAGTATACAAGTCGTCACGCCGATCGATTGATCGCGTCCGTCGTTTTTATGTAGCGCACGTCGGAGGTGGGGGGGGGGAGAGGGTCGGTTCGCCTGCAACCTCGACGTCGGGCGTCACACAGGGGCGCGTACTTGCTTGATCGAAAGCGACAGCAAGTCAGGGGCGGGTCTTTGATATATATATAAGTATATCGATTACGGCTGTTCGTGGAGCCGAGCCGGCGGTAGAGATCCGGGGGGTTCGGGGGCGGGCACGAGGATGATTGGAGTTCGATAGCAGTGAGGGGCGGGAGGAGGAGGAGGGGGGCCCGTATGTCGGTGGATGTTATTCATCGCGTGATATTTCCGAGTGAGACGATGCAGGGTCGATTGTGGTCGTCGCGCGATGATCGTCTTTTGTTTTTGTGTTTGTGTACGTGTTTTGTGTACGTGTTTGTGTTGTAGAGGCTGGGTGAGGAGATCGTGAGCGCTGGCCACGAGGACAGGCACTGACGAGGCCACGAGCAGAGAGAGAGAGAGAGAGAGAAAGAGAGAAAGAAAGAGAGAAAGAGAGGCCAGCGATACGTTGGTGGACGGACGGACTGCGGCGCCGGCCGGGTCCACGCGCGTGTACGTGCCGCCGTAAGTCGTCGTCGACAGCGTTTCTTTTCGAAGGGAGAAGGGGGGAATGCGAGTCGGGCGTAGGTGACAGGCGTCGCACGCTACACGTTACGGTCTCCGGTGATGCCCACGGAAGCAGGGTGGGCACGTATGTATTGTATCGTATGTGCTATGTAACGAAGGACGAAGACCATAGAACTTCTGTAGGGGGTTTTCTTCCCCTTCTATTGCTTTTTTCTATGGGTGCCACCGTCGTGGCTTGGGAATTACATGTAGTAGAGTAGTTGTGCGATCGGGTGGCGGGCGTATAAGTAGAACCACTAGGATCCCACTTACGAGACGATCTGCGTCGGTGGGATAGAGTGCGGCCGGAAGAGGATCGGGACCACCCCGCCCTCCTCCTCGCGTTCGTTCATATATTCGTATCCGTATTCATACCTGTGTGGAATCACCAATCTCCCCCGGGCGCCGACGGGGGCGAGAGCGCTATGTATGTAAACCGGTGTGAAGTGGTGGGTTGGTGGTCGAGGGACGAGAATATATGTAGCAGCAGCAGCAGCAGCGGCGAAGTGGACCGGTGTCTAGGGAGGCTACCGAGGGTGGAGGGGGGGCCCGGGGCAAAAACGCGCGTACTAACGAACCGAGCGTTATCGGGCCCATCCTGCCGCATGCGGAAACGAGGCAAGCGCTGACAATCCCTCCTCTCTCCTTAGACTTCGCGGTTACCGCTGCGTCGGGCCGCCCGTGTGGAAAGCGGCTCACCCCCCACCGCTCTCACCGGCTCGCGCGCGCTCAGAGGACGTTATGTATCGGTCCACCGATATGAAAGTTGATGTGGCTCGAGATGATGTGCGATAGCGATGGCCCGTTTTTATTATTCTTTATGAGACAACAGCGCGCGACGGGATAAACCGACATCTTCGTCGCGTCCGCTCCACTGCTTTTTTCGGATTCGGAAGCAAAATCGAAAAAAAGGCACCGCGGCGGATGATCGGGCGCCCAGAAAAGGCGAGCACCCGGAAGCATTTTATCATGGGTTATTTACTCGTCTTTGGCAAGTGATGAGCTTGGATACGGTTTACCGAGATGATGGGTGTGGGTTGGGGGGGGGGGGGGCGTGGCGATAAGGATCAGATGAGCAAGGGGGATCGGGCGGGCTGGGATCTGTGGGCCAGCGTTCCGAGGGCCGGGCTGGGAGAAGCCGAGCTGGGCTGGTGGCTAGTGTGTGGCCGCCCTTGTCGTCCTTGTCTCGCGCTCTCGGGGCTGATCGTATATCAACCCGCGAGGGCCCTGGGACTGACGTGCGATCGCCCCGCGCAGAACCGGCCCTGCTTATAATCGCCACCCCTCCTCTCGTCCCGTATCTGCTCCCGCCATGGATAGCTTCCACCACCAGCAGCCCCTCCACCACCACGCGTACGCCGAGGACTGCGTGCCCTCCGGCATGGTCGCCCCGGACGGGTCCTACATCGTACGTCCCTCCTTCCGCTTCGATAACACGGAACACACCCGCTGACCCACGCGACCCGGCAGGCCGACGCCGCCTACTTCGACCCGTGCGATCCTCCGCAGCCCCAGGCGCCGTTCGACCCGTCGGCGGCCTTCTTCGCGCCCCCGCCGATGCCGCTGGCCTACCGCGACGACCCCGCCCCTCCTCTGTCCGCGCTCGCGGCCCCCTTCGCGTACCCGCCGCCCCCGCAGATGGCCTCGTCCTCATCCTCGCTCGCGCAGGCGCTGGGCACTACCCCCACCCCGCCACCATTCCATCAGCAGCATCAGCCCGCATGGTCTGTGAGTAAAAAAAAAACCCCCAAACCGCTCCCATCCTCCCCTTCATCTGAACTCTGCCGACTCTGACTCGTGACTCATGACTCTCCCCCCGCCCGCGCAGGACCCGGCGCCCTCGATTAATCCCGCCGACCTCGCCTACGCCTACGCCTACGCCGCCCCACCCGTCGCGGACGACGAAGAAGACAGCGCGGCGGTGCGCGCGCGCCTGTTCCACCTCGTCCAGCACGGCCGCGAGGCCGTCTACGGCGCCGCCGTGCCCGTGCCCACCCCCTCGCGCTTGCAGGTCCCCGTCGTCCCCGCCGTCCCCGCCCTCGTCGCCTCGCCCTTATCCGCCTCCACCTCGTCCTCGTGGACGTCGTCGCCGACCTTGTACGACCATCATCATCCCGCGTTTCGGGGAGCGCAACAGGACGTGGGCATGGGCATGGGCATGGGAGTAGATATGATGGGCATGGGCATGGGCATGGGCATGGGGGTAGACATGGGAGCAGCAGCGGGCCAGCAGCAGCAGCAGCAGCAGCAATACACCCCCTCGAGCTCGCCCGCCTCCTACACCAGCAGCAACGCCGCCGACGGCGCGCCCTACCCATTCACCCCCGCCGATGTGGACGCGGACGCCGACGCGGCGCTCTCCTACCCGGCCCACATCGTGCCCTCCCAGCTCGACGACCTCGACCTCGAGTCCATCGCCGCCTCCTCGTCTGCTTCCTCGTCCTCCCGGACGCTCCGCCGCGAGCAGCGCTCGCGCCGGCCGCACGCGCACGCGCACGCGCATCCGCACCCGGGACTGCACCACCACCACCACCACCTTCTCGCCGCCGCCCACCACCCACAGTCGGTACTACATCCGCCTCAATCTCTTCATCAGCATCATCAACATCATCATCAACACCGCGAAGAAACGGCGCCGGCGCCGGCGGCGGTCGTCGTCGATCCGGCGCCGAAGCCGACGATGGCCTGCCTGTTCTGCCGCGGTCGAAAGGTTCATTCTTATTTTATTATCGACAGAAAAACGGGGATCGTTAAAGGGTTTTTTTTATGAACAGATCGCGTGTGGGCCGCCGCCGCCGGGGAGCACGGATCGATCTTGCGAGTGAGTTTTCTTCTTTTCGTTTCTCTGTTCGCTCTCTCTCTGTTTCCCCCTTTCATTCCCTTCCCCTCTTTTTGTGTTCTGGCGTTGATGGGTTTCGGCTGGAACGGAACGGACAGCTTTTCTTTTTGGGATGGCAGTTCAGCCCCCTTGTGGTTCTTTTCTTTCTTTCTTTCTTTCTTTCTTCTCCCTTCTTGTTTGGGTTTACCCGTGTTTCTTGTTCGGCGCTTTGGTCGGGTCTGATCGATGGCTTTTGATTCGGCTCCACTGCCTTTTCTCTTTCTTTCTTCTTCTATTTTTTCTCTTTCTTTTCTCTTTTGTTGTTGGCACTGTTTCTCTGTTGCTGGGGGCAGGGCTATAGCATCAGATCCGGGACGAGATTAGCACGCCGGTGGGCCGGGGTGGGTTGGGATATTATCCCGTTCATCCCTTCGCTGCGGACTGTGCCATCCCTTCTGACTTATCCCGCCCGGCCTCGTTCGGCGTTTCACTTTCATCCTCTCTGGCAGTAAAAACCAAAACAACCCCGTTCGCTGATCATTTTTTATTTCCTTTTTGGCGCAGCCAATGCAAGAAACGCAACCAGGTGTGCGAGTACCCGCTCACGTCCCGGCGCGGGCAGCGCAAGCGCAAGCCGACGTCGTCCTCGTCCACGTCATCGCCCACCGCCTCCGCGGGATCTTCCAACAAGCCCGCTCGGACGCAGTCTGCGCCGCTGCCGCCGGCGGGGGGCCCGACGATACCCGTTCCGAGCCAGTACGAAGTCCCGCCGCAACCCGTCCCGAGCCAGTACGAAGTCCCGCCGCAACCCGTTCCGAGCCAGTACGAGTCTCCGCCGCATCGACATCAGCAGCATCAGCGCGGGGGTGGGTCGGAGTCAGGATCGGGAGGAGGAGGAGGAGGAGGCACGGGGGGGAAAGAGACGGCGGTGCCGATCGACGAGATGCGCCGCTTGAGCCCGTTCGGGTCGGGGACGCCGTTGACCGCGTACGGGTACCGGGCGCCGCAGAGGCCGAGCTCGTAGCCCCGTCGCTTGTTAACCCTCCCACCGCCGGATGGAGCGGACGCTGCTCTCCGTCTCCGAGTTGTGACCCGTTTTCCTTTCTGCACCCTGGGCCCCTCCCCCCTCCTCTCTGTTCTTTTTTGTTTTACTTTCTTGGTTATGTATATGGCTCCTCACAACATTTATCACGGCTGTTCCACTACCAATCCACCTGGCTATTCCCAGTTATGCCACACGCAATCCCGAGCGTTTTCCGTTTGTTATCCTCCATCCGTTTGCTTTCGTTATGTTCATAGCCTCTTCTTCCGCCGGTTATTCGTCCCATCCTTACATACTCATCGAGGGTACTCGTCTTCTCATTTTGTCTGTCATTGTCATGTCATGCCCTATCTGTATGCTACTAGCTAACCCCCCCCCCTCTTTCTTGGACTCGCTTAACATTCCGCGTACAATAGAGTGTATCTGCAGCACGGCGAAGTGGGGTGGAACTTTTACCATGCACTGCATTTTTTGGCGGGGCTCCCCGCGGACATCTTTGACCACTGCGGAGAACTTTTACCACCTGCAGATACACTCTAATATCGTTGTATCTTCATAGAATTAAATCCTCCTTGTACATGCATATAGTTACACCCAGTGAGCTTCCACGCAGTATGGACCCTCCGCCAGCCGGCCGGCGAGAGCACTCGATATACAACGTTGCCATTATTCGCGCTATGTATTGCGCGCGGGTTCCGGCTCCACTCTCGCCTTAATGAAACCCGATGCGGGAAGACCGCTCCCGCTGGGCGCGAGTGAGATACCGGACTCGAATTGGGAGATACGATGTGGTCCATATATAATGGAATGGCATGGCACGATCCTCCACTCCCAAGAAGCTTTGTTCGGCCAGTCGGCGAGCGCCGGATTCCGGAGCTTGTTCGATAAAGTCGATGGCGGGGGAGAAGTGGAAGCTGGAAGGAACTCGAGATTTTTTTTTTGGGTTGGAACGTTGAAGGCGCTCTGGAGACGATGGATGTGAAAGGCCCACTAGCGCGAAGAGGCATCAGATCGTAAGGTCCCGCGTGGTGGTGGTGGCAAGCCGAACCGTGGGGAACGATCGGGCCTTGCGGCGCTCGCGTCCGTTCGTTGTCCCACCGACATCGGAGAGCGCTATGCACGAGGAGGAAGCGGAAGGCCGGAGGAGGATGCTTCGGGCGGGTGACGTGCACGCACACGTTCCGCGTTATCTTCGTGTGCTCGCAGCTTCGGGGTATCGGAATGACCGAGGATTGCGTTGGCGAACACTCTGGGTACTCTATCCATAGAGCTAGCGGGATGCTATACCCGGCCGAGCGATCGCAGGTGGGTTCGTCATCAGCTGTTCATGGTGCCATCGCACTGCCAGTCGCAGCAGCCAGGAACTGAATGGGATGTCCTGGCGCATGTTGGCGTTGGCATGTGTTTGCGAAGGGCCTCGTTCAGTTGTTGGCATTTCAGGAACGGCATATCTGTTCTGCCAGCTACAGCAGGCAGGTGGAGAAGCTGTAAGGCCTGTAAGGTTATAAGGTTAGGACAGGGTATAGAGACAGGGTGAGTCGCGCGCTTTGTCAGGCGTCCTGACGCGTCGGAGCTTGGCGGTTTCGAGCAGTGATATCCCCAACGATGAACGACTCGTCCGCGGAATCGTCCGCGTACCGTTGATGAGGTCACACCTCTGGCAAGGAGTTTAACGCTACCCCCGATATTCGAGCGCACCTGGGCATCTCGGACAGGGCGCGCGCCACGAGCCCCAGCTCCTCATAACGGCCGCACGAGAGAGGAACATGCACGAGAAACAGACGAGGGGCACGAGGCGAAACGATTCGCGCTCGGCGTGCACGCGTATGGGTAAACCTGCGACGTGTCTGATCGTATTGCGGAGGCGGAAGACACGGATGGATTAGGAGAGACCCAGGCCAGTTTTTTTTTCCCTTTGCTTTCTTCTTTCCTTCTGTCTTCCTCGTCTTCGCGTTTCCCTGGGAACACGGAAGTGTGAATATCGCGAATATGAGTGATATGAGCGCGATCGACGACCCTGGCCTGCAACCGCGACGTTCGAGAGAAATGCGAAAGCGCAAGGGCGGTCGTGGGAACGGCTGGTAAGCCTTTACAAGTTAAATTACAACATCGGTCCCAACGACTTCATCGCCTGGAGCTCAGGCGAACCGCGTTCAGGGGTTTATCAAGACGACAATCAAGCATTAACAGTCTCTCTCGAGTGTGTGCCAGAACACGCCGCAGCAACGTGTCGGTCGTTCATGCTTCCGCCTTCCGAGCTGCTGGCTCCTCTGCCACGAGTCGAGTCTCACCTGCGCACCTGCTCGGAGACCCGCCCTGACCAAGCCGAAAAAGCTTATGCGGGAAAAACCTTACGCATAACCCTGCCGGCATGTTAGCTGCATCGCAAACGATCGGCAGAATTCGAAGAGAAAACAAGGCTGCAATATTCATCGCTAAGCGCCGCGCCACCTGCCCCGGCCGGTGTCTCGATGGAACGCCCGCCGTACTCAGGCCCACGACGACCTGCGGATGCAGATGGGTCGCGCATGGGGTATTTATCCAAACCTTCTCCGGTTCTCTCCACACTTTGATCGCAGCGTTTTTTCTCTTGCCTCGCGAACGTGCTTCAGCCTGTGTTTCGGGTCTAGCGGCGATAGGCTGTCCTCCACCTCATACTCAGGAGCCAACACCGTTCAGATTCAGATCCGCATCTCGCTGGGGTGGTCAAGATAGATATGGGATTTCCTAGGGCATGTATGGTATGTATCGGTACACGGTATGTGAAGCACGAGCGGCGGATGATGTACAAACCATAATGCACAGTATGATATATAACAGATGAGAGCACTGGAAGGGGGATGAGACGAAGTTGAACGAGCGTGTTGGATTACCAGTGGTGCGCGCGACCGGCTTTGGAGGGGACAGAGCCGAACCGAACCGAAACGCACGTAGAAGGCCAGTGGCCATGTCGGGTGGGGAATGGGTTAATTCCGTTCCGGTCCGCAACGAACTGCTAGCCCCAAGGGGAGGAGGAGAGGAGACCAAATAGAGCAAGAGAAAAAAACGAGTGAGCGAGTGCCGTGACGATGACGACGACCGATATCCAGAAAGCGAGAAAATGCGATATGAATCCTTGACTGTCCAGCAGGAAGGGCCTAGATGCGTAATGACGAGTGGTTGAACGTTGAACCTTGGTCCTTTCACGCCCTCCGCGCCTTCGCAGAACGCGTCACGCGCCGTGTCGCTATGGGCTCTTCCTCTTCCTCTTCCTCCTCCTTGATCGCCATTGCCTGCTGCTGCGCCCTCGTCCGTGGCGTCCCACCCGCAGCCCGGGTGCTGGGCGGCTTCGCGACTCTCGTGGCAGGGCGCTTAACGTGCCCCGACTGCGCCTGCGGACTGCCTCCACCCCCGCCCGCCTGCTTGCGCTTGTTTCCTGCGGGGGTCGCAGGCACGGAGGGCACGTCTGCGTCCCACCGCGCCGCCGCGTACGCGATCATGTTCTGCGACGGCTGTGGCAGCGCGATCTCCGCGCCCGCCGCTTCCGCGATCACGTGGCTCCGGCGCTGCAGCCGTCCCGTCGCGCCACCTCCTGCGCGAGGCTGCTGCGACTTCGGGAACGCGCCGGGCATGTGCGACATCATGAAGCCCGTCGTCGAGATGGAGCGTGGCGAAGTCGGAATTCCGGTGCGCCGGTCGGGCGTACGCTGGAGAAGGTGCATCCGCCCGAGCTCGTCCGCGGCGCCATCTGGCGCGCCGTCGACGGGCATACTGTCCACCCCGCCGTCGTCCTGGTCGTCGTCGTCGTCTACGATCATCTCGACGTCGACGTCGAAGCCTCCAGCGCTCGAGAAGGATGAGTCCGCCGCGGGCTCGCGATGCTGCGAGTCGCCACCTCCGTTGACGTTGGGGGCCGGCGCGGGGGGCGGTGGCGGGGCCAGGAGCGCGGGCGCGCGCCCTAGGTTGCGGAACCAGCGGTGGTGGCGCGCTTCCGTGAGCGACATGCGATCTGCGGGGTCGGGTCTCAGGAGCCGGCGGACGAAGTCTTCGCCTGTGCGTGCGTGTTAGCGGTTTCGAATCTGGCGATAACTGCGAGCAGCGACGTACAGGCTGAGGTGACGCCGATGTACTTCAGCGTCTCCCAGTCGACGGTACGCGATGCGATGCGGTCCCGGAGCTCGAGCCGCTCGTCCTCGAGGAAGGGGCTGGAGTTGGTCAACCTGTGTCGGGAGAAGGTAACGTCGGTGCATTAGTCAACACGTAAGAGGCAAATCAAGCAAACGTACATGGAGAAGACGATGACGCCGACGGACCAGCTGTCCACGAGGTGGTCGTAGCCTTCGTAGTTCGCCTGCAGCACTACCTCGGGGGCGAGGTAACTTGGCGTGCCACACATGGTCTGAAGTTGTGCGTCAGTATGAAGCCTCGAAAGCACACCGTACGTGGAGCGTACCCGAAGCATCGTCAGGCTGTCGACCGCCTTGGCCAGGCCGAAGTCGGCAACCTTGATGTGTGGTGGATCGTCTTTAGTGAGAAGGATGTTCTACGTGGTAGTGAGATACGGATGCCAGCGACGCGATGAAGGTCGAGATACTGACCTCTGGTTTGAGGTCGCGATGTGCAATGCCTTTGGCGTGAACATACTGCACCGCGAATTTCAGTTGGGGGATGGGTGCTGAAAGCGAACGCCGGCACTTACAGCCAGTGCTTCACAAATCTCCGCAGTCAAGGACCTCGAGACGTCCTCGGCTTAACATCGAGTCAGTCGACAAGCCACAATGTTCAAAACAAGACTTCTTACTCAGGCCCTCATACTTGACGATATAGTCTAGGAGATCACCGCCGTCGACCAGCTCAAGGACAAGGTCTACGCCAGGCGCACATCAGCGTCTACTCGCTTCAATCATCAAAGAGTTCCGAGACTCACTGATGCTAGCATCCTCGATGAACGTCTCCTTGAGCTGGCAGATGTTAGGGTGCGTGAGCTTTTCCATGATCTCGATCTCGCGCTTGAGCTTGCGCAGACGCGAGCCGCTCCCGGCGTTACCGTTGTTGAACGATCCGGGGGTGTGGCTGTTGAGGACCTTGTTCGTGTGGATGACCTTGACCGCGTACCACTTGCCTGTGGAGCGCGAGAGGGCCTTCATGACAGACGCGAACGAGCCGCGGCCGAGCTCGGACCCCATGTCGTATTGCGCCCAGATTCCATCCATGCAGCCGCCGTTGGCGGTGTGACGGTAGATGTAGCCTGCGGAACGCGGTATGAGCGACGGGCAGGCGCGGGTGGCGCGAATGGCTGGAACTCACGGAAGTCCTGATGGGGTTGACTGGACGCCATGGGCGTTCCGAACGCGACTTCGTTGCCTTCGCGCAGAACGCGGTGGTTTCCGCGCCCGATCTTCTCGCCATTGATCTGCGCCACACGACAACGAGTTAGTTACCCAGATCCCCAACGGCATTGACATGCGACACTCACCCAGGTCCCGTTGGTCGAGAGGTCCTGTATCATGACGATCGAGTTGCGGCTGTCCTGGCCGTCCCACCTGAGCTCGCAGTGGCGGGCAGAGATCTTCATGCCGCTGAGGTTAACGCTGTTTTCGCCCGTGCGGCCGATGGTGAACACCGGATTCACGCGGAAAAAGTCAATCCGGGCGACGGCAGGGTTACAAGGCTGAAGGAAGCCCCAGAGGTGAGCGTGCATCTGGCTGTTCTGCGTGCTCTCGGGTTGCTGCGTCGGGGTCTGGGTGTCACCGCCGAGGGGTGGCATCTCGTCGGTGGGCATCGGGAGGACGTTGACGGGCATCGCGGGTGATCTTGACGCGTCTTGGTGTTCTTGATGTAGGTTGGTGTTGTTTTCGAGTGGCGGCTTCTTGAAGCTGCTGGTTGGTGCTTGAGGGTGATTGGAGGCTGGATCTTGGTCCTCGGTCGGGTATTTATATTGAAACCGTTCGATCGATGTTGTGGCCTCTCAAAGAATGGTGGCCTGGTTGTTGGTAACAATGAGATTCCAGAGGCCCAAGATCAAAGAGCCCCGGACAAGGTAGCCCTTGTTCAAGTCAGGGACAAAAACGCGGCGCCACAACTGAAGCGCCCACAGACGCGTTACGCGCACGTGTTCCCCTGATCATCAGTAAGTACTGCCTCTGCCCAACACTCCGGGGTGTGTCCTTGCCTGCTTTTGCGTAGCGCATGTATTCCCTTGTGCATTGCTTTGGTAAGAAACCTTGAAGATTAACCTCCAAAACACTTATGGAATGAAGATACATACGAATACGCGGATGCTGGACACAACTTTCGCCGTTGCCTTGCTCGGAACGTGCGCTTCGTGGCGTCCGTTGATCAATATGCAAAATGTCTTTATGGGAGCCTATCTATTGCACAAACACCGATATTTAGGATCTAAGGCGGGGCAAGGGAGGCTAGCCTATCCCTTCTCTCCTCCCTAGAGTGAGGAATCGGCTGCGTCATATCCCTATCAACGCTCCATTGTCTCGACGATCGAATAAATTTCGCGTCCCTGTGGATTGGAAAACAAATCGACAATAGATCAAGAATTTGATAATTCGAAGTCGCGATCAGAAACATTCGACGCCCATCCGGGAAGACTATTGCAGTGGTGGCCTACTTTCTGGTACTCAGGCCTCCGGCCCCGCCTTTGACACTATGCTTCGCACTGCTCCGCGTCAGCGCTGCGGAGGCCGCATCGGACAACAGGCTTTCGGGCAGTCGAGGCCGCTGCAATACGTATCGGCCCCATCTAACACTCGCTCCTCGCCACCTGGACCACATCATCCGACCCCCCCCCCCCGAGGCGTTACATATCCTCCGCATTATAACAGCTCTTTGCCCTCTCTATCTCCGGTCATAGCACATGGCTGACAGACTTGCTTTTTGCGCTCCGCCGCTTGCCACAAGCCCCCATTGATGCCATTTATTTCGAGCCTCTTGATCTCAGAAGACTAACCGAGCTCCGCAATGGACTACAGACTGTATGCGATCTTCGCCGCGAATATCTCCGGGATGTATGCAGCTCACAGCCGACACTGCGCGTTTTGCTTGGGAGGGATCCGATCGCGTTCCTACGGGATGCGGTGGCTCTGGAGGATTGTACGCCTTATGCGACACCCGCATCCCAACCTCCTCCCGAATCCTACGACGGACGAGACGATGCCGATGTCAAGCCCGGAGTGAATGACCCTGAGGACCCAGATGAGCCTGACTTCGATGAATGTATTGAATAAATTGGTCTCGCGGACTACGACAGGTATGACTTTCGTAACGTGGACTCTGAACGCGACTGTAGTACGACATAGAGTACTGAATGTATTAGATACATTTGCACCAGGTGCGTGGCGGTATATCGGCTTGCGTGGTTCACAAAAGCCGGGAAACACCGGAGTGTATGGCTGTCCCTGTTTATGGACCGTGCCCGGTAATATACCTACCTCGCCTTACGAATCGTGTAACTACGGCTCGGGGGACGCTGGGGTGAGGACCATTATCGACCGCAATACGGAATCCGAGCGCGTAAACCCTATCAGCGCTTCAGCGACCGAGAGCCGTCTGCAGCGCGTGCGGTACGGGACTTCGGTATGGTGCTCCGCTGCTGTTCTGAGCATCTCGTTGTCAAACGATTCTGACCTCATTGCGCAACTACTTCATAGATCAATGGATTTGAGAATCGACCACAATTTTCAGAGCGTGTACTTAGCTGCAATGCACTTGAGTAATGTCAGGCGAGCCGAAAGTGCTCACCGCTAAGTTAGCTCTGCGGAGTTGTACCGTGAAGCCGCACGTGATCCCAGCAGTGTTCAATGTTTGGCTGTACCGTCACAGCAGTCTCAATATTCCGCGCCGTACTGCGCCGTTCACAAATTTCTTAATTTTAACAAGTGTTATAACAAGCCAAGCGAGGATTGGGACGGCGAACCGACCCCCTTCCAGTTCGATCTCCGCCCTGGCGCTCCAGGGCGCTCCGTTCCCCGCGGAAGAAACCTTCGATCACATGACGAGGTGACGTCGAGGGCCAAAGCGCCGGCGGTACCCCGCAGCTGCAGACCGCGACCGCGACCCCGCACTTAAACCCGTAGATCGCGGTCCTCCCTCCGTGCTTGAGCTCGACTATCGCTAGACACCATGCTGAACCTCAGGCTACAGCCTGTCTTGGTGCGGCTGTTTATATATATTGCCGCAGTCTCGGCGGTGAACAACGGTCTGGTCTGTACGTCTTGACTGAGAGACGATGCCGTATGAGCTCACGCCGAGTGTGCGACATGTGCGCAGGCGAGGACGCCTGTCATGGGATGGGTGCGCACTCATGCATTTGCTTATGGGAATGAAGATGACCTTCGAGATAGAACACATGGAATAGGTTCGTCTGCGGGATAAACGAAGAACTCATACTCTCGAGCGCGAAGCTTCTCGTGAGCACGGGGCTGAAGGATGCGGGCTATAACTGTACGCGATACCCCCGTTTGACCGTGCCCGTGTCTTCTAACACCTTCTAGATGTGAACGTTGACGATTGTACGCGTCCTCACTTTCTCTCCATCTGGGCCTCGGAGTCTACAATTGCGTCGCAGGTTGGCATGCGCCTGAGAGAGCCAGCGATGGATCTCCTGCATGGGACCCGAACACATTCCCGAGGGGTATCAAAGCCCTCGCCGATGACGTGCACGACTTGGGCTTGAAGGTGTGTAGCTCGCCCGCCGCTTCGTAGATTGCATATCAAAAGCACAACCTGTCAGTTCGGTATATACAGCTCAGCCGGAACGTGAGCGACACCACAGAGTGACGTTGACTGTCTTTGTCATTCAAATTGCTTCTAGAATGACCTGTCAGCGTCGATTTGGCTCACTAGGCTACGAAGAAATCGACGCGAAGGCATACGCCGAATGGGGCGTTGACCTTCTTAGTGGGTACCGCGTACTTATCTTCGTGTGTCCCCTTCGTAACCGAGCTCCGATTATAGAGTACGATAATTGCTTCAACGACGGCCTCTTCGGAAACGAAACCGTATCGTATCATAGGCAAGATTAGTCCATCAATACTTTGTGACATTACTGTTATTTAATACTCCTTGTAGATATGCCAAGATGGCCAACGCGCTGAACGCAACTGGACGACCCATTGTCTACTCCATGTGCAATTGGGGCCAAGATCTCTCCTGGACATGGGCTGGCGTACGTCACCGAGGCCCGGCATCCTCACACTGAGACTGACCTATCCACACAGAAAATAGCAAACATGTGGCGTATGTCGGGCGACATCTCGGATGTGCGTCGGATGCTCACTTCTTGTCGCGCTCTCCTGGACGTACTGAATGAGACTCATCACACCAGGATTTCGACGGATACGATTCGCGGTGTCCCTGCCTGCAACTGGAAAACTGCACCGAGTTTGGCTACTGTGGGTTTAGATGATGGAGTCATCATGCATCGTCACTGATGACGTCCTGCGGACGGCAGACTGCTCTGCCGTGCGTATACTGGACTGGGCAGCGGCGATGCTCGAATACTCCGAACCCGGAGCATGGAACGACCTCGATATGCTGGAGGCAGGGACTTACGTTATGATCAGAGATTCTGGAATGCTGATCGACTTGACGTGTAGGTCGGGAATGGCGGAATGTCGTACGACGAATACGGTAGGTCCCTCTGCGCGCAATGTAATGTATTGTCTTAATCACCAATATCTCCAGTATCACACTTCTCGCTGTGGGCACTAGTGAAGAGTCCGTTGATTCTGGGGAACGACCTCGCCCAGATGGTGAGATAACATCAAGTCTGTTCAACTTTGAGAAGACTCTGTTGCTGACACGACAACCGTAGTCTGACGAGACGCTGGAGATCATCACGAACGATGCAATTATAGCCGCCAACCAAGATCCTCTCGGTGTCCCTGCTAAACGGGTATGGAAGCGTGACGATCTCGAGCTTTGGGCAGGCCCTCTGCACGACGGGTCAGTCATCGGCTCAACGGCTGTCTTGCGGTACAGCTAACATCTAGCACCAGGTCTACCGTCGTCGCCGTGCTCAACACCGCAGACCACAATCAAACGATCGACCTCGAGTTCAGCGATCTGCCAAGTCACCTCTCCGTAAGCTCGGGCTTCTCAGTCAATCGGACGCTTGAGTGCTGATGCATTCATGCAATTGTTAGGGCACGAAATATACGGCTTACGACCTTTGGCAAAAGGCCGATGACTCGTCTTCGTCGTCCGAGCTCAAAACACGCTGGGGCCGCGTCATCGGCGCGTATGAGGCGTCGATCCCGAGCGTGGAGCTTAAGCTGCACCAGACGAGGGTGTTCAAGATCGTGCCCGAGGATGATGTGCGCAAGTTTGTCGTTCAGGTACAGTGAGCGCTCGACATGTGTCCAATGCTACGAAAAAGAACTCTGTAAAGTAAAATGTAATGCTTCCACAATGTACATCTCACGGTGTCTTGGAGAAAACGCGCTGTGATGTACCCGTCTTGAGGCAGATAGCGTGGCGTACACGGTCGAACGTAGCTGGAACGTCGAACGCACTGCCTTGGCAGGGTTCTCGCCGCCGACTCGCATGGGCAGTGGTCTGTGGTCAGCCAGTCCGCGATTCCATTGGACCGTGTTCTTATGTATCATGGGAGCCGCCGGTCTATTGACGATGTGGGTCTGCCGTAATGTATGCGGACGTGCCTCGATAATGTACGATGTAGATTTTGAAGCTAGACCCTGACAGGAGCGCGCGGAACGACGGACGTGAGAATACACATTGAATCCGAGAGTGCCATTTCGCGCCGATCGTTGTTCGTGTGCGGTGCACGTCAGTACAATCAGACGTCATCAATTTACCGGTGGTCTCGGGCGCCTGTGATGTTGGATAACGAACGATCTCGCAGACAGACGACAACATCAGGGTAACAGGGCCGATAGAAGAATCCTCTGATTTTCTGCAATGATGCATAGACAACCGAACTCAGAGAGCCGGAAGTTTGATGTATATGGACATCTTAAAGATAAGATGAACGTAGAAGCGATCATTGGGTCATAGCACTTGTCCGACTCACGAGGAAACTCCCGTCTTCAGAGACGATACCGTCGCAACAGCATACGGCGGCTCTGTGATCCAATGGATGCTTTGCTCTGTGACGGCGCGGCGAATCTCGACCCCGAGCCGGCATTGTAGTACGAAGAAGACCGTGTGGGATCCTACGCGGCTGTATCTTGGACAACTCTGGCAGTTTGTTCTTCCGGGCTAACAAGAATCGAAGCGGGACGTTGAGCATAATCAAGTCCGGGAGCAGTCGAAAATGGCTGTTTTGTGCACTTGGTGTACCATGCATAACGCCTCAACGACCGATCGCTGCCAGTGGCGTTTTGTACCGGGCATGTCGGTATGGTCAGAATGCATATAGCGCCCACGCTTTCCTGATCTATTATCCTGCGGTGCGCGTAAGTGTCATGGCTACGGTCGATTGATTAATGACTGACAGCATCACCGCGGCACAGTAGAAAACAATGGCACGATATTGGGTTGAGCGGCCTCTGATCCGGGTTTTGGGTGCTGCCAGTCAGCCGTGCGACGTGGTTTGAATACCTGCATCTTGCGTGCATCTGTTCCAGCCATTGCGTGTTCGCTTCGGAAATCAACGTGCGCAGTATCAGACAGAAACGACGTCTCTCATAAATGAGTTTTAGATGCTCTATCACTGTCAATGGTCTCCGTTGGATAGCGTTCCAGGTCTCTGAATGCATTGTATACTTACACGGCCGTCCGACAGACCTGAGTTTCCGAATAGAAGGGTCGACTTCTAGCACAAAATGTCTCGGCAAGCCGCAGAAAAAGCAGAAAATAGGTTTCTTGAGTCGCCTGCTTCCTGGTGCTGAAGACTTCGAGACTAAACCAACTGCATCGCCAAGTCGCATCCGAACTTCCTCGGCTCGAATAGAGTTGCATTTGCGGCGGTATAGTGGTCGGATCCGCCTCCGAAGCCAAAGGTTCACTAAGTGCGAAGTCGCGGAGCGTGTCGACATACCGTCGCAAAGTGGTCAGATTGCCAGCGCAAGCGCAGAAAGAACGACGTCGCAGCCCAAATCTCTGCGACATCGCTACGAGCACTATATCAGCGGAGCCCGGATCGGAGTCGCCCAATCTAGGCCGCATCTCCGCCCAGGCAAGGGTGCACCGCCACCGCGCCGTGCCGGCCCCGGCTTGGGGTCCGCCCTGCGCTCGCCCCTTGTCTTCAGGCTTGGCCCGCTGCGTCCGCCGCCTGGATTTGCTTCCGCTCGCCGTCGCAGATGGCCTCGACGTCGGCGCTGACGCTCGATGTGCCCCCGACCGACTTTGTCTCTGCCTCCGCCATCGCACGTGGGCCAGCCCCCACCACCCCTGGCGATCTCGACACTGCCGACATCGCGCCGTGGTTGGACGAGCCGGTGAGCACATCGTGCGACTTGTGACTTTCGTCTTGGTGTTGATTTGTCGCATGCGGTCTCCAGCCAGCGCCTCCGCCCAAGGAGAAACAACGCTCGTTTGGGTTTACACAAAAGGCCTCATTCGCATCGTTTGCGTCCGGCAGGGGCAGCACATCTGGCGCAGCCGCCCGAGAGCGCGAAAGGGAGCGTGAACGAGACCGACTCGACTCTGCATCTTTCTCGATCAGCTCAACATACCGCCCCTCTAATGGATCAGTGTCCCCCGGCACGCCGTACCTTTCGACCGCCAATCTTGCCTCTTCCTCCCTAACGCTCTCCATACCCCCGCCTGACTCCGTCGCCACCTCCTCCGACCGCGCCGGACGCCCCATTACCAAGAAGGCTTCCGCGATGACGATAGGCTTCAAATCCCTCATCTCTCGTCGCTCGAAATCGCGCCTACGCGGCGGAGCGACTACGACGTCGCCGACGTCCTCCACGCACTCCACGATTCCTCCCGTCCCAGCTTTGCCCTCCCCTACCTCAAACTCTTTCCTCCCGCTCGGTGCGCCGCCGAGTCCTCCTCCAAGCGAACGCCGAGGGTTCAGAGCAAGAAGAAAGAAGCCTGGAGAGAAGGACCGGGAGAAGGACGGAAGGCCAAGCAGTGCAAAGGATAGAGGGCGGGGAAAGGGGGGGACTGGACTCGGAGAGAGTGAATGGGGAACACCGAACGAACCAGAGCTTAGGCTCGACACGAATCTCGACAACATGGAAGGCGTCGTGGATCCTCTAGCTCTCGCCATGGCGCTCCCGAGCGGTTCGGCCGCGCTTACACCACCTTCAAATGGGTTCGGAGAAGGCAGCGTCATCCGGGGAGGCTCTCCTAGGACAAGTCACGACAGGAGTGACGCATATACCTACCGCGACGACGACGACTCTTCCGAGTTCTCCTACGGCCTTCCCAGCGCTGGGCGCTTCCGCGATCCCTGGGCGCCGATGTCCGACAGCTCTTCCTCTCGTCACCGCATTCCGCATCCCTACACACACGCCGATCGCAAGGTATCTCCCAAAACGATCGTTGTCCCGCCCTCGCCCTCCTTACCGTCGCACCCCCGCACGCAGTCCAGTCCCGACGCCCAGACGCCACTAAACGGCGAGGAGCGCCTGGGCCTAATGCAGCTGGAGAACGGGAGCTCTCCGAGCTGGACGGCCCCCGAGAGTTGGTTCGTGGACAGCAGCAAACAGCAGGAGGACGAGGATGCGCTCTTGTGCTCGTCTGATGAGGATGTGACGCATCAGCAGTACCCCGGTGCGCCGCAGAACCGGGAGAAGGAACGGAAGGAGCGCGACAAGGATCGAGAGCGCGATAAGGACCGCGCGGACCGGTATAAGGACCCGCCCAACAGCGGTTTCGATCGCCTCGACCCCGCGTCAGCAGAACGTGAGCGCGAGCGGCGCGAACGGAGGAAGTCTAAGCGTCACTCGCGGCCCCTTCCGCCGTCGGCAAGCCCGTACCAGAGCTACAAGATCAGGATCTACAGGGCGAACAACAGCTATCATGTGGTGTCGATCGCCCCGGTGGTGACTGTCGAGGACCTGGTCCCCACGCTGAACAAGAAACTGCTGCTCGGAGCAGACGTAGAAGCGCATCGGTTGTACATCAAAGAGCGAGGTCGAGGTACGCTGCATGGTTGCAGATAAGTTGCTTCGCCGGATGCTGATGGCCTGATAGAACGCGTCTTGGCTGCGACAGAGCGTCCTGCAAATATCATGCGTAAGCGGCTGCAGCAGGCTGGGTATGACTTTGCGGACCGGCTGGAGACCATGGGCTTGGAGGATCTGAGCTTCTTGATGAAGTTTGTGTACAAGAGCAACTTACTAGGGCCCGCGGTATGTGTCCTTTCTACCCGGTCATCGTCCTAATACGCGCATATATGCTAACATGCGATGCACTCCGTGTGTATAGGAGGAAGATTTGAATCTTGAGAACTTCGAATTTATCGACCTCAATGCGCGTGCGCTGAAGACGGTGCCGATTATCCTATACACACATGCGCCTAGTATCGTCAGCCTGAACCTCTCGCGGAACCCTATGGTTGAGATACCACTAGACTTCGTCCAGTCCTGCACCACCTTAAGGGAACTCAAGCTCTCGAACATGGCTATGAAGAAGGTCCCACAATCCGTCCGGTTCTGCTTGCCGTTGCACCGGCTTGACCTCACCTCTAACCGCATCGGTGACCTCAACGAAGCCGGGCTGGACCAGTTGCCCGAGTTAGTCTCTCTACGGTTGCAGAACAACAAAATGTCGGAGCTGCCGTGGTACTTCGCGCGCATGAGCGGGCTGACTGTTCTCAACATTTCGAACAACAAATTCCGGCGCCTGCCCGCGGTCGTTTGCGAGATGACGGGCCTGCTCGACCTCGACATCTCGTTTAACAGCATCGAGGAGCTACCCGAGGAGCTCGTGCAGCTGCGCAAGCTCGAGCGTTTCGTCATCGTTGGCAACCGCATCACACGTTTCCCTGCGGAGTGCGCCACGCTGGAGAGGCTGAGCGTCCTCGACTGCCGACGGAACGCTATTACCGATTTGAGCACGGTCGCGATGTTGCCTAGCCTAACGCAGCTTCGGGCGGACCACAACGCGATACATGCACTCGAGCTGTGCCTCGGACCGCAGCTTTCCAAACTGGAGGCAGCGAACAACGACATCACGCAGCTAACGCTCATGCCGGGACCGTTAGGGAGCCCGTACAAGCTCACGACGCTCGACGTCTCGCACGCGAAACTTTCTATGCTGGACGAGAATGCTCTATCGCAGCTCATCTCGCTCACGACGCTCAAGCTCGACCACAACTCCTTCCGTGCGATCCCAGAAACGCTCGGCAATCTCGCGCAGCTTACGACTTTCTCTTGCTCAAACAACCAGCTCGATGCGCTCCCGAGCACGATCGGGCAGCTGCAACGGCTTGAGACACTGAATGTGAACAGCAACAGTCTCACTGAGCTGCCAGCAGAGCTGTGGAATTGCGCGAGCCTGCTCGTGCTGAACGCGACGAGTAATCTACTGGAGACGTGGCATGACCCGCCGCTGCAGACGCTCCCGGCTGTCGCACCACCGCCGACCCTTACCGTCACTCACGTGGCAACTGAGCATGGCATATATGGCGATCGCAAATTGTCGACCGCAGACTCGATAGCGTCCCAGAAGGATCGAAACCGGCTCCTTCCCCCACTTGCGCACTCGCTCGAGAAGCTCTATCTCGGCGAGAACCGGCTCACGGACGACGTGCTCATCCCGCTCACCATCCTCCGCGAGCTCAAGGTGCTCAACTTGTCGTTCAACCTGATCCAGGACCTGCCACCGTCCTTCTTCCGCAACCTGTCTAATCTAGAGGAGCTGTACTTGAGCGGGAACAAGCTCAGCGCGATCCCGACTGAGGATCTGCACAAGCTCACGAAGTTGACGACGCTGTTTTTAAACGGGAACAAGCTTCAGAGTTTACCGCAAGAGCTGGCTAAGTTGACGAGTCTGCAGGTGTTGGATGTGGGAAGCAACGTGCTGAAGTACAATATCATGAACTGGGAGTTTGATTGGAACTGGTATCACCAATTCACTTCTCATAATCACCTCCGGATACTGATATCATGTGCAGGAACTTCAACGCGGGTCTGCGGTATCTCAACCTGTCCGGGAATAAGCGACTGGTGATCAAACCCGACACATCGAGCCGCGGTCACTCCCTCGACCGAGATCAGCGGCGCGTACTCGCCGACTTCTCCGCCCTCACTCAGTTGCGGGTCCTCGGCCTTATGGACGTCACTACGACGTTTTTGCCCAACATCCCTGACGAAGGAGAAGAACGACGCATTCGAACCTCGTCGTCCGAGGTTAACCGCATGGGCTACGGCATCGCTGACTTCCTCGGGATGACGGACCACCAACTGACGATGGTCGACCTCGTTAAGCCCGAGTTTCGCGAGCGACCGAACGAGGCCGTCTTCGCCATGTTCGGGCGGGCGCAGCCGCACACGAGCAATAACAAGCTCAGCAAGTGGCTCGGCGACAATTTCGTGCAAGTCTTCAGTAACATGCTCAAGGACCTCGACCAGGAGCAGGGCGAAGGCGCGGAACACGCATTGCGTAGAACGTTCCTGAAGCTGAATAAATACATGTACGACTATCTACTTAGCCAGGCCGCCTCCCAGCGCAAGTCAAGTCAGGCCAGCGCATCGACGAACGCGACGAATCTTCGGGACTACACGCTAATTCGGAGCGGTGCCGCCGGGATAGTGCTCTATTTCGTGGATAAGACGATGTACGTGGCCAACGCGGGCAACGCCCTCGCCGTCGTTTCCCGACAGGGCGATGCACGTCCAGTTTCAAGGAAGCACGATCCGTTCGACCGTGACGAAGCTGCCCGGATCCGCGCGGCGGAGGGATTCATAACGCCGAGGGGCCTTGTCAACGACGAGATTGACGTCTCTCGTGGTTTCGGGTTCTATCACCTCCTCCCTGTCGTTAACCCTCGCCCGGACATATGCGCCTATGAACTCTCCCCTCTGGACGAGTTCGTCATCGTGGGCAATCGCGGCTTGTGGGACTACGTCTCGTATCAGACCGCTGTGGATATCGCTCGTACTGAACGCGCGGATCCCATGATCGCTGCCCAGAAGTTGCGAGACTTTGCCATCAGCTACGGCTCTGAGGGCAGCACGATGATCATGGTCATCTCTGTCGGCGATCTCTTCAAGGATACCACGCGCCCGCGTCAGGCAACCCTGGATTCGATCATCGACCCACAGGATTATCCTATGTACCGCCGCGTCCGAAGAGGGGATATCTTCGACCTCAGCATCAACCGCCTGGACCCAGAGGTGCCGCCTCCTGTGGGCCACGTCGCCATCGCGTTCACCGACATCCGGAACTCGACCCATCTCTGGGAAGTCAATTCTGGCATGCCCACGGCGATGCGACTACACAACAACCTACTCCGTCGCCTGTTGCGGTTCTGCGGCGGCTACGAAGTCAAAACGGAAGGTGACGCATTCATGTGCTCCTTCCCGACATCGCTTGCCGCGCTATGGTGGTGCCTTTCCGTGCAAAGCCAACTTCTGGACCAAGCTTGGCCACTGGAGATCCTTGAGTGCGAAGATGGGCAGGAGATCAAGGATAACGAAGGCCGAACAATCGCGAAGGGGCTGTCCGTCCGTATGGGCATACACTGTGGCTACCCCGCTTGCGAACCCGACCCAGTCACGCATCGGATGGACTACTTTGGCTCCATGGTGAACAAGGCCGCTCGAGTGAACGGCAGTGCGGCGGGTGGTCAGATCGCCGTTAGCACCGACGTCATCCGCGAGATTCATGCAAGTATTCACCGGACCGAGCCAGCCACAGAACACTCCCATCGCCAGCCACAGCAAGCCATCGATGCCATCAATCGGATCGGCATCAAGCTATTCGAGAAGGGCGAGGTGAAGCTCAAGGGCATTGAGCTCCCGGAGCGACTCGCTATCGTCTACCCCGCGGAGCTCGCGGGCCGCGAGGAGCTCGAGCAAACTTCGGAGGCCTCGAAGGTTTCGGCATCCCGCGTTCAGTTCAGCGTGGAACAGATTCGTGAACTCGCCGCGCTGTGCATCCGGCTCGAAACGCTGACCACCTCCCGCGTCCTGCGCCCGCACCCCACGAGCAACCGTGGAACTGAGGCCGACGCGGCTGACTCTGACTCTGTCTTCGTTCATTGCGACCCAAACCTCCTTCTACCTGCCATTAGTGACAAGGCCACTGACACCGACCTCAAAATGCTGTTGGTATCCCTTTCCATTCGGATTGAGAACGCATTGGCGACTTTGGCTCTCAAGTACATCAGAGAAAGTGTCGCCGGACCCACTGTTATTTCCGCCCTGCAAACCAGTGGTTTGGATGACAAGACGCTCTCGCTGCTCAGAACTTTATGTACCTCGTCTCTCGTCTAGGTGTATATATGCGCTCATCTTTTTCTACCTCGTTTCTTTCTCTGCTCCTCATTGGCAAGTAACTTATTGAATTGGTTGCACAACGTCGTCTTTCCTTGGTCATTTGCGGATGTAACGTAGACAGGTAGTCGTGTTGTCGATGGTTTGTATGCAAGTGTACTAGTCGGTTCAAGTTCAGGACCCCGCGCAGGTGCTAGGTAGTCTTGCTTATGCTCGTGCCGTCATCCAAGGTGCACTTCGCGTGGCATCTGTGTTCACCTGTACCATGTGTTCACTGATCGTTGACACTTCATTTGAGTGAACGCCGCAAGATATATGTAGTTACGTTACAAAATTGCTTCTGAAAGGGACCGACTACCCTTGATGTCTCAGAGGGACACACATGGCAGGAACAGCACATTTGAGATCGAGAGGCATCTGAATGGATACTTACTCAACACTCGCTCTCGCGCCTGCGGCACCTGTGAGGGAGACTGACGGCGGAATGATCTTCCAGCGAGGGCGTTGGAAATTCTTCAGCAATCGGTTCCCTCGCATTCAACGATTATGTACTGTGTCGAACCTTAGTGGACATAATGTCCATGACCATAAGATCCTGGCTGATAAGCCATACCGACACACCCGGGCTACTTATCTTCGCTGTTTGGATCTGTGAAGAACGCTGTGGCGGTGGCGTTGTGGCAGAAATTTCCAAGAAAGTCGAGGCCAATGCCAGCAGAGTACTTAGCTAAGGACCCTGTATGTTCGTTCTCCATGTCTCTTAGGCCTCGCCGGATACACCGAAGTTATCACTAATGGGTAAACAACATACCACCGGTACGGTACGATCGACGCCTCTCAGAATCGCATTATCGCTGATCCCCAGTAGAGATTGCGATATCAGTTTTGGGTAACTCGGCCAGCAGGTGTAGGAAATTGCCGGAGCTTCGTATGTGCAATGCAGGACCTTCCTGTTCAGCGCGCAGACTTCGGATAGTCCGCATTGCGCAGCTGCCTTCCACGAACCATCTTGTTCGGACTCTGCTTGACGTATGATGGATCATACCTGGTACTACTTCAGCCGAGTAAGGGAAGATAATGCTGAAGTTGGATAGCGCAGGTGCCATGACCGCCAAGTCGTGAGATTTCGTTCGTGTGTACCGGAGACATCCTCGGCTGTATTCAACAACATCAGCACGATGTATCCGGGAAAGAAATATATGGCTTATGCACGAGTTTTGACAACACCGTGTTATCCTCCGAAGCCATCAGCGTTTGTATTGAGGATTCTGTTCTTGCCAGAGAGATCCGTAGAGAAATTCCATGCTTAACGGTCACTCGTCTTGGCATGATTGATCCCATACAATCCAGGTGAATAAAAGTGCCTGCTTGTCGCTGGCTCAACAAGGCAAATGCAGTAAACAGCGGTAGCCATGAGGTGAGATGCCTGCCCCAGCACCACTTGCGGCACTTACCACTGGGTTCTTCGCCACGCGAAAGGAAGGAAGCCCGAAGATTGGGCCCAACAGAATGGCGATCGCGCCCTCGTGCTGGACTGCTGCGCTGTCGCCGGAACGAACCTTCTGCTCCTGAAGGAATATAGCCAAGTCTCACTGAAGCATCGTTCGTGCAGGACTCCAGATCAAACTGTATTCAGATGCGCCGCTGGTGGCACAATATCCTATTGATCGTGATTCTACCCGAGAAGAGCAGATATGGTTTCCCGTTTCATCTCTGGGAACCTAAACAGCCGGAGCCGACACGTAGACGTTACTCACCGTTGCCCATGACGGAGAGAATCAGTACACGAGGGTGCAATGTTCACGAGATGTTCAGCGGCAAGAACGACGCATGACAAGCACCGCGAATGAACGAGTATCCCGACTCTGTATTTTGTTGTCTACAGAGGCCGCTTTGCCTTCGTTTTGTGAACATTATCGTGGAAGGCGACCATGGAGTCCGGCCCAAAGACGTCGCAGTCTGAAAGCCACGCGGAAACAAGCTGGGGAAGGCTTCGAGGCGGAGTTCAAACCGGTTCTCACGTGGAGGCTTAACCTCTTTGCACCCTCCAGCCTGTACTGTCGTCGGCTTGCCCCTCTCCTGCCCCCATCTTAGAATCCGGCTGCGTGAAAGTGAACTTGTACTTACACCTCAAGGCCTTGCGATCTATCCCGGAGGGCTAGTTTCACCATGTGTAGGCTGCACCCCCCGACACAGCCTGGGAATGGCGTTCATGGGAGGAGGCGGAGCGTCGACGTCGGGGGCCTGTCGCTCGCGATGCAGGGAGAGGGCTACGGGCACGGATGGGGAGGCTGGGAGGAAAATGAGATTGGGGAGGTCCGGTGCGCATCGTAAAGACATGAATCACGATAAATATTGACGCCTGGTCTTGCACGAAACAGCTACGCGGAATTACTGAGCGATATGTATACAGCTACTAGAAATGCCGCCACTGGTCAGGATATTGATGTGTACGTGTGATATTGGATTGCTAGCTCGCAGCTGACGGACTGATTTCACTAGGCCGCCATTGGAGATATCAGACGAGACCAGGAATCACCTCATACGGTTACTCGACAAATGGGATTTTGAACCGCATAAACTTTCCGAAGAAGAAATGGTCGCTTGTAGCCTTATCTTGTTCGAGGCATTGCTCCGCGTGGAGGGTATGCGTGATACCATTGGTGTATCAATGGGTGAGTCGCATATTGCTTCTCTTTTCTGCCTCACGTCCAATGCACCACGCACCCGGAGGTCATTATTAGACGCTTAAACATATCTTGTTGCTTACGCTATTAATGCAGATGAACTGTCTTCTTTTCTCTCTCACCTCAGGCGCGTCTATCGCACGCAGAACTCCTATCATAACTTCCAACACGCACTGGACGTCCTTCAAGCTACGCACATGTTCCTCAGCTCTGCAAACATCATCCCTCATGTATCAATACTCCTATCTGACGAACACCAATGGCAACCTACGAAGACTCGCCTCAACTGTCACTTATCGAAGTTAACGAATCACGATCTTTTGGCGCTATATCTGGCGGCAATAGGACATGACGTTGGACATCCGGGATATTCGAACGCATTTCTGGTAGCAAAACTTCCGCCTGTCACCTATCACTAGTTGCTGACGTTTGGTACAGAGAAACGCCAAAGCTCCGTTATCAGAGGTGTATGATGGTAAATCTGCCCTGGAGAATCTCCACTGCGCTCTACTTTTGCCTATCATGCGCCGCCATGGCCTAGGCCATCTCTTGGACCATCCCGCCTCTGGGTCGTATTTCCGTGAATTGCTGCTGAAAACGGTGCTTGCAACGGATATGAGCGTCCACGGTGATTTCATGCGACGGTTCAAGCAACTCTCTGATGGCGATTTGCACGTTAACGAGCAAGAAGAGAAGATTCTGATTTGCCAAGCTGTGGTGAAATGCGCTGACATCAGCAATCCTGTGAGTCCGTCATTATCAGTGCTTGGCCTGGTTCGTTGATGCGTTATCATTATAGTGCCGGCCAGTCTTGGTATCCCAACATTGGGCGGCAGCCCTGGGGATGGAATGGACGAATCAAGCCATGCTCGAGAAACAGCTTGACCTTCCAAAAACAGTTTCCCCTGCCGAGGACCCTCTCATGGAGGCCAAGTCGCAGGTCTTCTTCATCGACACATTCGCTCTGCCGCTTTTCACGCTTTTCTCCGACACTTTGCCTGGTTCGTCCTTGCTAGTTAAGTTGTGGCAGAGAAAGAAGGCTGATGTTCTCTGTTCATCAGATATGGATCCCTACACTCGAAATTGTGCGGAAAACCTTGCATTCTGGCGTGCGAGATGTTCAGCGTTGTCGTCGGCACCTCGAATTGCCGAACCATCTCCCGCGACACCTTCACCCAACGCAGGAGTTAAACTCCGACCTCCTTCTCCTGCTCCCTCCGTCGCCTCCGTCTCGGAGGAGTTCCTGAACGCCTTCCCTCTGGCTCTCCCCACTGTACTATTTTCACCGCCCGATGAGGAGCTCGAGTCGTCGAACTCCGCTCGTTCCCGCTCTCCCAGTCCGAGCCGGACCCCCGTCAGCACGACGTCGGAACCGACCTACCTTCGCGCACGCACCCCTTCGCCTACGCCTTCCATGCCAGGTGCCTGGCCTTCTACGCCTCCGGGAACACCACCTCTCTCTCCTGATTCACCGCGTACCCAAACTCCTCGCTCGGACACCTTCTCTTTCCCGGCTGTCCATCTGCGGACGATCAGCGTGTCGAGCTCGGCCAGCGTCGCGTCTCACGGCACATCACATAGCGGCCTGACGTCAGGCGGAAACGCTGCGATACGAACTGCGAACGACATGGGTCTCCGAACGAAGCAAAGCCTCAAGAACTTCCACCGATATCGTAACTCGTGGAGCGCTTCACGTTTCCTCGACTCCGAGCCTGGTCCAACTTTGCCCGCGCTCAATACCAAGGATAGCAAGGCTCCCTGCGAAGGGGTGCCTCCGAACCACTTCGACGGGGGAGAACCTCCTGTAACGAACACGTGCTTTCCCGTCGTCGCCGCACCCCCGCTGTCGCTCGAGACCGGATTGAGGTCGACTCCGCCGACAAGAATCACCACTGCGTCAGGATAGCAGGATCTGTCCTTCCCGTGGTGCGAGGTTTCTGTACATAGATTCTTGCCTATATTTTATTTCCCGTTTTCCCGTGCTTTCGGCGTTGCCTCGGTGTTTCCTCTCTCTGCCAAGAATGTATCTTGAATACCCGGCTTGCAACATCACTGTAGTAGAAACGGACGGGTGCTGCGTACCCATGTGCATCTTGTATCAATGAATAACGGCTCGGTCGGTGATTGAATCAAAATGGATCTATTCTGTAACGCGTATTGATGGTCGCGCGGGGCCTTTGAAGACGTTCAACCAGTAAACGATTGCAGCAAAGGAGGTTACAACGAGACGCATCGTAGCAACGTAGGCTGTCACGACATGTCCTCGTCTTCAGACGATGTTGCCTCCGATAAATCACCCTCGAATGGATCCTGTATGGCTTTACTTTCGGACGCAGTGGCAGGAGCCTTTGGAACGTGCATGATAGCGTTCTTTTCGACACCATTTCGGGGGTTTGAGGGTGAACTGCGTGCCCTAGATTGAGGCGCCAATTGAGGTATGAGCCCCCCGGCATCTTCATCCTCGTGGTCAGTGGTAAGATCGCTATCGCTCGATTCGACCTGCCCAACCAGTCAGCGCGTGGTAGATCTCGATATCATCAAACAGCAACAAGAAGACGTACCCCACTAAGAGGTGAAAGGCTTCGCAGTTTCTTGGGAGTGACAGGACCCAGGAGAGCTGCTCGCAAGACGCGTGATTTACCGAGCTGGGAAGTAGTATGTAAGATCGTCGTTCACCTATATACAAGAATTCGACATTACCCGTGAAGGCGGGGGGCGCTTACGCGTGATTTCGACACAGTCAATTATCCACCTGGATCTGCGTTGGACGGGAGCCGTCTGGGTTCGTTGATGCTCATACTGAGATTGAAACCTCGTCTTGTACAAACGAGGCGCTTGCATGCATGAAAGTAACGAAGCTGCAGATGGGCGCTGGTCTGGGTTTTCCAACCAACAGGAAACCAGAATGCCCCAGAAGTTCTCGGCGTAGACGTGCATTGGGAAGAGATCCTCAGCGGGCCGAGTGGGCCGAGCTCCCCGAGCCACTTCGAAGACAACGGACACGTCCCGGCGTATTTCAGCGAATGGCTTGTGCAGAGTTATCATCCAGAACCTCGGATTGAGTGACCGCGATATGACGATTGGAGTCGGGGTCACCGTACCTCATAGAATAAGCATCCGAGCGAATAAACGTCGCTGGCGGTGGTTCTGCGTACGTGCTCCCAAGCAGATTGCAGCTCAGGTGCCATCCATCTGGGATTTCCAGTGCAACTCGAGGATGCATCTCCGCCATATTGCTCGACGAAAGAGATCAAGCCGAAGTCGGACACCACGGCCTGTTCTGTGGAGTCGACGAATACGTTGCACTATGACTTCCATCTCAGCGGGCAAGTTCTTGCGTATGCCAACGCATGAGTTACCGCTCGGAGATCACCGTGTATCAATTTGTTCTCGTGAAGATAGCAAACACCTTGCATAACCTCGATGCACTAAATCAACATTGTTAGAAGAGTGTGCAGTCGAGGATACACACCTACGTACTAGTCGCATCCGATCGACATTGTGAGGCCCCGAACGTCGGATGTAGTCCAACAGAGTACCATTGAGCATTAGTGGGGAGACCATGCACATATGCGGCTCGAAGGAATCTGTGTCAATCCCCAACAAGGGCAATATATGCGGGTGCTTCAGTTGCCGCCAAAAGAGAGCTTCACGAGCAAGTTTCTGAGCAAAAAGTCAGAAGGGGGAGCACCACCGCACTGTATAGCAGATATTACCTTACGAACCGTCTCCATGCTGCCATCGTGCGCGACGAGACGAAGCCTCTTGAGGGCCACTGGCTGTCCCTCGTATTCCGTGCCAAAGACATCCGCAAATGCTCCAGAGGTGCACGCCGGCATATCAATGCGTGACGTGTCATGTATGAGGCAGACTCTCTTCAAAAACAAGGAGGAGGGTGTCATATCGCTATCATTGGAGAGTCGAAGGAGAACCGAATAAGCTTGTGCCCTAAAAGACTCATATTGGTGTCGTAGATCGGCCAATGCTTCTCCGTCTGCATAATGACGGAATGGACCTGAACAATCGAGAAACTACAACGAATCAGCTCGCTCACTAAACGTGAAGTCATCATCATCTACCTCTTGAAGCAGATTCATAAAGCTATTGGCATCATCAGCTCTGAGTTGATAAATCCTCGCACGAAGGTGTTCTGTCGTGACACAGTCATGTAGCTCTCGGCAAACTCGTACTTCATCCTGGTTCATGGCGGACGTGACCCTCTCGTCTTCAAATAAGCCTAGGTGGTAGCACAGCTAACGATGCGCATGAGAATAACGACAATGAAATCTTGTGTATGCTGACCGATGCTAACCACGCCACCAGGGCACGGAAGGACACGAGTTGTCGAAGGGCGTCCGCTATTGAGTACGTCCGGCAGATATCCTCTAGCTCAGAAGCATATCTATTGGCATAACTCATGTTCAAGGGACTTTTACTTTCTATGACTCAGCTGCCTCACTTTTCAATTTTGACGTCGGGTATGATGTAAGCGTGAAGCTGAGGTTCGCGGGGAGCAATGTATTCCTCTAGAGCGTTCAACACATTCTGAAGAGGCGATCCCGGAGTGTGCTATTGATTAGCTGCTATCGTACGACGAGACACATACTGATATGCTCACCAAACACATGGTAGAGCGTTTGCATCTTCCATTCATGTCCACGAGTCTGCGTCGTACGTCGGCCACAGCTGAGTGATTTCGTTGACGAAGTGTCCCGAATATTCCTGTCTACGAACCTGGGACCTCCGTGCATGGCAACATTGGCAGTCCTCCGGCATCAATGGGCTGCGCATAGGTGCCGATCCGTGCTGGTTTATGCGGTTCGCTATCCATCAGATATCTCCAGCCCGGAGTGATGTTCGACGGTTCCATTAACGTGTGTCCGAGTCTGGGCTCCACCTTCATGGAGAGGGTTTGGAAATCCGAACCAATATCCGCGGGCGAACGTTCGAGGGGCACTGGCGCAGGGACTGGCCAATCGAAGCTGGGTGAGCGCTTGATCGGTCGAGGCACGGACTCGGACATGCTCTTGCTGAGAGAGGGCGGTCCTAGCGATAGTAGTGTGCGCGCAGACGCTATAGCAGAGGAACACAACGAGCGATTGGAATGGTCGGGGCCAAGCGAAAGACCGCGGGTTGCGGTACTGTATCTGACCGCGTGCGACACCACAACCCGGCGACAAGCTACATAAGCGCTGAGAATCAAACGCTGTCGTCCATGGGACCTGATTAGTTCACGAAGTGCGAATAGGGATAGCCATCAGCTTGCCTGACTGCCCGTGTGAAGGCATCGTCGCTATCGCTTTCGAGGATGCGCGGTAAGACTTTCTTGCGTCATCAACAGCGGGCGGGATCCGGGCAGGCTCTGGGTGTGGCATTCACGAATTCGTATTAGTGATCCCTTGGATAAGCACCTCCAAGTCATCCATATCCATGACTTATGCATGAGTCACAGCTGTCGATGAGTGGTAGTAAAGGTCCAAGTGGTGGTATGTTATCAGTTGTTCGCACGCATACATCGAAGTCGCGGCAGAACCGTACAAGGTAAGGAGGCAATCTCAGGCTTTTCACGTATGTTCGTCTTCGGACGCGGACATGTCGGACAAATCACCCTCGAATAAGCTGGCATACGTGTCCTCAGCTGGCCCTTTCTCCAGCGGAGGAGGAGAGGCCTTCGGTACTTTAGGTTTCGGAGCCTTGCGCGGGGAAGGTTGTATTTCGGCACTTGCGAAGCTGTCCATGCGCGATTGTACGACGCTGGCGAAGTTGTCGTCGTATTCGACGAATTGCAACCCGATCACGTCGAGCTCCTGTGAGCATCGTCAGCACTGCACGATCGCTTGCAAAGGCCATGGAATGACTGCATACTTCGTCACCCCGCTTCAAGGATAGCAGCACATCCTGCAATACAACGAGCGCAGGGTCCCCGGGTTTAGTAGACTTTATCTTCTGCACAGCTTCTACAGTGTTGAGCGTAGTCGTCGGTCTGCCGCATTTGCGCAGATACATTCGCGCGATGCAGCGGATATGTTCCACATATTTTCTGCTACGGAGGAGCTTCTGACCCCACCATCTCTGGACCTAGTCGGAGACAAGGCGGAGGGTCAGGACGTGCACATGACGGCAGTGAAAGGCGCCAGGCAAATTGACGTACCTCCGTGGACTGCGCCTCAAACTCCTCCACAGTCAAAGAGTCCAGCTTTCGGCATTTGTACTGGCCAAAGTACCGCCACAGTTGCGACGACACGGGTTTGGAGCGACCCGCCGGGGTGGGGACGAAGAGCGCGACCGAGGTAAAGTCTATAACCCTCTTCGATACGAACAGCCCGAACTGGCCCGGGTTTTGTGGCAGAGTCGGATTCACCTAATATACACATGATGAGCACTGCGTACAGGTCATATCGGTCCAACAACCAACCTCTCGTGTAATGAATAGAGCAGGACGCTGGCCCCCGCCCGATAGTTTTGCGTACACCAGAAGATCGTGGTCGCTACACTGGAATGCGTGCCCGAAACACTTCCTCGAGGTGACAACGGGTGGTTTGTCCACCAGAGTTGATCGTAGGTCCTTGACGCGTCTGGCGATAGACGCCTGCGATAAGATGATCGCTCGTTCCTTGTCTACATAGAGCTGGCAGGATATGAGCTTTGCGTCGATCCAAGCGACCTGATGTCGCAACAGTGTAGAGATACCTTCGTTTCTTCGTCTCGAGAGGAGAAATCACGACCTCTCCGCGATTTTTCCGAGGACAGTGCAACGTTCAGAACGCCGACGAGGTCCGTTTGCTGCTGGAGGGGCATCTCGCGGCGCGGAGCTGTCTTCGCTCTGTCGGGCGGCGGAGGTGCGTCTGTCCGCCGCACCTTCGGGATCCTGTCCTTGGGGACGCGTACCTTCTTGAAGATAGCGGTCGAAGATTCGGGCATGTCACCGTGTTGACGTGCTTTAGACGACTGCGGACGAGGTACCTTCGCCAACGCCGCGCTCCGTGGTACACCTAAAGGCTGCGTCCCGGTCGTCAGCGTGCGCACTTGTAGCGAAACGTATCGCTCGGCTTACCGGGCCCGTTTTGAGACGTTTCGGCGGAGGGCCCAACCGCAAGGGGGCGGGGGATGCCCGTTTGGCTGGGATGTCTGCAACGGAGTCCCCTATGATCGCGGTCTACGCGATGGCATCAGACACCAGATGATTTCGTCCGTTACAATGGACTTACCGCAGCAGGCGGCTGAGTGGAAGCGGCCTGAGGTGGAGGCGAAGGCGTAAGTTCCGAGAGAGGAGTATCATGACCTGACCGCAAGGGGGAAGGAGGAGCCTGACTCCCTTGACTGGCGACCTACGTTAGGGCGTTAGATAGGCACGATTTTTTCCACCTGGAGATTGACATACCTTCGCAGGTAGCTTAAGGGAAGGTTCGCGAGATGAAGGTAGAGTTGAGAGGTGTGAGAGCGCGGTGTCGTCTTCGTCATCGTCTTCCGATTCGGGGGTGAGGTCGCTCTCGCTCGTCTCGCTCTGCGCCGGCGATAACTACATGTTAAAGACGCGACGGAGGACAGGGATACGTACTGCCAGACGCAGGGGAAGCCGTAGCCGCTTGGACTGGGCGGGTGTTGAGTAAGGAAGTTTCGTGGCTGGGCGCCTTCCCGGTTTTCCGACCTAAAGAAATGTTGCGTTGTCAGATTATCGCGGCCCGAACGCTCGAAGGGGGTATTTACGCGAGGAGGGCGCCAGTATGTCAATTCGACGCCATCGAATACTTCTTTCGGCCTGCGCTTGATTGGACGAGGAGGGGCCTTGTCAGGCACCCGATCGGAGCGGAGTGAGGTGAGCACGGGCTCGCTGTCCACGTTGATTGCAGAGGAAGGGTGAGGTGATGGCGCTGACCGGGGTTTTCGAGGTTTCGTAGAGGAGGCCGATGCCGATTCTTCCCTCTGGCGCTGTTCGAGACATCGTATAAGGAGGATAGGCACGGTCGTTCGAGCAGCAAACTCACCCTGGGTCGCCCCGGGCCTCTCTTCGCGGGTTTCGCTACATCGGCTTGGATTGGCGTTGGCGCGTCGAACGCGCCGACGTCCGTGGTGGCTGGTGTGCGGTCACGATCGACGACGGGGATCCCGGATATAAGGGTGGCGGTTGTGACGGTCGATGCACTCGCGATGGAGTTCGCGTCCGATTCCCCGCGTCCGAGTTGCGCCTGCGCCTGCAAATGCTCTATGGTCGCCCTCAACGCGTCGCGCTCGGCGGTGATGGCGTCGACGTTCGCGAGCTGCGTGTTCGCGTGCGCCTGCAGTAGCTCCACAGTCGCCCGCAAGGCGTCGCGCTCGGCGACGACGGCGTCGAGGTCAGTGCGAAACCGCTGGTCGAACACCTGCGTCTCGAGCTCGTCGACCCGGGTTTCGAGCTCGCCCCGCCGCGCGTCGCTCTCCGTCAGCCGGCGCTGCAGCTCCGCCTTCTCAGACCTGAAGCGATCGCGTTGGTCCTTGACATCTTGGAGCTGCTGGCTGCAGCTAGCGGGATGGCAGTCAGTGGAGGCTACGTTCGGGTCGGGATTCATTCAGGAGACAGAGGAGCGAGGCTGGGGCGTCTTACGGGTCGTGGAGGGTGGGCTCCAAGTCGAGGAAAACATATCGTTCCGACTGGATTTCATATCATGTGCGGGAGTCCGTGCTATACTGGGGCAAGCGCCTGTTGTTGGCAGTGGGTAAAGACAAACAAGCTATCACGGCCTCGAGGCTTTGCATCTCTACCACCATCAATGTGATTACCTCATTATCGCCGCTTTCATGTTGTCAAGATCTGACCTACAATACAAAAGTTCACCGTTGATCGCTACCCAGAGCTTCATATATAACGGATATGATTCTAATGGTCCGTAGATGCTCCACAAGTACACGAATATGAATGCGAAGCGGATCCGAGGCTAACGCCCAGAACGCTCACGAAATGATGGGGGGGAGGGGTATGGATTTGCGTGCAAAGATCCGAAGAAAAACGGGCGAACAAACAAGTGGTATACACATGCGACGAAAGCGAAGAAAACATGAAAAAAGCGCAAATCCGCTCGTAGGTCTCGGTCGTTCACTTCCTGCACCGTTGGCTTCATGAAATCGACACGGCGCTTGCAGCATCCGAATGAACCCCCTGGACCGCGTTGAGAGGCACGCTCGGCGCGCTCGCGCGGCTGCGCGTCCGAGGGCGCGGTGTCGCGGGTAGCCCCTGCGGCGTTCGAGGCCGCGGCACGGGCGGTGGTGCCGAGGGTAGCCCTTGCGGCGTTCGAGCGGAGATGCCCTGCGGAAGAGGCGGGACCGGAGGCGCGACGGGTGGTCGCGGCAGCCTCCTTGGCTGCGGCGCGTGCGGCGCAGACGGCGGCTGAGGCAGAAGCCGCGGGACGGGCGGGGGCGGCGGGAACGCGGGCACGTTGTGCGCCCATGATGTCGGGGGCGCGCTGGGCGGCGGTCCGTCGTCCCGGCGATAGGACGGCGTCGCGGGGAGGGACATCGGGCGCGTCTGGCGCGGGAAGGAGACGGGCGGCATCGGGGCCGAGGTCGACGTCGACGTCGTAGATGGCGGGAGGGGGATGGCGAGCGCGGCAGCTGTGGCGAAGTCGGCGACGGCGTGGCCCGCGGAGCTCGCCGCGGCGGGCGAGACGGGGCTCTCCTCGGGCTGGATCCCGTATATCTGGAACATCTGCGCGCGGAGGAGGTTGGACGAGGAGGAGGTCTGGGTGTCCGAGCCGTACGGCCCCTCGGGCGAGCGCACGCTCGTGGAGCGGGAGAGACTGCCGCTGGCGGCGCGGCCTTCGCGGTCGGTCCAGAAGACGGAGCTGGCGGCGGCGGCGGAGACGGGTGTCGCAGAGCCGCCTTTCATGTTGAAGGGCAGGCTGCCGCGTTGGTCGGCGCCGAGCATGGTTGACGGCGGCGAGGAAGTGAAGGAGGACCGTTTCGTATTGACGGTCGCGGAGCGCGACGGGATGACGAGCGGCGAGGGCGAGGGCGGCTGCCGTACCTCTTCTTCGTGCTCTTGCTGCTCCTCCCGCGCTTTGGGCTCCTCAGGCCGCTGCTCCCGCTGTTCCGCACCTGCTTTCTCGTCTCCTGCTTCTTCCAGAGTCGGCGACGGCGTCGTCTCCTCCGTCACCGCCGGAAAACTCGGCTCTGCCCGCCGCCACTGCATATCCGCCGGAACCTGCGCGGGTCTGGTGGTATCCTCCGACGTCGAAGCCACCGACCCGCTCCTCAAGCGCGCCCCCGCCGCCCCCACCGCCTCGACGCCCCCCACCGCGGACTCGGCCGAGAACGTCGGGCGGTGTCCGAGCGCCGGACGTCCCGTCAAGAGGGGAAACCCCGACTCCTCCGTTATCGTGACGCTCCCGAGCCCCTCCCTGTCGTACGCGAGGTCGACGGGGACCTCGCGCAGCTTCTCCGCCCACGCGTCCATCGACTCCCGGTCGAGCCCGAGCATGCGTGTCTCCCGCCGCTGCAACCGTCGGCGCCGGACGTAGGGGACGAGCACGGCGGCCAGCGCGACGGCGCAGAGGACGGCGCCGAGGATGAGACCGGTGACGACCGTCCAGGCCATCTTCTCGTGTTCGATCGTAAGGATTCGTCGACCTCCAGGGTGGGTGGGGTGCGTAGATGGGTGGGCTTTGTGACAGACCGCGACTCGGGAAAACAAGGACAAAACAGGGGCCGAAAGGGATGGAAACGCGAAAGTTGGAAGGGCGAACGAAAGGCGGAAGGGCAAAGGGCGGACGCCGATGGCGATGCCCCGCACCCGTCTTAAAGCAGGGATACCAGGGATATCACGAAGGCGAGACTGATATATCGCCTCCCATGATGGCGCTTCGGGATGGGAGGGGCTATAGTTGGCCTCGCTGCTGTTGGGCGTGGCTGGGGCGGGCCTGCGCAGGTTCGCGGGCGACCGTGACGGCGCTGGATCAGGGAAGCTACCGCCGGATTGGCTCGACGGCTTCCCTGAGCTAACGGGCGCTCATCGCCCCGTTGTATCGCTGTGCTATACGCATCGATCTACTGGCATGAACGGGGACAGCATATGGTGTTCCTGTAAGTACCTTGTCAGGGACAGTGCTCGTGGACCGCGTGAGCGTACCGCCTTACGTTTTGGCGAGGAGTGTGCTTGAGCCGGTGTCGCGGACGGCCTGTGTTGTCGGATGATCGTGAATGCAGACGGAATCCTTGAGAAGATTCATCATACAACTCGTCAAGTTCATGACATCCTTCTTCCCACCGCCCACATCCGCATCAAGGTGATGATGAAGTCCAGAGAACCACCACCTCTGTAGCACCGTCGTATGGGAAGTTGCTTGTACATTTACGTGAGTAAGGGGGCGGCAAGCGCCTCTTGGTTGCATTCGGGCGGAGATTACATCGGATCACAAGGCACAGGTCATGTTCGGAGTTGCAACTATTTACCGTCAAATCTACGTAATAAGCAAGCGCCCAAAGCTCCACATCCCAAGTCCCAAGATGGAAAGTGACATTACGCAGAGAAGAAAATGCGCAGTAGAGGTAGCGATTACGTAACTGACCAGTATCAACATCAATGTAACCTTCGGCACCTCGGCGAGCTCCTTCATCAGATTGACAACTGATCCCAATACATGATCTAAGCATTCTCACACTCACTTTGTCACGCTGCTGCGGCAAGATTAATTCGAGCACCCAGCTGTCCGATTTCCGCACGCTTTATCACGCTTTTGTAACGTTTTGGCGGGGTCACAGGGGGTGTCACTGTGACCGAGTCCAGTACGGAAAAACCAACTCCTTCCCGGAGTCGGAACAGCTACACGCGTGTCTGAAGCATTATTGATACGCAGATATCGCGCAGCGCATCTTTGCGTCTGCACGAGAAAATGGCAATACCCTTCAAACTGCGGGGCCGCGCCACGAACTCTGCGGGACGAAACGGCGATCTCGCCGGATAAACACCCGATTTTCGCTGTATACGCCGAACGACGTTGGAGGCACCCCCATTTTCCTCGTCAACTTCCTGAGAGAGAGAGAAAGAGTACGCGGAGCTCGTCGCACTCGTCGTCGACATCCACGCCCGCACCTGCGGGCTGGGTCGTGCCCTCTGAACGGTTTCTTTCATCGTTATGACCGGTCGGGCTGAGCCTGCAAGCCTGCGGATATCGCAGCGATCTCCTCAAAGCCCGTTTTGCAGCATCCTCCGACGACGACGCCGGCCCACGCGTCCTCGTCGAGCACATCCTCGAGCACGCCGAGCACGTCCCGGGCCCATATTTGCCCCTTTGACCCCTCCGTGGTCCTCCACGTCTGCGTCTGCGGGTCGTAGACGTCTCCGCCGTTCGGGTACAGCACGAGCCAGGGTTTTCGGGCGTCGGCGCCATCGACGGGGCGCGCTACGGCAAGCTGCAGCCGCCGCAGCAGATCGCGGAGGTGCGTGACGGGCGTGCAGTTGATCCCGATCGCGGTCGGGGGCGCGGCGGCGTCCACGTCGGGGTACGGCGCGAGCATAGTCTCGACGACGCGCTCGACGGACACGCGTTCATCCGTTCCTGAACCGGGAGAGGAGAGGTCTTGTTGAGGAAAGCGGCCGGAGGGGAAGAGCGCGCTGATCCACCACGGTTTCGGGTTCGCCGGGCTCCGGGTGTGCGAAGAGCGGCGATGGAGGTCGGCGACGGCGAGCCGGATCGCGCGGATTTCCAACACGGACGGGACGGTCTCGAACGCGAGAGCGTCGATATCGGACCAGGTGGTGGGGCACGAGGCGTAGACTTCCAGACGGGCGCGGTGGAAGGAGCGGAGCGCGTCGATCGCTTTGTCTTCGTGACCGAGTGCGACCTCTTCAGGGGTGAAGGCGTTGCGGTTTGCGCTACTGGGGTGGTAAGCTTGGGGACCGTAGGGAGGCGGGTAGCAGCCGTCGTATTCTTGCGTCGGTACGCAGGCGGCGCCGTACGGTCCTAGGCTGAGCGCGATGGTGATGTCGGACCGGGAGAGGTCGGGCCGTTCGGAGAGGAAGAGGTGCGCTGCGGACGAGGCGAGCGAGACGGATTGGAGCATGAGAGATCGGGCTTGCTCAGGGGGGTAACCGGCGCGGGCGAAGGTGTCGAACGAGCATTGGTATCTGGTCCGGCGGAGGAAGGAAGTTAGGACAATGGTGTGGGTCGGGCGGGTTCGTGTCGTTATGCACGGGAGAAGGGACTGTGTACTGTACTTACGAGGAGGTGAGGATCACTCGGGCACCTGCGCGGAGGAAGCCGAGGTGGGCGGCGATGATTGGGTCGGGATCGTCGGCGAGGAGCTTGGCGGACCACAGTGGGTGCGCGATGTCTTGTCCGAAGGCGTCTTCTAGCGTCGTGCCCTACATCGCGAGCCGACTTTTACTTGCCCTGCTCCCGTTGACGATGAATGGATTTTGCGCGTACGAGGCCACCGTCTAGGACCAGCAGGTTCTTCCCGAGTTGGAACATAGCAATTCGTGTGAGTTTCCGTTGATCAACTGCGGCGCGGTGGGCGGGTTGTTAGGAGGACGCAGAACGCTCATGGACTGATTAAAGGACGGGATCAGGGAATGTGCGCTTGAGAGGTTGATGGATGCGTAGCAAGGTAGGTATAGCAAGGTAAGCCCCCTTTTCTGGCGGTGGGAATTTACTTGCATTCAGACGAAGTGACGCGAGTCAGCGTAGAAACGTCACACCGGCTTCAGATTAGCGTCCACAACCACTTCGACATCGAGCTCGTCCCGTCGATAAAGAGAAGATTGAATTGTACACTATACATACGGATCGGGTGTATTGTGCAACGCCCAACCGCGTAGCGTCTCGAGCGGCGACCCCAGATGGAGTTCTGGGTCCTATGCTAAACGGCATACGGACGGATAGCTGAGGAGCCCATGGAGAGCGCCGCATGATTACATAGGTCCGGTGCTCGTGCCCTCAGAATACGAAACGTACCGCTCCCGACAGGGTCTCATTTCACATACCAAGATGCACGTATACAGCCCATCGGCTCGGTTCTGGATGTGCCTCACGCAGCTTCTGAACCGCCGCATCCAGCGCGTATGGCACGTCATCGGGATCCAGCATCTCCGAGTCATCTCGGAAGAGCTCTCCGTAAACGAGACCTGCGACCATCGGCCCATCCACGTCCTCCATGGACCTGTGCGGTATACTCTCAGCTCCGGACGCACCGACGTTCACCGGGCTGCGCTTACCAAAGGGTCGCAATCACGCTCTTGAACCCGGCGTAGAGCATCATCGCCGCGAGATGAATCGCCTGGTCCGGTTGATCCTGCGTATATGTGACTGGTGAGCACGGACCATGCACCGGGACATATGAGAGTACGGTCTGACCTTATACCCCTTCGCCGTCTCACATGCGCTCAAGAACGCCAGGAACGCCTCCGGAACCACCACCGGCATCAAACGCTCCATCGTCAGTGTACCATCCCGCATGACGAAGCCGCTATTAAGCGGGCGCTCTGGGTCCTGGATCCCGTGGCAGGCGAGGTGGAGAACGGTCGCCCCGGGAAGATGATCCAGGAGCGTTTGCTCACGCAATCCTCCTTTGCCTCCTTCGTCCGTCGAGAGCAGCGCGTTGTCCTCGTCCGGGAGCGGAATGACCATCGCGCTTGGCACGACACTCGTTATCGTTTCGACTTCGTCAACGGTATAAGGCAATTGCGAGTGCCCCGAGGACGCTTGAGGCACGGCGCCTATTAGTACCCTGATGTTCTTTCTCCCAACAGGCTTATACGCCTCCCGGGAGTCGGACAACACCGATAGGGTTGGCGTGTAGGATGATACGACGTAGTCCGAACAGTACACTCCGTTAGCGCCGGCTGCGTGTATTGGGAGGTGGACCAGGTTGCCCGTAGGGCACCACCATAAGCGGGGGCGAAGGCGGCCACTGGAGCGCTGATGTATGTTTTTGTTGGGCAAAAGTTCCTGGTGACGTACGGAAGTCTCACCGTTAATCCTAACGTGTTCATGACGGGTTGTACGACCTGGTACCACAGGGTTTCAAGAATGCCGGTGGTTGCGGGGTGATTGGCTTTGCGGGGCTTCACGACATTCAGTCTGTCGCGGCTCACAGCTGATCTTGCCGAGTCCATGGCAGACCTCCACCTCGCGCTTGACCCCGCCACCCACGATTCGGTCACACCCACCAACGGAACGTGGATCGGCACGCCACTGCGCTGCACGATTATCGCATGCGACCCGTCTGGGCTCGCTATCAGTACGACGACCGGCCCTTCGCGGGCCGCTTTGGCGAGGGTCGAATACCGGTCGTGCAGCATGAACCGGTCGAAGCCAGGCAGAAAGCGAATGTCGTCCAGAAGGCTGTTGAACTCTTCGCTTTGCTTCCGGCGGAGGGAGGCCGCCTGGTCCACGTGCCGCGGGTCCGGGAAGGCGTCCGAGATGTCCGCGTTCCTCTCGAGGCGCTGAGCCAACTCGAGCAGCCGGGTACGATATCGCTCTGGGACGTCGTCGAAGCGGGAGCGCAATCGGAGGGCGTGCGCCCAGAATATGGCGCGCCCTTGCTCGAGCATCTCCACGGCCGTTTCCGGTTGCGAGAGCTGGAGGGCGAGGGAGGCACAGGTGGGCGTCAGACGTTGGCCTGCCGCCAGGGACCTGAGGCGCGAGTCGAGGTTCAGACCGAAATACGCCACGCGAGGAAGTAAGGATAGCGATTTGGAGTAGGTATCCAGAAGTTTGGCTTTCACGGACGCTTCGTCCACCGATGACACCTTGATGGACGAAAGTACCCTCAGAGAGCCCTGGAGACGAGATCGGACATCGCGCCCGTCATCGGATATCGCTTCGTAAAGATGGTCTAGAGCGGCATGCATATCGTGGAAGGGCGTGCGGGCTTCAAGATACAGATCGGACATGTTGAGGAGACATTGAAAACGATCTTGACGCCCGGGAGTGAGGCGGACGAGGAGTTCCGAGTAGACTGCTTTGGCCGCCTGGGCATCGTCCACGCCCTTGCCGATGTGATACCTTATCAGGTACGCCGAACCGAGCGCGATGCGGTAACGCGTTCCATGCACGGAATCCGGTGGAACACGGGTAGCGTATTGCGTGAGCAAATGCACCGCTTGGCACGCATCGTCTAAACTTTCAGTGTCTCGTGCTCGCAACGTGAGCGCGTTGGAATGCGCGAGTGCGACCTGGTATATCAGAGAATGGTCCGTAGGGAGGTGGTTGAGCATTTGAGAAGAGATGGCGATGGCTTCGACCAGATCTTCCCTGTTAGTACCCTCGGTCTCGAATCGGAGGCACAACGTGGACACCATCGAGAGATAATATTCCTGGTATATGGGGTTTGTTATCGTGGTCGCATCGTAGGCCTCGTGATGTAGCGCAATGGCCTCCGAAAGATCATTGACGTGGCCAAGCTCCTTGAAGCGTATCGCTAGGGTGTCCGCGAGACTGCCCATGGAAATGCGCCAAACCGTGGTACCCCTTGGAAATCTGTGGACGAGCTGGCGTTGAAGCTCGATGGATTCCTCGAGGTCGGCCAAAGACCCTCGCCAGAAGAAGCGCAGCCTCAGGCTGTCGGCGACGTTGCCGATGTATCCGTTACGGACGTGATGACCCGGAGGGCACAGCTGGAGCGCCTCCTGATTCCAGGCAAGGATCTGATCGATATCGGAATCCGTCACGTCCGTGACCTCGATCAGGCGCGTGAGGATTCCTCCGGCCGTGTCCAACGCGTACAGTCCGCTGGAAAGCCCCGCGGATAACGCTTGTTTGGCCACTTCGTATGCTTCGCGGATGTCGGCCGTCTGACCGTCGCGCTCGAAGCGACGGACTAACGCCTGACTTAGTTTGGTCAATATGTTCTTGCGGAAGACATGCGATGCTGGGCAGAGATCGACAGAGGTCCTAGTCAAAGAAACGGCCTCATCCAGATCTCGCGGATCACCCAGAGCCTCGGAGCGCATGCGAAGGTATAAGCCTAGAACGCTGAAGTAGTGGGGATAATCCGGAGGCTTGTGCAACGATGCTATTTCAAGAGCGGACCTCTGGAAATTAACCGCGTCGTCGATATGGGAGCACTGGCCCGTCGTCTCAAAGAGGCGTTGCGCTGCGATGGCGGCAGCGCGAAGGGCTCCCGCATGGAGGAGGTGCTTGTCCGGGAGCAGTGCGATTGCCTTCCGGCACAGGTCGTCCCCTATCTGCCAATGTTCGGCGTTTCCGCGGTGACCTGCGTCGTAGATGTAAACGCTTGCTGACAGCACCATCACGGTGGGACAGGATAGAAACTGAGCATCCGCCGCGATGACTGCCTTTTTTGCGAGGGTGAAGCCGTCGATGAGGTCTTGCTGGTCTCCAACGAACTGATGTCGGGAAATGAGTGCGCGGGCGAGGTAGACATAGCCATGCAACTGTGAGGCCGGTAGTGTAGTCTCCTGCGTTTGCGACCAAATCAGACGAATCATCAAACAGCAGGGTGCGCACACGCACATTGCAATCTATCGCCACCAGTCTTTCCCACTTCTCAACACACTCTGCTGCGGCTTCCAGGTCCCCGTTAACGCAAAATTTGTCATACAAACGCAGCGGCTCGGCATTGTCCTCATCTATGGCGTTTTGGAGCACTGGTCAGTCATGAACGTCAGCGTGGTGCGGACATACTAGTAGAACGGTGATGGCATCACCCGCTGTGCATGCGCACGAAGTCTTTGAATGCATTCCCATGAGACGTCCAAATCAGAAAGACCGCTTGACTGTAGAGATGTCAAAGCTCCCTGCGAGCTCAGCAGCTAGCGGCTGGTGCGAAGAACGGGAAGCTAGCTTCGGAGACAGTGGTGCCACTCTTATAGACACGATCCTCGCGGGACTGTTTAGCTGCACAGCAGCTTATGTATGTAATCGCATGCGTCTATTAAGTTTGCTCGGAGATATGATGTGGTGGTGAACTTGTTCCAGATGGGTCGCATTTCTGTAGAAAGCCAGGGCGCAATTGCAACGAGATCCGTTGGAAGCGGGCATTGCTCTGCGAAAATGATTGCTTTTGATGTTGGACCCGCGATGAGGACCTGATGCTGGCGCGACTCGCCGAGCGCATCGTATCTAGAAGCCAAGATCATAATCCATTCCGACTCCCCCGAAGCGTATGCGTAGGTGGGGGCGGTTTTCAGTACGGGCTATGTCACATGTTACTTCGTCTCCCACCCGCCAGAAAGTGACAAAAACGTGATTTTGTCACGAATATCGTGACATGACTTGAAGCTGGTTTGGATGGCGGTGAACGCAGCACATTCTGTATGTGTGGGAAATGCTGGGATGAAGTGGAATTGTAGTGGATGTCTTATTGCGACTGTGATGAATGTTATGTGATGAATACTTGTACGTCATTCGGTGCATGAATGTGATGATTAGAGTTTGAATGCGTGATGTGACGACGGTTTCTTCCGAGAGAAGAACGACAATCCCCGGAAATGTTGTTAGAAATGTTATTGTATTCATCAATGATCTTGTTCGCCCTGTTTCCATGAACGGTGGTTCCGCTTCATTAGAGCGAGGATATCTCTCGGAAGTCATATTGATACACGTCGAGCGTTACCTAAAATCATGTAGTAACAACTTTGTGAAATTTCATCGTCATTCAGTTGTGTTCACGGAACATAGATGCAGTTTTTTCGGCTATAACTACCTGATCATGTACATTCCCATTTATTCAAAACAATTGAACTTCGAAATGATGTTTTTGCCTTAGGGTGTGAAAGGGGGAGTCGGATATTGGCGTTTGGCGCCTACTTTTACACGTAAATGAGGGGCTCCGTTTCGTGCACGTACTGTAACATGGCGCATCAAATGCAGTGTACAAGTTATGCGTGGGAAGATACGATCAAGAGGGCGCGTCATGGCCCGCTTCAGGTTGGCGTCACGTCGCAACGACGACCTTGAGCTCGAGCTCGTCGCGTTGACCGATCGGATCTGCTACGACCTCTTGCTTGCTCTCGTTTGACCGGGGTTGCTGAGGATTGCTACAACAAAGTGATATCGTGAACAGGCCTACTTGCAAGATACAGATACGCTGCTACGCAAGCGTTGCATCACTTCATGCGTATACCACACGCACACGTCGGACACCTGGACATAGACTGTCAGCGCCATGTCCTCCACGCCGTCGACATCGAGCTCTAGAACCGCGCGTCCGTCGTACGCGCAAACGATCAGCACGACCGGCGCCGATCGCGCCTCCTCCGGTCTAGGATCCACCTCCTCTTCCTCCGGGCTACCGACCACGCACTCCTCGCTCTCGCTGCACACTGTCCACTCCGACCTCTCCCCCGCCTCGCTCCCCGCCCGCCCCTCGCTCCCCGACCGCGCCTTCTCCTCCGCCACCGTCGCCTCTCCCCACGATGCCCGTGCCTCGGCCGGCGCGAGCGCCGTACACTACGCCACCGTGACAGCTTCGACGTCTACCTCCCGCCCGCGCGCCACCATGACGGTCAATCCCTTGTCCAACCACCCTCACCACCCCATCCACCGCCGCCCGCACCTCCGCCACCGCGGCACGGAAAGCCGCGCCGCCAAGCTGATGCGCGTCGTGAGCGAGCGCGTGTCGCGCGGGTCCGACGCGGCGCCCGCAGAAGAGTGGACCGTCTTCGGACAGCGCATGGAGGACGAGGGCCAGCTCGCGCCGAGCTCTATCCTGGACACGGGGTCCTCTCTCCGCCGCTCGGGGGCGGGGCTGAGCGTGCGGTCGCTGAGGCAGACGCTGTCGCGGCATTCGCTGAGGAGCTCGACTATGACGGGACGGAAGAGCCCGCCGGTGGATATGTTCCCGGAGATCGTGGATGTCGCTTCACCGCAGGTGGAGACGGCGGGCGGCGCGAACCCTTTCGAGAGCTCGTTCAGGGCCGGAGGAAGCGGCGGCGGTGGCGGCTCGAGCACCGAGGAGGGGTCAGGGATATACGATTCGGACGACGAGGGCTCGGGGAGCTCGCGGGAACAGACCGCGGAGGCGCAAGCGAGGGGCAGGGAATGGTGGAAGGCGCCCAAGATGCCGACGATACCGCTGCTGTGGCGTAATATCCTCAAGTGCGCGGTCGCGTACTTTATCGGCTCGCTGTTTACGTTCTCGCCGTACCTCTCGCGGTTCATCACGGACGTCACTTCGTCCGGCGAGAAGCGGCCGTCGCCCTCGGGCCATATGGTCGCCACCGTGTACGTCCCCTCCTCCCCCGTTCGCTCACAACATACTCATCACTCTCTTTTTTTTCGTTCCCCTCCGTCCTGGTCTATTTTTCGTTACGACCCGGGACTGTTTTCTACAGCGCGGTCTACTTCAACCCGGCGAAGACGGCGGGCGGGATGATCGAAGCCGACATCTTCTGCCTCCTCGGCCTGTTCTGGGCCGCGTTCGTCTCGCTCGGCTCGATGGCCTCCTTCTGGTTCTTCGAGGTCCGGCGTGGGTGGGAATGGCTCGCGGACGCGCTCGGCCTGCTCTGGGTCGGGGTCGGGATGAGCCTGATGGCGTTCGCCAAGGTGAAGATGGCCAAGCCGAGCTTCAACCCGGCGTGCAGCATGGCGGCGATCATCTTATTCGTCGTGTGAGCGGTCATTTTTTTGTTGATTATTATCTCCCTCTTTCTTCCTCCTACCTTTTTTTTGTGGTGACGCGCGTGCTGACGAGATGGGATAGGGTGGTGAAGGAGGGCGGGCTGCAGACGCTGTTCCAGGTCTCGGTGATCGTCTTCACGGGCACGGTCGTCGCCAACGTCGTCTGCTTCTGTCTCTGGCCCCAGTCCGCGACGGCGCAGCTCCAGGCGAACATGGTCGGCACCCTCGACTCGTTCGCGACGCTGCTCCGCATGATCACCGCCGCCTTCTTGCTCGAGGGCGCGCCCGGGGACGGCGAGCGGCTGAAGCGCGCGGTCGAGAGCCACGAGCGGAGCTTTACGGTGTTGAAGAAGAATTTGGGAGAGGCGAGGAGGGAGGTGGGTGGGCCGGGGACGGCGGGGAAGAGAGGGGAGGAGAGGGGGAAGAGGCAGGTGCTCGGGAGGGCGTACGAGGACGCGGTGGACTGTTTGAATCGGCTCGGGCAGCATCTGAACGGGCTGAGGGGAGGGACGAGTTAGGTGGTCGGATCTTGGTGTTTCCTGTACGGCCGCTGATTCGCACGTACAGCCCTGCAGTATGAGCTGACGAAGGCGTTGAGGGATGGGAGGCTGAGGCCGGAGGGCGCGCCGGAGGTGAAGGGGAAGGTGCCCGGCGGGGAGGGGGACGATAAGGGCGCGCCGCCGACGACGGAGGAGGAGGCGATGTTGCGCGCCGCGGCGATCATGTTTGGGGACCTCATCGACGACCTCGGGCCGCCCCTCAAGGCGCTCTCGGTGGGTGGCCTCTCCTGCGATCACCAAGTCCCGAAGCGCTGAAACGTTTCGTCGTAACTAGTCTACGTGCGTGGGCAGTCTGAAGGAGCTCCGCGAGGCGTTCTTGCGCGTGAGCGACCGTGACGGCGCGGCGTTCCGTGCGAGGACGTTCCAGGAGCTGGACGCGTCCATCAAGCGCGCGCTGTACACGTTCGAGAGCACGTCCAACCATGCGCTGATGCGGCTGTACCAGAAGAGCGTGCAGTCGGATTATGCGGGTGCGCATGCGGAGCAGCACCGGGCGAGGGAGTCGGTGGCGAGCTTTACCGGCGTCGGGAACGAGTCGGAAAACCTGTTCTTGGTGTATTTGTGGGTCTCTCGCTCCTTTCCGCTCTACCCGCGGCGCTGACGAGGGGACGAGCCAGTTTCATCTTCACGCTCCAGGAGTTTGCGGGGGAGCTGCTCGCGCTGGTGGACGCCGTCGGGAGGATATACGAGGTCGAGCGCGAGGCGATGATGCGCGGTCCTTGGTGGAAGCGGATGTTCACGGGGCCGTGGCAGCGCGTTCGGGAGCTGTTTCGACGGTCGGAGGCGCGTGGCCATCGGAGGGTCGCGAGGAAGAAGGGGCAGGGAAGCCTGCGCCGGCCGCTGTGTTCGTACTTCTCCCCTCCCCTCCCCCTCCTTTCCCCTCGCTCATCCGAGCGCTGACGGTGGGGACGCCACGTTTTCTTGCACAGCGTCCTTTATCTTGCCCGGGTCGGGCGTGCGCCAGATCGCGTTCCCGAAGGTGCGCCCGCACGCGCCGAACACGAAGCAGACGCCGGCCCGCGCGGACCTGCCGTTCTGGGGCCGGGTGAAGCAGGCGGTCTGGGCGGCCGGGTCGAGGTTGCGGGAGAACGACGCGAAGTACGGGGTGAAGACGGGGCTCGCGACGGCGATGCTCGCCGCGCCCGCGTTTTTCGAGGCGACGCGACCTGTTTTCTTGGAGTATCGAGGGGAGTGGGCGTTGATTTCGGTATGCACGGTTTTTTTTTGTGATGACCTCTCTGTTGGAGGGAGCTGATGGAGATGCGTGGATAGTTTTTCGTGGTGATGTCGCCGACCATAGGCGCGACGAATAACCTTAGTATACACCGCGTGTTGGGCACCATGTGAGGACCGACGGATGCTCTCTCTCTCGACCGAGTAGTGCGATCTAAGCTGATGTGCGCCTTTCAGCTTCGGCGCGGCCACCGCGGCCGGCATATGGACGCTGTTCCCTGAAAACGCTGTCGTGCTCTCCATCTTTGGATTCTTTTACTCGATACCCTGCTTTTACATTATCGTGGCGAAGCCGGCGTTGGCGACCACCGGGCGGTTCCTCCTGCTGACCTATAATCTGACTTGGTGAGTGCTATAACTCTTACGGTGTGGTGGTGGTGAGCAGGGCTGACGATACCATTTCCAGTCTTTTCTGGTGCGGAAGGAACGTTGACTACTCCGAAACGCCCATTGATCGTCGTGCTCCAGCTATAACCTTCGGCAGAGAGACGTTTCTGTGATCGATATTGCGGTCCATCGATCTACTGCCGTGATCGTCGGCGTTTTGTGGGCCTTCCTCGTTTCGCGATTCTGGTCCGTCTTTGTCCGTTATGATAATGGGCTCCGCGCCGACTTGACACGTTTAGGTGGCCTACGGAGGCGCGTAGGGAGCTGTCAAAAAAGCTGGGAGAGTAAGTGATGCCCTGGTCGTTACAGCGCTGGCAAGTTCCTCATGCTGGCTCTCTCTCTTTAGCTTCTGCCTCAACCTCGGATGGCTGTACACGCGTCTCGTCGCGCACAACTCGTTCGCGACCGATCCTCCGAGGGTCACGAACGGCGAGGACGACAACGACGACGACGACGACGATCACCCGACTGAAGAGACGTCCCTGCTCGCGAGGAAGACGGCCGCAACGAAGCTGAACAACTCGATCTCGGAGTTCATGGCGATGTGCGTCTCTTTCTCTCGCAATCCGGATGGGGATTGAAGGCAGCGCTCGCTGATGCTGCGCGTCCAGGGAACTGCATCTGCAAATCCAGCTCATCGAAATGCAGGGTTTGCTGGCGCAGACGGCGCACGAACCACGGCTGAAAGGACCGTTCCCGATACAACTCTATCGCAACATCTTGACGTCGCTGCAGACGATATTGGACAAACTGCACAGCATGCGTTGTGTGACTACCCGAGAAGAGTGGTATGTTCTGCATCCGTCCTTTGTCGTATAAGAACTCAATTGCTGATGTCTATCCAGGTTCACGGTAAATTTTCTGCGTTTTGAGACCTGTCAAGGTTCACTGATAGGCGTCGTGCTACAGAGTATCAGAAGGGACTTCATCGTGCCCGTGAACAAGTAAGTCGACAATTGGCTGTGATTTCGTGATCGTAGAAATAATATGTTGCAGGGAACGGCGCGAGATGGTCGGGAACATCATCCTCTATCTCTCGGTGCTGTCCTCGACTTTCCGGCTCAAAGCGCCGCTCCCGCCGTATCTCCCGCCCGCCGCACAATCACAAGAACGTTTGGTACGTCTCGCATGTCCATGACGTTTTATCGCCCGGATTCCGATGTTACATCCTACATAGGTGGACGCGATCCGAGAACTGGAGGTCGTGAAAAACCGCGAGGTGAAGGGCTCCCGGCAGCTGCTCTTCTTCGCGTACGCGTTGACGATGAAAGGGGTCATACACGAGTTGGATTATCTAGGCAAGACTCTGCAGGATGCGTTCGGAGTCATCGGGCAAACGACCGAAGAGTTCGAGGCGATGTTCAGGGAAAGGCCGGCATCGGAAATCCAGGATTCCGTTTGAGCTGCATTCTATGTTTCTTTCCCTCTCTGCTCTGCATTTTCGGTCGTTTCACTTCTTGTTGTCGTGGATTAGATTGCTCGGAATATTTACTGATTAGGCTCGGTCGCCCCAGTCCAGTCCAAGCGTATCTCGCTTATCGCCCCTGACGGCGGCTTCGATCGCTTCAGCGAGTTCACGTAGAGCGATAGTGTCGCCGTCCTCGTATGCTATAGTAGGGTTGTGGCGACCGTCTTCCCCTGCGGGCGAAACGCCAAGTGCGCGCTCGAGCTCAGCTTCCCGATCTCGGCCTCGCAAGGCGTCGATGGAAGTCAGGAGCTGGTTCAGCCGTGGATGCGCGGCGAGCGCTTTGCGGACGGCGGGGGACGTCGCTGCAACGGGAGATGAACCGATCGGTGCTTTGTTATTCCTTGCGGCGAGGACGAAGGGGCTGACCTATCGCCTCGTATTGAGGGAGTGTGAGCGGTTTGGGGTCGTCACGCTTGAGAGGATCGGGAAACGCGGTTTCTTCTGGGACGTAGGGCCATTTCAGCGAAGTAAGAGGTCTGAGCTGCTTGGGCTTTGGGAGCATTTCTTCGGTCCCGGTTTCGTCCGTTCCTGCGATAAACTTTGGGTCTTGAAGAGGGAAAGACATGCAGTATAACCACATACGTGACCCGGGTTCATCGTTGTTCGTGACCGCCGGTACTGATGGCGTCGCGGAGGTCGATGCTACCGGGGCAGGCGTAGGTGCAGCTTGCACACAGGAGTTTTCTACCGATCACCGGCTCGTCACTTCAGGAATAGCCAGCATCCTTCACGACATTCGTACCTTTGTGTCGTTTAAAGCATGGCACGGAACAGCTGGAAAGGACAAACTTACGAGTTAGAACGGGATCCGTTTACATCTTCGCGAGGGAGTATTACTATAGAACGTTGCATTTCGGGCACGAATATTTCGATCCGTTATCGTCGCATATCTGGCAGCGGGCACGTTTCTTGGGTGCCATTGATAGTTGTTGACTCGGTTGTGTCAGGAGAGTCAAGACTCAAACAAACGCTCATGGGATTCCAGGGGCGCAAAATGAGCGCACGATCTTCGTGCCCAGTTTCAGTGGTGCCGACGCCAACCCCGCAGATCCGATATCGCCTCTCCTTCTCGTCTTCATCCTCCTCTACGTTCCATAGGCATTACTATCAATTGTGGTTTACCAAAGATTGGTTATCACCGCAGAGATCGCGAATGGGGAAACCGAAAAATGAACATCAAGGCTATCGACAGCGTCGCAGCTTCGGATTCTACGGCAGCTGACCCGGGTGATATAAATGATATCTCAACATCTTGTCGTCAAAGTCGGCCAGGGATATCTCTCGAGTGAACTGCAGTTGCCGCGTTTCCGACACGTTCGCGCCTTCCGAAGGGACTTCGACCTCCTTGTGACGTCTTACGGAGCTGCTCGAAGGAGGAAGCATACGATCTTCATCAGCGTCGAAGACGGGCGGAAGGTCACCTGCAGGGTCCATGGAGCGCACTGGGCGGGTCCCCATGTGCCCGCCTTCTGACTGCGACATTGACCCGCCCCGCAAGCCACGATATAAGATAGCAGGATGTCGCCAATGCTCAGGCTTAATCGCTGACTTATGCCATGCGTTTTCGGACGTTCGTTCTCCTGGGTATTTTGCCTTGGGTACTCGGCGAAGTGATTGACCTCTCGCAGTTGTCATGGTCCCTCTCGAACCAAAACGGCTCCATCGTGATACCGGCGTCCATACCGTCGCAGGTGCATATAGATTTGTTGAAGGCAGGTCTCATAACCGAGCCGCTTTTGGGAGTCAACGGTACGTGTTAATATCAAGGTGGAAGGGGGCTGCGGTTCAACGCTTGACTTCATAGACTTCACCGAACGATGGATCATCAACGACAGCTGGACATACACGGCCGATCTAGCCCCTCTCCTCCGCGGAACATCTGCGCGCGATATCAGCTCTCTCCTCGTGTTCTATGGCCTAGATACCGTTGCAAGCATCGTGAGGGCACGAATGCCAATGATATATGCGCACGAGTCTCACAGTTCGCCCTCATCCTCCCTAGACCTTATTTGGCCATCCTGTCGCATGGGTGAACAACCAGTTTCGGCAATATGTTTATGACGTGACCCATATCCTGAGCTCAACATCAGCGAGACACACCAATTTGACAATCGCGTTTGAGTCGGCTTGGCTCTATGGTCTGAACGTGACGTCGAGGCCAGACGCCGAGTTCTTCCCGAATACAAATGAGGTTACTACCAGCGATAATGTGAGTGATGCTCTCGAGGAGGTCTCCTGATCTGAACTTACCTTCCCCCAGTATGAGTATCCTGGCGTCCGTCAGTGGATAAGGAAGACAGCCTCAGACTTTGGATGGGACTGGGTGCGCTTCCCATCGAGCTTCACCCGGAGTGCTTATTGACTTACTATGGCACAGGGACCAGCATTTATCCCCACCGGCATATTCAAACCAGCGTTCCTCGTCACCTTGGCAGAGATGGAACATGACAAGCCGCCTCCAGGTGGCGAGCAGGTCATATTCCTCGAGGAGCAAACTTTAGAGGTGTACAAGCCAGGCCAAACTCTCGCAACTCGCCCAGACGAATCTGCGGACTGGATCGTCAACGTTACCCTCGGAGTGCGCTCCGCGTCTGTGTTCTCCCGGCCCGAAATCACCGTGGAGTTTCCCGAGCTGAACTTCTCAAAGACGGTTCCGGTATCTCCCATCGATAAGACCCTCGACGACGGACAGTTTATCTCTGCCAATGTTAGCATCCCCGAAGGTAAGGCCCCGGTTGTCTTGCCCCCTCCCCCCCTTCCCCCTAGCAGCCCTCTCAATACCAGATGCAGGTCTTCCTCAGCGCTGGTATCCACACAACCTCGCGACTGGTCCCAAGAGGTACAACGTCACTATCACCCTCGCTGGGTCGTCCGCGTACAACGTCAGTTTCAACACCACCACCGGATTCCGCACGATCTTCCTCGCGCAAGGACCGTACTCTCAACACGACATTGAGAAACGCGGCATCACCCCGGGGGACCAATGGCACTTCGAGATCAACGGCGCGGCATTTTATAGCCTCGGAACGAACATAATTCCCTTCGATCCGTTCTACGCGAGGACAACTACCGAGCAGGTTCGTTGGGTGCTCGAAAGCTCGGTCGCAAGTGGACAGAACATGGTCGGTGCTGTTTCTCCAGGTCATCTCCTACCGTTCTCTCATCGTTTGGTCCCAGCTGCGCATATGGGGCGGAGGCATTTACCAGCCTTCGGCGTCATCGCCGGGTGTATACGATTTTTACGACCTCTGCGACGAGCTCGGTATCCTCGCCTGGTCGGAGTTGATCTTCTCGGATACATTGTACCCCATCAACGACTTCTTGCTTGCATGTGCGTCGGCATGCTATAGTGCCAGACGTCGATAAGCTAACCTCAAGTTATGCCGCCCAGCCATCGAACCCGAAGTGCGTCAGAACGTAAGGAGGGTGAAGCGCAACCCGAGCAACGCACAATGGGCCGGAGGCAACGAGATCGAAGGGATCGTCATCTCCGCCAACGAATCCCTCCCGAACGGGACGCATTATCTCGACGAGTTCGTGTTCTTGTTCCAAGACTATCTGCACGACATCGTATCATCCGAGACGAACTCGGTGAGAGTAGCATTCTCGGGAAAAGACCTCGACTCATTGGCGTATGGGGCAGGTTGCGTACACGGATTGCTCGACGACCAGCGGCCCTTTGACTTTGGATCCTCTCGTCCAGCGATTCAATAACAAGACTGCTGGCTTCATATATGGGAATGGAGGTGGGTAATGACAGCGTCCTGGGATTGACTGAATCTGACTCGGCGCAGAGCGCTATAACTATGACGCATCACAAGCCTTCAACTACAGCACATATCCTGTTTCGAGGTGAGACTTCGTGCTATCCGGAGCACACGTTCGCTCTGACTTACGTATGGCGGGCAGATTCATCAATGAATTCGGGTCTGTAATACGTGCTCGAAAGATGTGCTGCAATTCTCAGCCATGTCCGCAGATTCCACTCGATGCCAAGCTTCTACAGCTGGGAGGAGGTATTGACGTCATCGGACGACTTTTCGTTTAACTCGACCGTAGTCGCCTCGCGGGATCATCATCCGCCCGCCGGTAACCTCAGCTTCCCGAACCCCAACGCGCCGCAGGGACAGGCGCAGATGACGAGCGCGGTTGAGCTTTGGTTGCCCACCCCGGGCACCAACGACGCTAATCAGACGTTCGCGCAATGGTGTTGGTCGACGCAGATATTCCAGTCGATGACGATGGTGAACATCCATGGTCTGCATCTGTGCAGGATGCTAAATGGAGGTTCAACAGGTGTCCCAAATCGCGTGGTATAGAAGGGGTGCTGGGCAAGGAGAAAACAAGTCAGTATTCAGTGGGTGTGATTCGCGTGATGATTGATCTGTTCTTCGCGCGTGATAGCCTCGGCGCGCTTGTCTGGCAAAACAACGATATATGGCAGGGGGTCAGCTGGTCCGCCATTGAGTACTCGGGGAGGTGGAAAGTTCTGAATTACGGGCTCGCTACGATATTCTCGCCTGTGGTCATCAACGCGTTCTGGACGCCCGACAATCAGACACTCGAAGTCCTCGTCACGTCGGATAGATGGGAAGAAGTCAAGGGTGTGGCGGAGCTGTCGTGGTACGCGTGGAACGGGACGCTTCTAAGCAGCGATACCATCGACTTTACGACCCCTCCGTTAAACAACTCGGTCGTGTTCAGTGGGATGGGCTTGGACCAGATTCTTCCGCTGGGCTCGGTGCCGGCAGATGTGTGGCTTCGAATGAACCTCACCGCGTTGGCGGATAATCGAACTGTCACCAATGAGCAATTCGTAAGTTTACCCGGTTTCGTTCGCCGTTTTTGCTACGATCTCACGTTGCATGTTGTAGTTCTCTCCGGTGTCACTAGCAAGTGCGAACCTCGTTGACCCGCTGATCACCGTGACTCGGGGCGATGACCTGACTTTCACTCTTTCTGCGGCCGGCGGTGTCGCGCCGTGGACGTGGGTGGACCATCCTGCCGGCACAGTCGGTTATTTTGTCGACGATGCCACGCTCCTGCCGCTCAACGGGTTCTACCTAATCCCTGGCCAGGACAGAACAGGTGCGTCGAACCCTGATTGCATAATCGAAGTCGTCGGTCACTGATCTGTGCCGATGCATACAGTCAGATTCGTTATGAGCCGCGGACTCTCCAAAGCACAGTCCCCAGACCCTGCGGATTTCGTGGTTCGCTCGCTATGGAACAATACACATACGTGAAGGCATCCTTTGACTCGCATAAATCCTTCTCCAGCAGCATGCGCAGTCTCTCGCATCTATATGCATCCAGATATCCACTTCATTAGCATAGCGCTTGGACTGGTCGAAACGGCAGAACTTACACTGCCGGCGCCAGTATAACCGTGTCGGCTATTAAGTGAACAACTTCAGTGTATCACATGATTACACAATGTTGTAGTCACCGCGGTTTTTCCTAGTCGCTTCAGCCGCTCAGCGAGTACTGAAGTTCAAGCTGCTCTTTCTCCACTTTTTGCTCTGGAACCCTGCCGGAAACACCAGGCCACGTCGCAGAGGTGGAAATCTGAACTTTGGCTGCAATTATACCGACTTGCATTCCCCGCTTCTACTCGGCTCCTGAGTGACCCATTCTCGACCCATTTACGTGGATGCTTCCCGAAGTCCGTGCTCTGCAAGCTGCGGGAACTGTAGACGCGACCCCGGCATGATATCTTTTTCAATATCGCCTATTTTTTCAGCGCTCGTTGACTGCGCCAAGGGGCATGCATCATTCGAAGCATCAGGTGCTCATCGGCAGAGGTCACCAGCGACCTGAGAGCGGACTAAATGCGCCGGATTAACCTTCTTTCCTTGACGTCGACCTGCTTCATTTTCGGTGATATATAAGACAGCGAAGTGTCACGATCATCCCAGCTGGTGGTTACGCCGCACCTAAGAGTGTATCATGCGTCTCCAGATACTGAACCTCCTAGGTCTTCTTCCTTTGGCTCTTGGGGAGGTGTTCGACCTCTCGCAACTCTCGTGGTCCCTCTCAAATCAAAACGGCACCATCGTGATTCCGGCGTCGATACCATCGCAGGTGCATCTGGACTTGCTGGAGGCGGGAGTCATTACGGAACCCCTTCTAGGAATCAATGGTATGTAAAGATTTATGAGGTTAAGCGAATGCTTCCGAATGACTTGGTCTTCATAGATTTCGCTGAGAGATGGATTATCAATGACAATTGGACGTATACGGCCGATCTCTCCCCGATCCTCAAAGCGACTTCCAAGGCGAAAACGAGCTCGCTTCTGGCCTTTTATGGGCTGGACACGGTAGCGAATATTGTAAGGGCTTCAGGTTCCTGGTAGATCGCACGTATCTGATCCTCGTACGCTGTTGTGATTAGACACTATTCGGGAAGCCGGTCGCTTGGGTGAACAACCAGTTCCGCCAGTACGTGTACGACGTATCCGACATTTTAGCGAAGGTGTCGCCAGGCAATACGAACTTGACCGTCGCATTCGAGTCAGCGTGGTTGTACGGTCTCAATGTGACGTCGCGGCCCGATGCAGAGGCGTTCCCAGTCACGAGCGTGTCGCTGACTACCATCAACGTGAGGGATTATACCCTTAGGGTTAACGTTATCGACAGCTCACAATATCGCAGTTTGAATATCCCGGAGTCCGCCAGTGGATACGGAAGACTCAATCAGACTTCGGATGGGACTGGGTGCGTCGTGATTATCGATCATCCATCTTTCTATATACATATTATTATTTGCAGGGTCCGGCATTCGTCCCCATAGGGATTTTCAAGCCAGCGTACCTGATCACATTGTCAGACTCCAAGGACAACATCGGAAATACCCATGCTGACGCCATATTCCTCGAGGAAAAGACGCTGGAGGTGTACAAGCCAGGTCAAACTCTTGCTAACCGACCCGACGAATCCGCGGACTGGATCGTCAACGTCACTCTTGGCTTGCGGTCCGCCGTAGCTTTCTCGGCCCCTTCACTCACTATTGCGTTCCCGGAGCTGGAATATACGACGAACGTCCGTATCCCCTCGATCGAACGGAGTCTTGACACAGAACACGTTGTTTCGGCCAGCGTCAGAATACCCGAGGGTAAGCCGTGCATCACATTTTTGGGGGTAAGTGCCGTGACTGAGCACATCATAACACACCGCAGGTCTCCCTCAGCGGTGGTACACTCACAACCTCGCGACTGGCCCGAAGCTGTACGATGTGAAGATTACGCTAGCAGCGTCATCGACGTATAAGGTCAGCTGGGATACCACCACCGGCTTTCGGACGATCTTCCTGGCACAGGGACCCTATTCTCAAGAAGACATCGACAAGCGGGGAATCACGCCGGGCAATCAATGGCACTTCGAACTCAATGGCGAAGCTTTCTATGCACTGGGAACCAACATCATTCCGTTCGATCCCTTTTACGCGAGGGTCACTACTGATAAGGTTAGATGGGTGCTCGAAAGCGCGGTAGCGAGCGGCCAGAACATGGTAGGTCCAGCTACCACAGTCGCGTGCCGTTTTACTCACATCTGCTGCTCAAGGTTCGTGTCTGGGGCGGCGGTATCTATCAACCCTCCGCATCCTCGCCAGGAGTGTACGACTTTTACGATCTCTGCGATGAGCTCGGCATTCTCGCATGGTCGGAGCTCATCTTCTCCGATTCGTTGTATCCTATCAACGACTTCATGCTCGGTTGTACGTCCTACCTCTCCGATTCTCCTCGGAGCGTTGCTTGCTTGCTTGCTCACGGATACCTCCAGCTATCGAGCCGGAAGTCCGGCAGAATGTTAGACGAGTGAAGCGCAATCCGAGCAACGCGCAGTGGGCCGGAGGAAATGAGAATGAGCTCCTCGCCATCTTTGTGAACGAGACGCTCGCGAACGGCACGCATTATCTGGACGAGGTAAAGTCTCACCACCGTCCTTTGTACTCCGAATTCTGGCTCATCAAGTTTCGTTCTCGTACAGTATGTCTTCTTGGCCCAGGATTACTTGCAAGGCATAGTCACGTCCGAAACCAACTCCGTGAGGCCTACGCTCGTTGTCCAGGCGCTGTTCGATGACCGCAACAATTCAGGTTGCTTATACGGACTGTTCTACGACTTTTGGCCCTTTGAGCTTCGATCCTCTTGTCCAGCGGTTTCTGAATGGGACTCCAGGATTTATCTACGGAAATACAGGTGAGCGCCGGTATCAACGCAAGGGTTCTCCGTGCTGATGGTCATTCCAAGAGAGATACAACTACGACGCGTCGCAAGCGTTCAATTATAGCACTTATCCTGTTGCGAGGTGCGATCACTTCAGGCCTTTGACCTGCGGGTTTCATGACTGACGGCATCGGGCAGATTTGTGAACGAGTTCGGGTCCGTAGCCCGCTTTCTCCATGTGTTATTGACAGACGTCCTGATTATCGCGCAGGTTCCACTCGATGCCTAGCTTCTACAGCTGGGAAGAGGTGCTCACCTCACCGGAAGACTTTTCGTTCAACTCTACCGTGGTCGCCTCGCGTGATCATCACCTGCCCGCCGGAGACCTCACTTTCCCTAACCCCAACGCGGTTCTGGGACAGGCGCAGATGACAAGCGGCGTCGAGCTGTGGCTGCCTACCCCTGGCACGGAGGACTCGAACCAGACATTCGCGCAATGGTGCTGGTCGACGCAGATCTTCCAGTCGATGACTATGGTAAGAGAGGTGCTGCTAGGATCGTCTTTACATAGCTACTGACGCAAATTTGGTTTGTTAGGCTTCGCAGATCGCGTGGTACAGAAGGGGTGCTGGACTGGGAGAAAACAAGTCAGTGTCTGCTTAGGAAACGATTGACGGGAAGGTTGATTGATATTCCTTGACAGCCTTGGCGCGCTCGTCTGGCAGAACAACGACATATGGCAAGGCGTAAGCTGGTCTGCTGTCGAGTACTCGGGAAGATGGAAGGTCCTGAATTACGGCCTCGCCACGGCTTTCTCTTCTGTGGTTATCAACGCGTTCTGGACGCCAGACAATCAGACGCTCGAAGTCCTCGTCACGTCGGACAGGTGGGAAGCAGTCAAGGGCACGGCGGAGCTGTCGTGGTATACGTGGAACGGCACGCTTTTGAGCAACAATACCGTTCACTTCACCACCCCGGCGCTCAACAACTCCGTTGTGTTCAGCGGGACGGGCTTGGACCAGATTCTTCCGCCGGGCTCGGATCCGAAGGATGTGTGGCTTCGGATGAACCTCATCGCGGTGGCGGATAAACGTATCGTTACCAATGAACAATTCGTGAGTTTATCCCAGTTTCATCCCATGTTGAAGCGCCGTACTCATTGGTCCGTATCATATGCCGCTGCAGTTCACCCCGGTTTCGCTGGCGGATGCGAATCTCGTTGATCCGTTGATTAGTGTCATTCGCGGCAAGGATTTGACGTTCACCCTCCGCGCTGCTGGCGGTGTTGCGCCGTGGACGTGGATCGATCATCCCGCCGGCACGGTCGGATACTTTATCGACGCCATTACGCATTTGCCTTCGAACGGGTTTTACTTGGTTCCCGGCCAGGATCGAACGAGTATGTAGTGGAATCATTTCGCGAGCCAGATTGCCCTTTACTGATTCGCATGTTTGCTAACAGTCAAATTCATCTTGAACCAAAGTATGTCGAGGTCGGCGTCTCCCAATCCTGCCGACTTCGTGGTTCGATCGTTGTGGAACAACACGCATGTCGCGTGAAGGATAGCGCCTTATTATGCCTCCATATCATAAAAATCATGGACTAATAAACCAGTTATTACTGAGCGTTCACATGGTCGCCGAAGTTTCTCTGACCGCCGGAGAAGAACGGATGAGCAATGTAATTGTCCTGTAAGTTCGCACAGGATGACAATAAGTAGCTGCGCGGCATGCGCCGACGTCATTGCATCTCAGGTGCCGGGTGTACCGGTCGGTACGGCAGTCATTGGGAGCATTAATCAGAATCAGAGTGAAAGCAATATGAGCTGTGAAGCATGTGAAGCAGCACGAAACTGTCCAACCGAGAGGTGAAAGCAACTTGCTTGCAGCTTCAACTCGTCGGTGGCGGGCGGTGGCGGGGCCGGGGCGGAGTCTGGGCCGGTGATCCCAACGGCGTTCGGCGGCCCCAATTGGCAAGGCAATGAAGGGTGCGGCCACCGCCCAACGCGAGCAGGGTAATCGAAACCAGTGACCACAACTCAGGCCTGGCGCCGCTCCACCTATACTTACCCTGTACCGCATCCTATCTCTGGCTCTCCTCCTCGCTGCACCGACGCCTGCGACACACGAACGAACCGGGCGGGGCCTCATCACGACGACGGCTTGATCCCCACCCCACGCTTGACCCCTCGCTGTCATGACTTCCACTACCTCCGCGTCGGCGAGTGCGTCGACCACGGCGTCCGCCAGCTTCACGGTCGGCAGCAATCTCAAAGTAAACTAACCACCTTGGGAGAAACGGTGCTGTGAACTGACTGGTACCCTGGCGTCTATCAGGTCGTGGGCATCATCCTCGCCGTTGCTAGCGGCCTCCTTATCGGTTCGAGCTTCGTCTTCAAGAAGAAGGGGTTGTTGCGCGCGCAGGCCGGGCACGCGGCCGGTGAAGGCGTAGCGTACCTGAAATCGGTGAGCGGCACGCCGTCATGATCCATGCTCATTGCACTGACACCATTCAAGCCGTTATGGTGGCTAGGCATGACAAGTGAGCAGCCCTCCTGGACCAGTCGAACGTTACGCTCAACCCCGAACAGTGATGATCTTGGGCGAGCTATGTAACTTCGCCGGTGCGCTCATATTCTGCCTCCCATAGGAGAACCCGTACTTACACCAAGACACAACAGCTTACGCATTCGTCGAGGCCATCGTCGTCGTACGACCCCTTACCTCGTTGCTCTGCGTCACTGCCTCATGTCCCGTATGCCTCACTTCTGCAGACACCCATGGGCGCGCTGTCCGTCGTCATCTGCGCCATCCTCTCCTCCCTCTTCCTCAACGAGAAATTGAGCCTCTTCGGCTGGCTCGGCTGTATCCTATGCATCGTTCGTCCATTCCAACCGCACAGTGACCCACAAGTCAGCCTCTGATTATCAAACTCTACTCTTCCTTATATACAGCTCGGCTCGACCATCATCGCTTTGAACGGTACTGCGATCCCCACTTTCGTCCTGAGCAAGCACCGGGTTTTACTCATGAGCTATTTATAGGTCCGAAGGAGCAGTCCGTTGGCCAGATCACCAAATTCCAGAAACTCTTCCTAGCGCCCGGATTCCTCGCGTATGGCGGCACGCTCATCGCTATATCGCTCGCCATTGTATTCTATTTTGCTCCTAGGTACGCCTGAGCGCTCGTAATCACGGACGTGGCTCTGACGAACGTCGTGAAGATACGGAAAGAAGAACATGCTGTGGTATATCATGGTCTGTAGTATGATAGGCGGTATCAGCGTCAGCGTCACCACCGGCTTGGGGGCTGCGATCGTTACCACCGCCTCGGGCGATAATCAGGTGAAGCATATCTGGCTCTCCCTAGTCGCAGCTAGTTGACCCCCGCTCGTACAGTTTAAGCACTGGTTCCTCTATTTCCTCATGGTGTTCGTTGCCGTGACACTTAGTGAGTGATGAGCCTGATGTTAGGGTTGATCAGTTCTGACCAGTGAACACAGTTACGGAAGTATATTACCTGAACGTTGCTCTTGCATTGTTCAATACTGCTATGGGTGCGTTCTTGTCCAGACTCGACGGATCCGGCGTCCCGACTTAATCTACTTCATTCCAGTCACGCCGACATATTATGTCATCTGTACGCGCATCCATATTTTCGTCTTGTCATATAGGCTAATGACTCTGTAGTCACGTTCTTTTCCATGTTGACTACCATCGTAAGCTCGTCCAAGTTAAATCACGTATTGGGCTCTCGCTGAGCGTCTTCTAGGTCTTGTTCCAAGGATTGTCAGCATCCGTGACACAGATCCTCACCATCGTCATGGCCTTCTTCACCATCTGCGTCGGCATCACCATCCTCCAGATGTCCAAAGTGGACCCGACGCAGTTCAAATCGCTCGACAGGCGGTCCACGATGCTCCTCCAGGCCGCCCGCGCGCATACGCAAGAGGTGGACGAAGAGAAGCTCACCGGGGTCGAAGATCCGGGCATCGACGCGCTGCGTGGCAGCTTCGGCACGATGGGCAGCATCATACGCGCGAAGAGCGCGCGGCGGTTGAGCATGAGCAGCCGCGCGAGCACGCTCCGGAGCCGGCCGGACGGCGCGCGGCACCGCGAGGACCGCGAACACGGGCTGAGCGCGACGATGAGCAGCCAGGGCGAGGGCGGCCTTCGGGACGGCATGCGAAGACACAGGCTGTTCGACAACCCGATGCCCGACTTCGACGCGAAGCGCGGGAGCGAGTACAGCCATCGGTCCGACGCCGAGCTTAGGAGCGTCGCACTCTCCGACGGCGTGCCGCCGCTGCCCGGTACCCCCCAGCAGCACCCGAACAGGACGCCGACGATCAAGTTCGATAACCAGGACCTGGTACACCAGTACGACCCCGCCTTGCGGGGCCCGTCCGCCGCGACGCACGAGCGACGACCGAACGTGGCCCGCGGGACCTCGGCGTACAGTGGGAGCAGCATCGTCGCGAGCCCGAAGGAGGAGATCGTGGAGATCGTGGAGCAGCCGAGCCGGGAGAACCTCCTGGGCGGGACGGACGAGAGCGAGGACGAGGCGGCGCGGATAGGCGTCGTCAAGGCGCGCAGCCCGGATCGGCTCTACCGCCCGCACGCGCGGGACCCGTTTGAGCGCGGCGGCGGTGTGCCTGCGGACTCGCTCGACTCGATCGCGACCCAGGCCGGCGCGGAGAGCACGGACGAGGAGGAGCGGACGGAAGGGCGCGGGCTCACGACGCCCAAGCGCGGGTTCGCGGGCCTGCACCTCCCGGCGGGGAACAGAAACGCAAGGACACCGAGCCCGAGACGGTATCCGAAGGGCCCCGATCAAGAGGATGACCTGAACGAGAGCATCGGGCTGTGGCATCGTGCCAACGACAGCCTAGGCTCAGACCCGGAGGACGACCAGCGGACGGTGAGGCCGGAGCATCAGCGCGAGACGAGTGGCGGAATACGGCTGGTGACCAGACCGCCGGTCGGGAGCACGGATAGGTTCTAGAGTTGATCCCTCTTTCTCTCGCTGTGGGCTGCGCTTAGCATCTGGAGATGTATCACCACCACCACCACCACCACCACCACCACCACCACCACCTGGCGCTCCGTTCTCTTCTTGTGTGCCAGTGGGCGAAGGACCCTAGCTTTCGGTTTTCTTTCACTATTGTATTGCATTCGGACTGGCGTTGTTTTACAGTATCTAAGTGCATATTGTGTTGCACTGTCGTACACGACTAACGAACTCATCATGATACCTACAGTTTACGTAGATACGGGCTGCGTGCTAGATTCCCAGTAGCGGTATTCGATCCCACCAGTGAGTGCGCATGTAACTCGCGCAGAGGAGACGTGTGCGGCATCTCTTGTCATTCTCCCTCACGCAGGAGTGAACCATATCTCATACTGGACGGCTCTAAGCATACGAGCACACACCCGGGAATAGAGCATTCTCCTGCAACACCCTGCCGGACCTCGCTAAGGCTGGATACCCGTGAGATCCCATGCTAGCCGAGGGGCACGTTACGCGAACCGTCGGTCGTCGACGGTACAACGCGTCCCCCTCTGGAAGTCCAACGCGTTTTGACGCGTCCTTTCCGTTTCTTCCATTCGCCTTGCTTATCCATTTTCGTTGCTTGCTGTCGGCGTTACCACCATGTCGGAAGACGGACGCCTCGAGGACGTGTTGCGGCAACGGGATCACTGGCTGGCCATGGTTGGACAGTTGCGAGCGGCCAACGTGGTCCTCCAGAACCGCAACGACGAGCTTGAGAGGGATAAGCTCGACCTGATCCGACGGATTTACGAGCTGGAGAAGCAGTTGAGAGAATTGGGAGGGCAAGCAGAGCAGACGAGACGAGATACCTCCGTTGAGAATGAACCTACGCAGGAGGCGGTAGCACCCGCTTCATCCGGGATACAGCGACATCACGCCGTGACTGACGTTCACGACGTTAAACCGGTTGTATCTCCCGAGCCGCCGTTCGAGGTCATTTGCTCTCTTTCAAGTCGACGAAGTGAGGGCTAACCGAGTTTTCCAGGAGAGAAGCACCACGGCGTTCGACAGCGACGAGACGACGGATACGAAGCCGTTACTGAATGACTTGGATGCGGTTCGCTGGTTTTTTTGATTTGCTATCTGCCAAAATCCTAATGCATCGTGCCACAGGACGCCTCAGAGCCTCCTGAGCTCGACATACCCGATCAGGTCAGTGAACGTAAAGAATGATTCTTAATCTTCGGCCTTACATGAGACAGGATTGGGCATCCCCGCCAGAATATGAGTTACTTCCGAATGACGAAGATGACAAGACGCTCGTCCTAAAGGAAGAAGGCGTCGGTGCCGACGCTTTCGTTAAGGGAGAAGACGATGACGTGTCGTCGTCGGTGCATGCAGAGCGGGTGGGAGTGCTGGAATTACCACGGGGATGTTTCTGACTTGCCCCACCTCTGACAAGCAGGATGGTCATGAAGTATTGGTTCTGAGTGACGACGATCTCGAGGAGGATGTGTCGGTACGTGTTCCTGATTCGACAGTCGAGGCGCGTGATCCCAACCTGCTGCTAGTTCGTGGATCAAGGCGCCGATAATGTCGCACGAATCCAGCGCGCTGTGACCGATCCGGTGGACGTCATTGATCTTAGCGCTGAAGATGAGCATGAATCTTTTGCGGCAGAGGCGGATCCTGCAACGGTGCGCTGCTCATTCAAAACGTTTTGCCACGTCTGGCTCACGTCCGAGATGGATAGCAGGAAACCGATTCCAGAAGGCGGTCAAAGAGGCAGGCAGAAGCCTCTATTGGCAGGCAGAGCTCGGGTATAATGTCACGCCGACAGCCCAAACGAAAGAGGCGTGAATCGACGGAAAGCACAGTCTCTGCATCTGATGACTCCGCCTTTTGGCCTCCCGTATGTCTTCGAAATCCGAGTCCTACCGCAACATCGCTTATAGGATTCCAGGAGCCTGCATATACGGTGGATGTCGGTGCCGTCGAGAGATATCGTGTACGTGTGTACCTTATAAACAAGATGCCATTGATAATCACCATTGATTAGTTTCAACGACGCGCGTTCCATCTCACTTATAAAGGTCAATATGTCCCAATGATCGTCCCGTTGTTGGATGGACAGGTGGTGTTGATGATTAAGCCGACATGGAACCCACTCCTTCCTAATCGCCCTGGTGCGCACGGGGAGATTTGGGCCAACAAAACCGACATTTTGGAACACAGTAAATGGAAATTGATCGTCCAGTGTCCGAGTTCAACTCCGCAAACCTGGGAATATCTCGGTGATTACAAGGTATCACCAGGTGGTAGTGTGAAGCCCCAGGTATTCATGAGCCAGTCGGAGGCTGTGAGTGCCCTATTCACCCTTCAGGCCCCATTCAAATGGTATTCAAGGTCCGAAACGAATGGGGCAACAATGTCGTCAAGGCAACTGCCCCAGGCAACTGCTACACGCCCATGCGCAAGCGTATAGCTGCGAGGAAGAAAGAGCGTGCGTCGGTTCATTGAACTGGGAACAGTCCTTGCTGACGCGTGGCCTAGGGAAGCAATCAGAGAAAGTCGAGTGTGCCGACGTGATCCAGGCTATAGAATCTGGAGAAGAGGTTCCTTGAATTCGTTTCGAGATAGTGAAACAGGTGGCTGATCAGATAACCAGGAGATTCGGGTGATTGCAACGCAGTTTATCGGGTATGATTCGGCCTTCGTCGAAAAGATCAAGGCTACAGCCGCCAATATGCCCAAGCGTACGAAGAATCAGATGCGAAACGCGAAGCGACTCCGCGCCGATACAGAATATAACGTGAAGCGTCGCAAGGCAGCTAAAGAGTGTCGGGAGCGCGAACAGACCGTAACAGACACAGAAGTCGACGCTTAACACTCCACCGGCGAGAAGGACAACAGCGCTTGTGAGTTGAGCCCGGTTTCAGTACCTGCGGCTGATCGTGATACCCTGTCCTCGCTGATAGTCGTGTAATATCGTTTGCCGTACACACGGAATGGGTCATGGGATGGTAACGTAGCAGTGAGTGGAACGGTAGAAATAGGGATATCTCTCAGCACCTAAGACCCGTGTAGCGAGGGTACGTAACTGGTGATTTGATTTTGGCAATCTCCCTGTACCTGCGGGCGAACGGACCGGTTACACGTTGCTTTGCTCGCGCCGTTATCTAACATGCCGTTGACTTTACACTCCAACCTCGAATGCTCATGCTCACCGTACAGGATATCTCGGAGGATGCTGCACGATCTCCAAGACAGCAGCGAGATCGTATTCGCACCATCCTCGGCGAGCTACGAGCGACCAATTCCGCTGCTCAGAATCGGATCGACGAGCTCGACTCGAGAAACAGTGATCTAGAAACCCAAAATGCGGAGCTTTCGAAGCGCGCGAAGAAATGGGAGGACAAGTACAAAGACTTGCTCAAGCGGATCGAGAGCGATGAGCACAAATCGCGAGCCGGCCATAGGAAGGATCGGAGCAGGTCCCAGCGAAAAGGCGATCAGAACACAGACGGCTTTATCGATCTCACGAGCGACACGAGCGATGCCGAGGTAGTGTTGGTCAAGACCGAGGACAAAGATCTTGCGGCGCCAGTGAGTGTCGTGTCTTCAGGTAACCCCGTGCTGAGAAGAGCTCATTGGATGAGCGATTGACAGGGTAAGAACGACGGACCAAGCAAAAAACGAGCAGCTGAAGATCGTGGTTCAGACGATGAAAAAGGGAAAAGAAAACATGCCACGAAGAGAGTGAAGCCTAGTGCACGAGACGAAGCTGTGGCCAAGGCGTCATCGTCGGACGATCAACCATTCATGCCTCCGGTGAGAGGCCAAATCACGAGCCCCATTCAGTCGTTGCTCATCTGTCACGATGCTGATAGACTCCGGTGTTTACGATGGATGTCAAAAATATCCCCAGTTTCAAGGTGTGTTTTGCAATCATAGGCATGATACCCTACAGGTTTCGGAAAGGCTTATACTGATGTATTCAGTTCCGGAGAAATGATTTTCACGATACCTACAAAGGAAGCCGGCTGTCCATGACGAACCGGCTGCTGGACGGGCAGATGGTATTGTTGGTGAACACAGGTTTCAACCCAACGCTGCCTGCACGTCCCGGCGGTCGCGGAACTCTCTGGTGCAACAGAGCAAAGATCTTGGAACACAAGACATGGAAGCTAATCGTGAAGTGCAAGAAGAGTAATCCGCAACTGTGGGAGTACCGCGGAGACTACCAAGTTTCACGGGGCAGTGACGTTCCTGCGGAAGAATTCATGAAGCAGTCGTCTGATGTGGGTGTGACAGCGTCTTGTCGATGATTCAATTGACCACAACATTTGCAGGTACGAGAATTATGGGCGAAGAGTATCGCTGGCCCACCTATGCCCGAGAAGGTCCTGGTTGAGATGCGCAGCCGGATAGACAAAAGGAAGAAACAGCGTCAGTTGAGGCATGAGGACCGTGGTAGTCTCCGACGAGGCACTGAAACAATTTCTAGGGAAAGGGCCTAATGCCGGTGACGTGACGAGCCGTGACGTACTTCGAGCCTTCGAGACTGGAGAAGAGGTAAGGGCCTCTATTTGAGCTCATTTTCCGGAGCTGATGAGGACTCAGGCGCTCCAATGTATAAATATGAAGTTCGTTGGGTACGACGAACCATTCGTAGAGAGGATCAAAGCGACTGCCAGAGCCGGCACAAGAACCATAGACACCACCGCAAAAAGTGCACGGGGAAATGAGGCTGGTTCTTCGTCGAAGGCGACGAGTAAGAAGGCTGCTGCAGGTCTTGCACATAAATCGGCGCCCAGAGATGATGACGATGAAGCAGCCAGTGTAGGATCTAATGAATCTGTTGATGGTCGTTGGCTGCACTCTCATCAGAGGCGAAATGGTCCTGACGCATGCACACTAGATTTTGGTAACAACGACGATGTGGAAGGTAACAACGGTGAAGAGCTCGACGGCGAAGATGGATATGGCGGATACGAGGAGTACGACAATTAACATGGAGGTTTTGTTCTAGGGACGTCAGCGTCGCACATGTATCCGAATCTCTGCAGTTGTATAGAGATCCAGAAGTTTTCGCTTCCACCAGCTGGCTTTGGAGGGTGAAGTGCAATCCTCGATAGACATCTACTGTAAGCTCCAGATCGACCGCAGAACAGCAATTAGTGCGAGAATGCAAGGGCATGGTTGCGATTTGGAAGGCGTCAAGGAGTTGAGCGTTCGATACTGAGGATAAGGCGATCGTTCGGGGGTGGAGCTTGCGGGTCAAGTTATCGATGAGGGATAGCGGAACACAGAACGGCGTAGTCATGTGTAGAAGCACCTCGCATAATGGTGGTGGGTCGACTTATCCCATCCGGGCGAGGTCCATAGCTTCAGCGAACAGCAAATCACGAGGTGGCGGCAGGCAGTAGAATCACTTTTGATAGCTGCTTCCGAGGTAGACAGAACCATCATGCACGAGCTAACCACAGGATTATATCGAGTGCTAGTTTGCCCAGGTTCGATGCATGTGCGAAACTGATCGATACAGCAGCCAAACTACAGCCGGAGAAAGCTGCACATCCCTGTGATCCATCCAGCATTTCTGTCAGAGCCGTCCTCGTCGAGTTTCACGTCTGAGGTAGATCGCCTAGAATCGATCTTGGTAGCGTACTGAAGAACGAAAGGATCGTATTGCCTCGTGGTAGCCCGAAGAATTTTCGGAGAGACGACGATCAGAGACTCGATTTCAAGCTCGGAGCTCTCCGCCGAAACGGCATCCCCCGACTCACTTCTCGGTGCTATGTACGGTCCCCTACAATGACTACGGAATCATGACTACGACATGATGTACGGTTCTTCTAACCCGAGGTGGGTAATATGACGTCCACGCACACATGCATAACTGACCTTCATTCCAGTAGGCGCATCAGGATTGAGACGGAGAGCTCGAGGAAGCAACGGAAGAGATCGCGTGGTTGTAGTCGGGTGGAGGCGTATGGAAGGTCCTGCAGGGTGGCATGTAAACACGCCGAATATCATGGAAAGGAAAGAAATACAACTCACGCATGGACCTGGGTGAGATTACCGGATTTATAATGTGAAGTGAGGTTTTGTTGTACCGTTTCTCCCATTTCGGGGATTAGTACTGCAGGATGTATCGAGTGTTCGCTAACAACTGGCTGAAGGTTAGGCGGAGACATCCGCCGTCGTATACGGCGCCATAGATATCCGAAAATGATCGCCGCGATGGACAAGGTCAGGCCTATGACCAAACCCGCGATAAGTGGAGTGTGGTTTTTGCTGCGAATAGACGAGACTCGGTTTCAGCAACCGCAGTTCCCTTGATTGGGGGCTGGAAGCTGTGATATACCTTGTTCCTAGACGTGAGCCCGCAGTGGGGCTTCACCGTTGTCATCAGCGGTACCTCTTCTAATGAGAGAGAAATGCTGATCACCTTGGTAGCTCTGAATGTCCAGTCGAGTTCGGAGTTACGTTCGGAGATGAGCAAGCTGTGCTGGTCACGACTATGTTATCTAGGTCAAACACGGAGCCATTTATCCCGACATTTAGCAAGTCGATTGAGTGCTGGGAGCTCGACAATCCGCTCGCGTAGTACTGCATACGAATATAGTTATATGTGATATGTGAAATGATACGGGAGATGCTTACCAGCAATGTCTGCGGCCTGAACGGGAATGAACTCCCGTTGAAGATCTGCGATGGGCTTCCGTCCAAGCTGACCAAGAACAATCCATGAGTGAAGTTCTTTGAACCGTATACGGCAACGGCAGATCCTGTCAAAATTCCCGGGGGTAAATGTTTCCGGGAAAATTGCATAAGGGTGAAAAGAGCTAACCAGTGAATGACAGGGTAACGTGCGCCCCAGGCTGACTAGTCCAGCTACGACATCAATGAGTACCATCGTGGAACCCGGAGGTCCGAATATGCCTGACTGATAGGTGCCGTTGGAAAAATGAGATTGGTTTTGATTTATGAGTCCTTCCCACCCTTGCGAGTAAGCCAGAACATCCGAAGAGTCGTCGATGGTCCTATCCGCCATTGTGCAGCTGCCATCAGATACAGAATCATGCGCTGAATACCCAATTCGCGTAACGCACTCACTTGTCCTGCTCCCCCGCTGTGAAGATAACGAAATCGATGTCCACCCAAGGACGGTTGGAATCGGTACTTGAGTCCTCCATGGTGAGTGTGTGAGGACTATCATTTAAGCCCTCTGCCGAGAAAAGAACTTGTTTAAATTGTGACGGGGTAGCGAAGCCATCGGCCGATATAATTTGCCCGTCCAATGTCACTGTGTATTCACCCTGATCGAATTGAGCAACTCGCATGTCGGAGAGGGCGTAAGGTTACGTACATGATTATTTCTCTTGGCTCCATAAAGCCAAACCGAAGTGCCGTTGAACTCGAACGATACGCTCGAATTCTGAGGTCGAGCTCTGAGTACGATAGCGAGGTTGAAGATTCGATGAAGTATACCTGGGTCTCAGTAGCGTGGAAGGTGCTGTTGAAGTACGATCCTTGAGCGCCGTCCGCAGGTGGTGCACCCAGCGAATTGATGCTTGCGTCGCCCCAAGTGCCCGCGTATACAAACATTGGGGAGATATCGTCCACTTCAAAGTCGGCTTCGTTTAAGTCTGCTGGGTACGACTGGCTTTGTGATGTTTTACCTGTGACATTATATCATGGCATGATTTCAGCTTTCGGAGAGATGTTGTCTTACTCCAGGCAGGACACGAGGAAGAGAAGTTTCTTGAATTCGAGTGTCACTAAGCAACATGCACCCTCAGACTATAAATGATAAGAAGAATGCAGGAGGTTCAGCGCTCACCCTATATTAATCTTGAAGCGATGCCGGCGTTGATGCAAGGCTTGCAATTCGGCGATACCTCCCATAGTTGATTGTTGATCCAGAACCTTTACCACAGACACTGGCTTGTCCAGTAGTTGACATACTTGTTTGGTCGACCATACCGTTTGATAGCAGTTGTATTACCGTTATACGACGAATCAAGTCGCGTCGGTGAGATTGTCTGAAGCGGTGCATGTGAGTATCTTCGCGGGCGGTGATGGCAGTAGCTCGCAGCAGATTGATAATCGATCAATGATGTTAAGGCATAATGGTCATGCCAGGCCCTCGGAGACAACTAGCGGTCAGTCCAGAACGATGAAAATCCATATTACTAATTTCCTGTTGGGTGTGGGCGAACGGCGAGCTGACGAACGCCGATCCATGAGAAGATGGCTGACGAGGCATGGCAAGACACAGGCCGGGAAGGTATGGCAGATGCAGGTGAGGGCAGAGGCGATGGGGATGGAACACGACGTGGAGGGAAAGGCGGGATAAGGGGAGCGGGCATGGAGGCGGTGGTTTAGGCGGTACGGAATGACCTGTAATGGTACATGCAATGAGGTACGGCTTGAAGGTTATTTCGCTGCCTCGCCCAAGAAGGTCGTGATAGTAGTGTAGGAACTGGAAACAACAGTCGATCGGCCTTTTTTTCTCTCGTAAAATACACACTTGCAATGCATCTTGAGCCGCAACAAAGCATCCGTTGTTCTGAGTGGAAGGCGCCATCGTTATTCCACGCTGCGGCACAAACATAATCGGACTCAACCTACACACTCAAGCCGTCAAGCAGGTTGACCATCGCCCGTCGGCCACGCCCGCCTTCCATGCATGTCTTCAGCAAGCCATTACTGATCCTCTCGGCATTCGGTCTCTTGTTCTGCCCATCCGGCCCGTGCATTGCATCCAAGATCGTCGTGAATTGCCTCTGGACAGCGTCAGCTGAGCCTTCCGGTGCCCTGCCAGTTGGCCTCGTGCCATTTTTTCCGGTGCGAACCTCAGTCAACATACGCGACGTTGAGATTGATGCAGGGTGAGTCAGCCATACCCTAGAGCCAGGGGGTCACTGCATATGCACTCCCGAGGGTTAACAGGTCGCTTCTCGCAGGGCAGCTACACCCACTGAGCGCTGGGTGTGGGTGAGATGCTAAGTACCATAGTGACTCCGACACCAGCGAACGTTGATAACCGGTTGCTATCTTGGAAGGTACAAGGAAGCAGGCGATGAACGTCTACACGTCTATCAGACCTTCGATATCGGACGGTAAGGACTTCTTCGTCCTACCTTCCCTGCTACCTTCTCTCTCTGATCACAACACAGCCCTGCCTCCCAGTAGCTTCCCGCTCACCGCCGTCCATGCGGCAGGCAAAGCCCCACCTGTGGCGATTCTCTGACAGGTCGCGAGGAGGGAACCCGATGCGACGTTTTGCAAACCGGATTGGATGCCGCCCGCCAACGACCCTGAAGGCAAAGTCAGCTCCGCTTCGTGATAAGGAACAAAAACATGCGCACCAGCGACAGAACCGGCGGCACTGACGCGCGCCATACCCACCGCGGCTGGCGCCAATACCGGGGCAAGGAGCGCACCTCCGACGATGCTTACGCCGGCGGTCATGACAGCAACTCGGGCGAGGATATCTCTTGATAAGCGCTGTCTATACCCTTCATGAGGGGCTGTGGATCGAGCATTTCCTGATATATATGGCTTACCGGCAGCGAGGGCATTTCTTTTCGGAGTTGCATAGAAGCTCGAAGCAGGTAGGGTGAAAACGTTGGCCACAGGACGTAAGGACGACCTTCTTGTCCGCCGACAAGAATCCAAGTCGACACTGTGCGCATTCCTCGGCACGGTGAAGAGCTGATAATTCCGAGATGATGTGCGCAGTCAATATTTGACATCGGAGTGGACACGATAATGGGGTATGCTGACTTTCTCGTGGTACGAGTATGTCATGCTGTTCCGTTGACAGCCCGCTTCGTATTGTGAACGTCGAGAACAGCGGCTCGAGACGATTCTTCGCAGGGAGCGATTCTCTGGTATGCACCGGAAAACGCGGTGGATAGATGGAGTCGATGGCAGGCCTGGAATGTATTTTGGAGAGCTCACCCACATTGACGCCTGGGACACCTCTGATTCATTTCGCATACGATCTCAAAGCAGGTCAAATGAAGGGTTTGACCGCAGCTTGTCACAAGGATGCGGTCATCCGCCTCTAGGAAGGACAGTCGACATTGGGAACACAGCTTGTCCTGGGGGGCGTGTATAGCTGCGAGAGTGTCTGAGTGCCAGAGTGACAGATCGTCGAGGAGCTCCACATACTATTCCGTTGTACAACCAGTTCATGAATCATAGTCGTATAGCGTCAGTCTTCAGTGATCTGCAGCATGGCTGGACAACACGCAGCGGTGGCGGACTGCTGAGGCGCCCCGCGCGTGTTCGACACGTGGTCGCCTAGGGTGGTCTGTTCGACGTGTTGTTGAATGTTCACGCCCTCCTTCAGCTTCCGCATCATATCTGCTTCATCGTTTCCTCGACGCACGGTCATACCTTGAGCTTGGGAAGTAGCTCATTTGCGCTCACAGCTTAACGGACCAGAAAATGCCCTGTATCTCCGTACTATCGCTGGCGGTATTGTTCTATCATTCGCATCACCGCCGGCGGCGCCCTGCGGGATCGGCACAAGCCACCGTGCCAAACGGCTAGCCTCCCTAGGCAGCTCCCGTTGTTTGAATGAAGGTCGCTCACACGCGAGAGACCAACTGGTCCAGGCGACCTAGGAAATTTGGCCCCTTATTTCTAGCACGCTGCTTCCAGCCTCCCGCTTTCACATGATATTTGCAAGCTGTAAAAGCCTGACGTCGGTCGCTACGGGTCTTCGCCAATTAGCTCGATTGCGAATCGCATTTGCCTGTGTAGCCAGTCATCTGCATCTCGGTTGCCACAACATGCGCACCCGCTCGGACCATGCCGAACAGGAACCAAAACACCGTCGAGGTGGATCAAGAAGCTGTACCTGATTTAATGCGCCCGGTGCCATGGAATATGTCGCTCTGTCTTTCAAGCTGCGGGAGAATGCTAAATTTCATAGCTTGGGGATACTCCCTTCCCAGCCAAACTGGCTGGCTTGTGGTGAGTAGGATTCCTGCACGGTTCGACACGGCACTATAATTCCCCGGCCAACCCGACTTTTCGGTTATTGGCTTCATTATCTGTCACGCATCACCGCGCACTAATATCCCACTCGTTTCATGAAAACGCGGCGGCTGCATAAAAAGAGGGTACCCGCCTGTCGACGACATACGGTGCTGTCGGCTGAATTATCCTCGGGCACCCCGTATTTCTCGCTACCACTTTCTTCTTATCATCGAACACCCCGCAATTTTGGTGATCGCTTCCCGTTGAACGATGCAAGCAGGTCCGTACGCTCGCTTCTCGTCGTCTCGTGGGTTACAAACAACGGGCTGATAGTCATGCCAGATTCCGACACTCCATCCGTTGATGCCTACGCGGCTGAAATTGTATCGCTGATCAATGGCTTCAACATCGACGAGGCGAAGCATCATCTTTCACGTTTACGTTCTGATCTGGATGATCGCATCACGCAATATAGGTCGACATACATCGCGGAAGCCACTGATCCTGTCGGTTATGGTGTCCGTCTCTCTTTCGGGAAGGTTTTGCTAGAGCGTTACTTGCTGTTCGGTGACCTTCCTCTGTTGGAGGAATCAATCGTTGCGCTGCGCGGCTTACTAGCGTCAGATGTCGTGCGCGATCATCATCCTTTAATCGAAGATTCCCTCGACGCCCTGGGTGACGCGCTGTCTGCTCGGTACGAACACACAACCGAGCTGGACAACGCCCTGGAAGCGATCACTCATCATCAACGGAGCTTAGACCTCCGCAAAGCTAACAACCTTGCCCTATACCCCGCTCTCCACGGTCTTGGCGCCGCTATACATATCAGGAACTATGGCGATATCCCTCGCCCTTCTTTTCCGCTTGAGGAATTTCGACGGGCCGCCGACCTCTTGAACGAGGCATTGGCTACCTTATCCCCATCCGACCCTCGGAGACTCCGTACTTTCAGCTATCTGCAACGAGTTTATCGTGACATGAGCCGTCGGAGTAGCTCCTATACTCTCTCATATCGCGCCGCCCGCGATGCCTTAGTCATCACTTCGACAGAGCATCCATATCACCTTCTTGCTGTCCTCGCCGGAGCGAGAGTCCTCTCTATCCCGTGGGGCAATTCAACGGGTACCTTGCCTTTATACGAAGGAACCCCATACCGAGATTGTGCGAAAGCCGTGGGCTATGTCTCAGATCTCATGGCGCACATAAACCACCCGCACTACGGCTCCTCGCTGAGCCGCCACGTCATGTGGCTCAGCAACATCGCAAACGCGGATGAATTCGATGGCATCTTATCACAGGCTCGTCGTGCATTCGAAGTATGCCCCAAGCGCAGCATTCCGATCCTCAACGTATCAGTCGGGTTGATCGGAGCGCTGGGCGATGCGTACGCTGCCAGCGGTCAATCGGAGTACGTTGACGAGCAAATTGCCGTCGCAAGGGTCGCGGTCGCATCGCAATCTCGGCCCGGGCGAAGACCGTTCCGTCCTTTGCTGTATAATCTCGCCAGTGGACTGTACAACAGGTACAAATCAGGCGGAAGGGCAGACGACCTGAAAGAGGCAGTCTCGATCGCCTTGGACTGCGTTTCGCCGATCGCCGAGGCTCCCAACCCGGGCGAGCTGCTATACATGGTTCTTGCGGGGAGCTTGCTTATAGCGCGTTATAGCCTGACACAGGATATAGCTGACGTCGACGCCGCTCTCGATATCGGGAGACGTTGCATACCCGTGGTACCCGAGAACAACCCCGAGATTTATATCTCAGTCATTGCTATGGCTCTGGAGCTGCGGTTCAAGCGCGTCGGCAATCTTGATGACCTACAGGAAGCCATTAAGCTCCTGCGCCCTCTCTTGCACCGTCTATCACTTTATCAAGTGAGATTCACCCTGGACCTCCTAGCCAGTCTATCACGGTGCCTTTGCCTGCTTGCGCGTGCAGTCCGGGGGCCTGAACACGCGCGGGAGGCCCTTTCATTTCGTCAACAGGCTCGGGAACTTATACAATCTAACGATCTTCGGACAAGCGAATACATTCGAGGCTGTGCTCAGGAACATGCCTGCTTGTGGATGCTCGTCGGAGACACGCGTCACCTCTCCGAATCCGTGCGGTTCTTCTCGGAGGGCGCGATGAATGCCCGATTTCCTTTACATTCTCGTTTCGCATGCGCCGTTGAGTGGAGCAACGCATGTCGGGACGCCGACCCTCAGATCCGCTCCGAAGCGCTGCAATGCGCGGTGACCTTACTGCCACAAGCCATCCTGTTCGGTAACCTACGCGAGAGACTTGAAGCACTTAAGCAGGCGCCTGGTATCGCGCGGGATGCCGCCATCCACGAGCTCTCACGCTCACGCACCGACGTCGCCGTCGAGCTGCTGGAGCAAGGTCGCGCCGTCTTCTGGAACCGTGCCCTCAACTCAAGGCGGCGCGGACAAAATCTACCGAACGACGTTGAGCGTCGTCTAACGGAGATCATGCGGACGATTGATCTCGAGGCAGCGGACGATGGGCAGCTACTAACTCGACGTAAAAATCTTCACGTGGAATTGGAGGCCTTACTGAAGGAGGCGCGATCGACCCCTGGGTATGAGCACCTACTTCGAACTCGTCCATGGCGCGAGCTGTCTACCGTGGCTCGAGACGGGCCGATTGTCGTCCTTTTGGCGAACGAGACGTGCGCTGTGGCTCTTATTATTCAGGACGCGAAGCCGCCTCGGTACATCACTCTACCAGGGATTGACGCTTGTGTCCTCGAGGATCTTAACATCGACATGCATGAAACTTTAGACAACGAGCGTCGCAAACGCTTTAACAATGGATCGTCGAAGAGGTACCAAAAGATGCCTCCTCCGACTGCACTCAAATCACGCCGAGGTGATTCCGGGTTGCTGTCGTGGAAGGATATCCTGGAGCGTCTCTGGGACCTTGTTGTCTGCCCCATTTTCGAAACGATGGAACTGAAGGTGCTCATTTCTTCTCTTGGTTCGGGTACTTACTAATCTTAATTGCATGCGTTCACAGCGAGGTCCTTTAGAAGAACGTCCGCGTTTATGGTGGTGTCCAACAGGGCCATTCGTATTTCTCCCGCTACATGCCGCCGGGAGGCACAATCGTAGACGTGACGCGTGGACATCCGATTACGTTATATCATCCTACACTCCTAGCCTGTCCGCTCTTCTGCAGGCTAATCAAGACCCGCCGCTTGACGTTCTTCGACAAAACGGGGCAGCTGCCCTGTTAGTTGCGGAGCCTCAGCCTGTCGGGGAAGAATGGGAGTCAATACCATATACATTGGCAGAAGTTTCGGGTGTTAAGGAGTTGATACCATCCGCAACATTGTTGGGATCCATCGAGGAGGGCGCGACCATCCAAGATTTCGTCGAAAACTAGCGATCAGCTTCCGTGGTCCATTTGGCGTGCCATGGCATTCAGGATGGCAGTGATCCTTTGCAGTCTGGATTCGCTCTGCGAGATGGCATGTTGACGGTGTCTCGGATCATGGAGTTAGACGCGCCGAATGCAGCGGTCGCTTTCTTGAGCGCGTGTGAGTCTGCTATGGGCGATGGCGGGCTACCTGATGAATCGGTTCACCTGGCGGCAGCGATGCTTTTCCTTGGGTTTCGTAGTGTAGTCGGAACGATGTGGTACGTGTGTAGCTTTGTGTATGCTGATGTGTGGCGCTAAGCACAGAACATTCGATAGGGCAATGGACGATGCATCAGGTCCAAAAGTCGCTCACCAAGTGTACGAGGCCATGCTGGCGGGCAACCGCCACGGTGATTTCGACTATGGATGCATACCAAGAGCTCTAGATTTGGCCATGCGTGAGCTCCGAGAAGACAAGGAGACACCAATAGACGACTGGGCCCTCTGGATTCACATGGGAATATGATAAGAGGCTCGCAGGTATGACTCCCTGACAATCAAAGCCAATGTGCACATGCAATCAGACCCACGATGATTTGTACGGTGCACTGTTACGTCTTCAACCTTTATCTCATGTTACCTGCAGAAATTCACGTAGAGGAAACCGTGGAGAAGGCCTGTACTGCGCACATATCCAATTCGCGAGGGAAAAAATAAAGCTCAGCTCAAGAACGAGGGTGGCCGTCTTGTTTGCTTATCTACTCGTGCGAATGCGAGCCGAGATTCGAGAAACGCGCAAAACCTTGAGTCACGGATGATGGGAGTAAAGGCGAGTAGGGGACAATGGCGGTAACGTTCGATAGCGTTCTATCCTCGGGCCTTGATATGAAGCCTCATGTCTCATCGCGACCTAAGAAGGCCAACAGTGACAGCGTTATTGGAGCGTTCTGGCCATGAATCTTTTATCGAGGCTCATTCCGTGTCAGCTGTAAGGGCACGGGTTGAAAGAATGGGTGATGACGGCCCTAAACGCAAACGAATGCCTGTGCGCAACCTGCGGTAAAGGGTAGTATCGGTGATCCATTGAAGGGCTGGATGAATGTACGAGATCGCCGTATCCGCATGATTGCTATATCGGTCTTCATACGCGACATAGTGGACGCAAGCCTTGAGATCAGAGCCACCGAACATAGCCTGAGACGCGTACAGATTGACAAGGACATGGTCCACGTACAAGGAGCCCACAAAGGCGAATGTGTTATGTGCTCAGTCGGGCTGCAAATCCCATTCCGGGAAAGAGGACGGGATCCTAACGCAACAGAGTTTCATTCGAGACTTTGCTTGAGTTTCTGGAGGCTCGCTGGTGTCGCCAGGACCGCGTGTTAACTTTCATTTCTCGTCCAACAAAAATTAGACCGACAGTGCGGGTGTACCCGGCTGTTCCTCTTACCAGTTTTCGCCTGTGGATCACTACAGGTTGCGATAGCCCTGAGCTAGGTGTTAACTGGCCCTCGGGCAACATCGATAAGGGATTCTTCCAGTCATCAGGAAAAACTGGATTTGCTAAATACCTCCTAAAACGTACTAAAACGTGCTCATTTAGTAGCTTTAGAGGGTTTCGGTACCCAATAAGCGACTCTTTCGATAGTCCGATTTTTCCTGATGGTCTTCGTTTCTGCAGACGGAGATTATTGACCTGCCTTTATGTGGGAAAGAACAGTTCAACAGTCCTCCTAGACAAATCGTTCCATGCTCTGGGATTTTTCGTGCCACGGCTCCTGTCTTGTTACCGAGCTTTACAAGGTCTTTCCAAGGTTCACTCGCTTGCCTTTCTCTCGATTTTGATTGGCTGAAACCTACTTAACTAGATGCTTTACGTGATAAAAGTGTAATCACAATGACTCATCAATGTCTGTATTCAATGCCCTTCATTACCGGTCCCCAACGCAGCACCGTCAAGCGACCTATCGCGCCAACACGGTGCCCTTCCGGTGAATTAGATGGCTGATTGCATCGATGGGCAGTCCTTTGGCGGTGAGGAACGATGGTCGCCGTTAGATTCACGAAAACAGCTTCCCCACGTGGCAATCTGACGACCGCGAGGTTGTAGAGCACAACCGACCATACCGGTCTTCATGATAGTCCATGCATAGATCGCAACGACCGTATCATTATGCCTGCAGTGATTGCCGCTATGAACATCTGCACATACTAGATGCATACGGCGCAATACAAGGGGTGATCTACGTCACTTTTCGGTATGCTACATACTCACTACCTACGAAGCAGAAAGGACTTCAGTGAAGGTCGTCGATGCGAATGCCGAAGCGATTACGACATTGCTCGTCTAATCTTCTGGCCCATAAACCACCTCATAATGCAAGGATTCAGCTTCCCCTGAGCGACCCGGGAGTAACGGCATCAGCGGTCTGTGGGACTCGTGATTCATACGAGATCGACTCACCACGTTGTGCGCCTGGAACCCACTCCAAAGGATCATGAACGCGCCTATCAGGTCGCACGGGCAGGCCGAATACGTGCCCAGAAGTTTCGCCTTCTCCACCTAGGGATCCGGAAGTCTTTTGCGCCGAAGGCCTAGTCACAACCAAAGTGACGAGCCCAGGCCAAACAGGTTGCACCGTGAACTTCGACCTCCCCGAGTTTGCGCCTCCGCCCCATATGCTCTGGTCATCATCCTGCGGGGACTCGGAGTGAACAAACAGAGACTCCCTTGTATTCCGTCTCCAGTCGAGGAAGTTCCCTGGTATTATCAGGGTATCGGAGGGGTCGACAACCGGAAAGCTGGGATTGGAGAGCGTTACTCGCGCCCAGAGGTTTTTCGTGGTCATATTGTAGACGCGGATGGGTCTACCGGCGCGAAAGACATCTTCGGGAGCCAGGAGACGATCGGATAGGCGGAGAGCCAGGGCGGCTAGCGAGAGAGCAGGATTCGCAGCAGGAGAATGCGGGAAAACAGAAAGGTCGCACACGGACACGTTCTTCCACCCGTACTGCATCTCCAGCTGATCGTCCACAATCCCCCCAGATCCGGTATTATCCGGCATAGGAATGGTCCCGAGCTCGTGCGCGACAGTGCCAAGCGGAATTGGGTTCAGTTCTTTGATGCTGTCTTCCAGTTTGTCGAGATCAATTATGTCGAAAATAGGTGCACCGTCGTTCATTGGGATCTCATCAAGATATTGGAGGTCCAGTGTCCTGGCCAACGTCTTCATGACTTCGATGGCGAAGCGGCGGCATACGTCCTTCTTCTCGAGTAGATCGGGAACATCAGCGAAGTCCACATGGATATGCGGGTCTCCATTCTTATCGATATTCACCGAGTTGCCCCGAGCTAGCCGCGCAGGCAGCATGAATACGATGACGAGCTGGGGAAATCCAGTTGCGGAGCGATCACTGCGCGGTAGGAAGGACTCGGCGTCTAAGGAGACGTGCACAAGAGCGGTTTCCTGTGCTTCACCATCTGTGTTGCGGAATGTAATCTCCGTCTGGAGCTTCATAGCGTTGAGCGTTTCCCGATTCGCCATCTTCCTGTAAATGAACGACTTCCCGACCGAGAATATGTGATGGTCGGTAAGGTGCCCAAAATGTGCGTTGAAGTCACCTCCGTACTTCCCGGGGTCGCCATCTACGCTTCGCAACAGGATCGCAGGGCTTTCTACGCTCCCTGCACAGATGATGGCGTGACGACAGCGAATTCTGTTCTTTCTGTCTAGATGCCCTCGGACGACAACATGCGTGACAGGTGGTCGGGATTTCGGATCGGTCTTGCCGTCCGGTCTTGGTTCGAGGTAAAGGACGGGGGCGTTGATCAGGATATGAGCACCACCAGGCAGTACACCCTCCGGTTTCTGAACCACGCCGTTGATCATCGCCGTTTCCAGAAGCGAATCAACGGTACTAAAGGCGCCCTCCGCGAAAGCGAAGTTGCGATCGTTCCTGAAGCGAGATGCGACTCTACCCCATTGCCACTGCGTGGCCGGGAGCGGCCAGCCGTCTTTGACTGGTTCGTGATCTATGCGGTTGAGCTTATCGATGACGATTTGGTGGAGAGGCAGCGTGACTGGGTAGGACAATCGAGTTATTTGTTCCACTCTCTGATAATACGAGCCCCCAAGTCGGTGAAGGTCCTCGTGCACGGCGGACGGAAAGTGTTTATGCAGCGTCTCACTGTCGATTCTGATATGCCACGCTGACATCAGTACCGAGTACCAAAAGAACGTCGCGGATCATGACCTACCTCGGAGTAAACAGGCCCCACACGGTGCTTCGACCTCCTAGAGCATACACGGCCCCTCCGTTCCATGGCTTAGAGGGGTTGGGCGATGCGCGGTTGTCGCCATCGTTCTCGCCACGCCTGGTGGAGGGAGCTGTATCGATCATCCATTCGGATCGCACAAGCTGGTAGAAAGCATCGCTGGCTCCGTCCGAGGGGAGATGCGGAGGGCGAGGGCCGTTGAGTACGTGACTTGGGAAAGTGACGCCACCCTTGTCGAGGATCAGGATTCTCTTCGGACGTGCACGCTAGAAATATCAACAGCGATGAGCATGGACTCGTAACAAGGAGGGGCGTGATGATGTATGGGAGAAGAACACCCACCTCTTGAACACAAGACTTGAACAAACTCGCACCCTCTTCAACGAGGGTGTCAAGCATCGCAGGGCTAGCAGCGGTGACCGTAGTGGTGTGAGCGATCTTCTCGAAAAGAGCCGAAGATCGCTGAAGGATCGCAGCATGCGCGTAGCCAGAAGACGGTTCGTAGAGAACGTCAGCGAGGTCGGCGACGAGATCAGCCGCTTGCTGTCCTATGTCGGGAACGTCTGCACCCGACCCAAGGCTCCTCGCAACTTTCTCAAACAGCTCCGCGGCTTTCTCCCGGACGACGGGCACCGCGGTGTCCGTAAGGGCCTGCGGCAAGGAGGATCGCACGATGCCCTCGCAAACATCGGCACCTCGTTCTCGAACTGCCGCGATCAGCGCATCGGCGTCGGGTTTAGCGCTGCTGGCGAGTTGCAGTAGCGTTCGGAAGAGGTCATCGGCGTCCTGAGCGGTCGATTGGGAGTTGAGGTCCGCCGTGTTCCTCGAAAGGCTCAAGTTTTTGCTGATGAAATCGGCGGCCAGCACGCCACCGCCCATGCCGGTGCCAATGATGACGAAGTCGAACGGATCGGTTTCCGACGCAAGAGCAACCTGTTGCGGTTCCAACGGAAAGAACCTCTTCCAAAAAGGGCTGGCGTCTGCCGGATCGTGACGAGGCGCGATCCCGATGTCCAGGGGGATAGAGCAGCTGGTCATATTTGCACGATGGGCTCAACAAGAAACCGCAGTAGGTTGCAGCGTACTGCGATGGGGTCAGGGAGAGGACGTGGTGATTTATTCGCGTCTGATCCAAGATAACGTTAGTTGAAGTTTCGGGAGGATGGCCAACAAGTTCAGATCGCGGACGGCAAACAGGAGAGCGGTGAGAGACAGACGGTGCTGCCCTCCAGATGATGCACACTTCTTGGACATGATATTAAACCTCGTGGTCCATCGAATCCCGACGGAAGGACATCGGCGACATCAGGTTCATAGACGCGTGATTGAACCTCATGTGCCGTCAGGCGGTTTGGCTGGGACAGATGGAGATGGGAGCCAAGGAAAAAGGCAACGTTCGAGCACCCGAGCACCAGTCCTCGTCCAGAAAATATCATGCACCTGTATCATCATCACGATCTAAGCAAAGCTGCTATATCACCGGCCATACGACTGTATTGCGCTCTCTGTAGAGTTAGCCATGTTCTCCTCGACAGAATTGACCCAGGGTTAGGGCGTTGGTGGGCGGTGCGACCGTCGCATGAGAACCCTACAACAAAGTTTGAGACGTATATAGACTTTCGAGAAGGTGGAGTGCCTACGGAAGGACACGAATCGCGGGCACCTCAGAAAGCTGCTGACATCCGCAGCAATACAGGATGCTGTGATAGCGTGTCCGGATGGTGAACGACGGAAATGGGAGGAACAGGGGAGCCGATAGGGAGAGGCATTCTATCGTGAACGTGCGCTCGTCAGGAGTGACATCCCTGACATTGATCGGGATTCCGTGGGGACGGAGGACCTTGTTCGGACTTCGCTTGATAGTCTAGACACAACCTGACGCCAAAATCTCGTGTTGACCTTCATTTCTCGTCCAACAAAGATGAGTCCGGTTCCACGCGCATCCCCAGGGAGTCCTTCACTGAAGATACTGATAGCGAAGGACCGGGTTTTGTCGGTCGATTGAGTCGCGAGTGATGAGCTCATGGCTCGCTTTGCATCGACAAGAGAATGTTCGCCAGTTTGCAGATTGAAGTCGGTCTAGCCATCTAGGTATGAGTTGACAAACCGGATCCTGGAAGCTTAGTACGTTGAGCATACCCTCAGATTGATGAAGACAGGCGTTCACCTGTGCATATATACAGTAGCGCTTCGAGTCTATGAGACATCGTCCTCTGAATTTGAACAGAGCGTATTCATCTTCTGTCCGCCTGGTCGCGGCGCAGGCTACCCGCTAACATGTGGAGCTATCGGATAACCGATAAACCCATATGAGGTACCATCGGAACAGTACGTTTATGATAGGGATAAGTCGTGCAAGCAATCGAGAAAAACCGGTGAAGCAGCATTGTTTGCGGTCTGGTCCGACGGCAGTCGCGGTGCGAGAGGCACGAACTGGACGAGGCTCCACGGGTCCCTGCGTCATTCCAGCCCTGCGTTCTCTGATACTTAACTACGTCGCGCCCCAGACAATGGACCGCATTTCATTCCTCTGATCAAACCCCCGCGCTCGATGAGTTTCTTCATACCGCCGCCCAACATGAATTATCTTGACGCGTACGATATCCGCGGCGACACCGACGCACCCGCGCAGCCGGGTCATCAGACGTTGAACGAGGAGGTCTCGCAGGTGCACGATACACCCATATCGTCCGACGATAGCCTGCAGCCAACTGATCTCATTTTCGTGGACGATAGCTCGCATCCAACCTCACCGGGTTCTGGAAGGGCTTCGTGAAACAGGTACGTTTTGTCTACTTTCATCCGACTACTGGGGCGAGACCTAATCGCCTGATATGTAGAGCTCTGCGGCACTACAGACGGGCTTGCAAGAGGTTGCTCAACAAGCTAAAGATGCACGGAAAGAGCTAAACTGGATCGCGACTGGAAGCTTGGAGGAAGGAGCGACCGCCTCCGGGTCGTCTGCCACCACCGAGAAGGAGAAGGAGGCGACGTCCGCACCCACCTCTGATCCCGCCGCCGCATCCTCGCAAGAGGAGGACAAAGAGAACGAGAAAGACCCGAACGCCCCTTCCACCGACCCTCCGACCTCCCCAACGTCCGCCTCCTTCAACTTCCTCTCCAAACTCCAATCTTCGATTCCACCCTCTCTAGTCTCCACCGTCCAGAATGCGCTGCCCGATAGCGTAAAGCAACATGCGGCGCACCCAGGCTCGGTCGACTTTGCGGCCCTGCGCACGACGCTCTCGTCCGAGTTCCAGCGCGTTGCGGGCGTGACGCGCGCGCAGGCGGAAGAGTACGTGCACCGCTCGGAGGGCCTCATCCGGGAGGCGGTCAAACACGGCGGCGATCTCCTCAAGGACGCCGTCAAGGTCGTCCCACCCGACCCCAATTTGCCCTCTGGCACTGCGAACACGGGCGTAGTGTGGGACGGCACGGACGTGTGGGCGTTCGACGCGCTACCGGTGATCGCGCCCAGCTCGAGCTCGAGCTCGACGTCGAGTGGGAAGGGGAAGGAGAAGGTACCGGCTCTCAGTTCGGTGCAGGTGCAAGACGCGCAGAAGGCGGTTGCGACAAGGGCGGAGGCGCTGCTCAAGCGCCTCCGGCATGACCCGGAGATCCTCAAGGCCGACCCGGACGCGGATGCGAGTCTGCAGGACATGTACCCGACGTGGATCGCGAGGGAGGTGGTCGCGAAGGACGGTGGGATCAACGGCGTGGAATGGGCCGCGCGGATCGAGGAGGCGCTTGGCGACGGCACGGATGGGAAGGCGCTGCAGGCGACTTACAACGCCTTGGGTAAGCTTGATATTTCGGACGACTTATGGAGGGTGAACGTTGACGGATTGAATAGTCCCGGCGAAGATGACCCGCGAGACGTTCTGGACACGGTACTTCTTCAGGGTGTACCAGATCCAGAGGGAAGAAGCACGGCGAAAGGCATTGCTTGAAGGTACGCATCAAAGCCATTTGTGTCTATTCCTCTCAATTTTTTTAACGTACTTACTCGGTGTGATATATAGGCGCTACCCAACAGGAGGAAGATATTGGCTGGGAAGACGACGAAGACGACACCTCGGCAACGCCCTCAGGAACCTCGTCCACCACCATCCCAAAGAAGCCACCGCCGCCCATCCGGATCGGCACCGGCGAGCCGGGGCCAGGACCGCACTCCGCCTCTGGCAAGACGAGGTTCGATGATGACAGCGACGGAGAGGAGGACGGGACATCGGAGCGATTCCAGGAGATCCCGAAGGACGAGACCGCCAAGCTGAAGAAGGTGGAGGAGGTGAAGGAGGCTGATAAAGAGGTGGGAGATAAGGACAAATTGGCGCCTGCTATGGATGGCAGTCCGCGACACAGCAGCGAGAGCAGCTACGACGTCGTGAGCGGGGCGTCAAGCGTGGTGGGTGACGGCGGGCCAGCAAAAGACAAGAAGGCAGGTGAAGCGGACGAGGGCGAGGATAGCGACAGCGATTGGGAGTGATCTCAAGAGTCCGCAACGAATCTGTGCGGAGCTCTCGATCTTCATATCCAGTACGTTCCATGAGGACTGCCATCTATTAGCTTATACCTAGGATTACCTTGGGTTGTTGTATTTACTTTTCATCAATGCATTCCATGCCACTTGCTCATTGTACTCAATGCCGCCGAGAGGACGCCATCATCAAGAAGGTTTGCAATATGATACGCGAGAGGGGAAAATGTGAAGTTTCATACAGATGGAGCAGCAATGCGGGTATGAGTGCTGAGGCGAAGTTCGGTGCAGAGGGATACGGGCAGATTAAGCATGGTAAAATAAACGTGAGTGCGACTAGGTGGACGATAACGACGATGAAACAATGCAAACAAACAACAATATTGAAAGATCACGCAAAGAGCGCAAGCCCGGACTTTCTTCTCGTAGTCTGGGGAAGCGTACTTCCAGCACGTCGCCCCTTCGGAATATGCGAGCTTGTCTTCGGCGCCGCATCCGGGTCGTCAGAGTCATCATCTTCCTCCTCCTCCTCCTCCTCCTCCTCTTCATCTTCCTCCTCTTCTTCCTCCTGTCGGGCAGCTGTGACCTGCCCACGCGAGCCGGTCTCCGATGAAGGCGTAAGCAGCCCTACCTGCGGCTGGCTGAACAGGCCGTTGTTCTGATGCTGCGTGAAAAGCTGATTTAGGCCCTTGACGCTCTGGCTGAGCCGTGAGGGCCGGGTGAGCGTGACTGGCTTCCCAACGAGCTTTGTACTGGCTTTCGGCAGCTCTGCTCCTGACTGCACCCTGGCCAGCGGCTGCTCGTCGCTGTCGTTATCACTGCTTGAAGACTCGGATTCAATTTGCGACACTGGCAAAGGAGGCTTCCCCAATGCCTTAGTCAGAGCAACGGCTTGCGTATTGGTCGGGTATTGGTGTTGCGTCTCGCTCTCCAAGAACAGAGGGTTAGGTGGATCGCTTGTGGCAAGAGCGGCGTCGGTGTTCTGGACCTCCCCTTCTCCGTCTGAATCACGCGTGAAGACATCTTCGCGAGGCGGCGATGAGGGCGGAACGACCAGTGCCTGCTCGGGATGACGGTCTTTATTCGTTCTGGAAGTCCCAGGTAACGACCCTTGAGTTCGAACCTCTTCAGCGGGTGCAACGCTGCTAGTCTCTAGCTGGTCGATCATCGACGGATCCTCGGGTAGCATCTCCGCGTCTGTCACCTCCCCTGCGAGCGTGGCCCATGGGACGGCCGAGGAAGGCTGAGTCAACCGCGATCGCGTTTGGCTTGGCGTCTGGGGAGATGCCGCTTCCGACGCGGGCACAAGTCCGGTCGGTTCATCGTCATCTTCAGGCTGTTCAGCAGAGGGACTGGGAGCCTCATGCGCTGCTGACCTGTGCTCCACGTCTTCGGACTCTGGCGTCACCGACGCACCTCTGCTCTTGGACCGCGTTTTCTTCGCTTCCCTAGCCGCCTTCTCTTTGGCTTTCGCCGCCTTCTCGGCCTTAGCCGCAGCAGCCTTCGCCATCTTCTGCTCCTTCGCGGCAGCGGCCTTGGCAGCCTTCTCCGCCTTGACTTTCTCTCTCTCTGCCGCCCGGGCGGCTTTGACTTCTTCTGAAAGAGGAGGACGTCCGCGAGCTCGTTTGACCGCCGGCAGGAGGACGGGCGGCGGCAGGGAAGAAAGCGGGCGCATGCCGTTCTTCGGGGAGGTAGTGGCGGCCATGGCGTCACTGAGCTTCGACTGCAGCTCGGACAGCGTCGTCAGTCCTGGGGTATCAGACTTCTGCGAGGCATTGCCGTGCCGATCTTTCATTCGTTTAGACGTCCCGTGCTTGGGCGTTCGCGGGGGCGAGGAAAGCTGCACTTGCGGCTGTGTCGGGGCTGATTCGATGGGGTCTACTTTATCGTCCACATTGGCATCAAACAGATCTTCCGAAGGTTCAATTGGATCCAGGAGGTCCTCTACGTTCTGATGGGAAGATCGCGGCGAGTCCGATCCAGGAACCAGGATGCCTGCCCACGCTGGAGGCGTGCCTTCGCGAGATTGTGACGGACTCGTTTGCGGTACGATTTCCGACGCTTGCGGTGCTGCGGGTGCTGGACTGGATGTAGGAGAGGTCGGACCAGGTTTGCCCCTAACCGCTGGTTTACGAGCCGTGATAGTCCCGTTAAGCGTGTCCTCCAGGTTCTTCTCGATGAACCTGGAGTGCTTGTCGGGTCTCCCTGATTCCGAGTCCTCCACTGTCTGTGCACGACTGCTCGGTGCAGGATGAAAGGTGTCGTCGCTAGAGGCGCCTATTGCCCCGAACGAGGGCACTGCCGGTTCGGCAGCAGACACCCCTGCAAGTGGCGAAGATGAGTTCGCGTCGGCAATGCTATTGACCACTGGTTCAGATGCCGGTTTCTGGACATGCAGCGTGAGAATGAAAAGCGTCAATCATGTAAAGGTGAAGGCCGAACCTCAAGGATTGCGTCTGCCATCTCAGCATCAACAGGTTCGCCGGGAGCATGATTTCTGGCACTGTCCACTACAACAGTCGGCACAAAATGCTTCACATGGCCGGTGATCTGCTCCGAATCGGCTGAACTCTCTTCGCTTGGTGCGACGGAAGTCATCCTAGTGCCCGGATACCGGGTAGCAGTGCGGGCAAGCTTTGGGTCCTCATCCTCCTCGTCAGAATGGACACCCGCATCCTCTAGCAAGCCGTCCTCATCATCTTCGTTGCCCTCCTCATCATCCGAAGGGAGGTCGTCCAGAACGCTATGATCCACATGCAACCCAGGGCCCCTGATGATAGCACGAAGGGCAGGGTCTTCGTCATCGTCTAGAATTGGTGCACGGGAGCGTTCAATGACGCCCACTGTAGGTTCGTCGTCATCCGAGCTCTCGTTAGAGCTTCCTTCGTCCTGGGTTTCAACGGCGACTTCCTGTATCTTCAACCGCGATGGAATGGTAGGTGCCCGGGAGGATGCTGTGCTCGCAGCAGCGGAGATTGAAGGGAGATCATGTTCGTCCGATGTGCTGGAACCTGTCGATATGCGTCTGTCCTCTTGTGTGCTGTGCCTCTGCTCCTTGACCTTTTCCACCTTTTCCTGGAGCGTTGGAGGCTTCTGAGGTTGAATGGGGTTCGCTTTCACTGTCTGGGAAGAGGTCTGTGTCTGAGCCTTGAACGGAGGCGCCGCGTCTGTAGCCTTCCGAGCGTCGTCTGCGAAGTCGCTGTCCTGAGAACGGACTGTGTGCCCCTCCTTGTCCTTCGGTTTGTTCTCTACTCCGATGTGAGCAGAGCCTGCAGGCAACGCTGCTGGAAGATACGGACTGCGATTTGCTGCGTTGATCGCTTCAACCAGGTCGATCTGAGGTGTACTGGGGACAATGGTTGCATCACCTATCTGCTTCTTCTTGCCGCGATGCACTGTAAATGCCAGTAAATGCCAGGAACTGCGATCACGAGCCTGCACCTACCAGCTGCGCCCTCGCAGCTCCCATCGTCTCTCTCGATGTTGGCGTCGACCTTACGGCGCTTCCGAGCTTTGAGCAGAATCAGCATGAGCACACAAATATGAGGAAGATCACTCACATTCTGATGACGCTGGAGCCCCCTCCCGAAGAGTAGCCCTTTCAATGTTTCTTTTGTTACCTGTGCTTGACGGTGGCGCAGCATCATCGGTGGGGGTGGTAGCAACCCTGGCAGGTGCGTCGAGCGGGAGTGTTGGCTGTCGGAGCTTCCGCTCCTTCTTTTGGCGCTTCTGCTCCGTCTTATCCTTCCTGGTAAGCGTGTTTGCCTGCGGGGTATCATTGGCAGGAGGCGCTGTCGGCACCGACGCAAAAGCAGGGATGACAGCTGGGGCCGTCTCCCGATCCGGAGTAGGAGCGACCGACGAAGTCCTTTTGCGTCTCCTTTTCTTGTGTTTGGATGTTTCAGTGAGTGTCGCGGAGATGTTGTCTAGATGGCCATCTTTGGACAGGGCTTTCTTTTTCCCCTCCGCATCCTGCTTGTCGCTCTCTGCAGAGGGTAGGAACCCGGCAGCTGACCTCGACGGGCCAGCGAGAGCGCTTGTTAACGATTCGCTCACGTTCCGTCGAGAATCCGAATCTTGACCAGCAGGTGAGAGTTTCGCCTTCTTGTCTTTCTTTGCCGCCTTCTTGTTGTTGACCGGAACTCCATTGGTCCCATCATCACCAACGAACTTAGCAGCGGACGACGGCGCAGTACCGCCGCGTCGACTTTCAGCAGAGCGAGCCAAGATCGACTCCTTGGACTCATTACTCGCTAATTTTTTAGGCTTCTTGGGCTTGAAAGCCGGCTCAGACGAGGATGAGGCCGGATTCACGAGTGCGAGCGCATAGGAGATCATCTCGTCCGGGATGACGGAGGACTCTCGTGACTCTACGTCGTGGGGAACCAACCTTGGGCGCGCCTGGGGTGCTTCAACGGATGCCTTGCCCTGCACGGGTCCAAGAGAGGTCTTGCGCTTTTTAGGCTTAGGCCCAGCGTCGTCTCTTTGAAGGGACGAGTTGATGGTGCGTGCGAGATCCTTCGCAAAGCTGTTCGATGGATCCGGGACCGGCTCCTTCGTCCGATGGCGAGCGGAGGCAGAAACAGGTACAGGCGGAGGGGGCATCTCCTCGGCATGCAGAGAAACGTTAACGTCCACCGAAGGCGTCGACTTCGCAAACACATGAAACGCCGACATGTCATCCTCTGTGTAACGTATGTTGATATTGAGACTGAGAAAACCGACATGCACGAGGAGAGCAGCGTACGCACTGTCGGAGAGAGCGATCGCCCTGCCGTCCCTAAGCCATTCCAGCTTCACCGACGCGTGTTTCTCAACACCGAGCTTTTTCCTCACCACCATCTTCAATTGCTCCAGCGTCTCGTCTGTGCCAGCGCCGCCCGATCAGCAGCGCATACACACGAAGAGGAAGCAGAGCGATTGCAGCTTGCCTTCCACGAGCAGCCTCGCAAAGCCCGGCCGGTCGGGCACGTTGAACACGACGAGCGCGGGGTCCGCCTCACGCTTGCGTTTCTTGCTGTCCATCGCGGAAACCGATGGCGAGGGCATCCCCGTCGTCGCACACGCGGTTTTTATCCGACGGACGAAAAGAGCGCGGCCCCTGCGATGTGGACGGCGAAGTGATTATTGCGCGCGGCGTTTGCCGAGGCGATTTGAATTGGGTCGCGGTGAAGACGGACGCCACCGGGTGCCAAACCGGGCCAAATACGCCCCGCTGCTCCCGACCACGACCTAACAAATTCGCTATGGCTGCCTCTGGTGAATGCTCATGGCTTTTCTAATGATCTCTTGGTCCACCCACTTACCATGGGATGTCTTGCTACGTGTAGCACCGGGCGCGGGATTCCACCCCCACCTTCCTGGCTTCAAACACAAGTTCCTGGGCACGCTGCTCGGCGGCTCAATGTGGTTCTTTATATTCTACCGCGCGAGGTGCGTTTGATCCTGGACATATGCGCCAGTATGAGACTCTGATGTGTTCTGCGATGCAGGAAGGATGGCTCGAAACTGCTGGTGAGTTGCGCATTACATGCCTGTTGGTCCGCCATGAAGTAATGGTTATCCGACAGGGCGGTCATCCATGGGAGCACCACGGACATGGACACGAGGAGCACGATGGCCACCATTAATCTCAGAAGCACTCTGTACGCGTCCGTAGATCTCTCGCAGAGACAAATCGATTTCCTCGCTTCGCGCCCGTGCCTCTCTCTTATGCACGTATACAAGCCCTCACAATACACTGGCGAGCGTAAAGCATGGAGTGACGGTTATTGGATGAAGGTACGAGTAACAGGCTACCTAGCAGCCCGTGACTTGCATCCATCGCTGCGACATTCGACTTGGAGAATTCCGAACGGTCAAACACGCCAAGATACGGGGACAACGGACCCTCGTCATTCAAGACTCTCCTTGCTGAAGAGTTCTGCTGAACCGTCCCCCATTATAAACATCCTCGCGGTAAGACCAGGGTCCAACGCTGCAAACAGCAAGGGAACTCTCCTAATAGGGCAGCTGTGATTGGCGCCCTGTGTTTTCCCTGACTCTCTCCCGCTCCGCTCCTTCTGTGCGAGTGACGAAGCACAGTCTAGGGCACACGGTGTGCATGCCCTTCTCTGACGCGCTCTTAAGTATGACCTTCTTGCCTCTGTGACGCAAACTCGGCCAGCCTCGACCTGCACCTTGGGCAATCGATGTTACGAACTAGGAAGCCGCGTGGGGTCAACTTTGCATAAGCTTATCTCATGTCGTCCAGCACTATATGTACATATATGAGCTCCTTTCAAGACGATCCTTCGAAGGAAGGGTCCTCTCTTCCTACCGTCTTGCTTCGCGTCTGGACGGTCGACCGTCGCATCATCATGTTCGCAGCACAATACCGCGTGCCGTGGATCGTGATCTTATGGTCGGGTATCCGGACATTCTTCCTGTTCATCGGGAGTGAGAACATGCTTTGGTACGTCGCGTTGCAACGCTTTCTCTCCTCGACTTTGAGTGGGGAGGGCGCAGCTTATTCTCCCCGCCAGGTGGAAGTACACAAAGGGACGGCGAAACGGGGGGGCAGACCATATTGGTGTGGCCATAAACGACCTCTTGCCAGATCATCGACATGTGTTGACTTGCTCGCACGAACAGGACCGGCTTATATCCTTGGCGCGCCGAACCGCAACGTCGCCGATGGCAAGGCCGTCATGGCGGCCTACGACCAGCTGAAGGGTGCGTTGAGCTTCGCACCCGAGTCAGGGCAAGCGCTGACCTGGTGTCATTCTACCTCACAAGCGTTCGTGCCGTACCTTTTGACGCTGCGCATCACGGATTCCTCAGGACATGCGATACCGAACGCCAAGGTCGATTTCTGGCAAGTGCGCGCCTCCTGCTCCTCCGCCTGCCCTTGCTTCGCCCATGGCCAACGTCCTGACGTTTTTTGCGGTCACGACCGGCAGGCTGACTCGGAAGGGAATTATTCGGTCACGGAGTACGCGCTCCGGGGGAGGTTCGAGACGGATATCGACGGGAGGGTGGAGGTGCTGACGGTCCCGCCGGGGAAGTACGGCCCGATGAACCACTATCGGGCGGGACACTTCCATATGACGGTCGGTCCGCCGCGGGGGCTGAAAGGGCGGTGGGACGAGGTGACCACACAGCTGTACTGTTGCCCCAGGAACGACTTTCAGGACACGAGTTTCGATTTGTGCGTGGCCTTCCCCCCTGCTTACCTCCTCGGTGTCTGTTGAAACTAATGGGCCCTTTTCGCGTGCTATATCCGCAGCTTGAACTGGTTCCGTCCGCCGCGTGCGGGTAACCTGCTCAAGTCGTGGTCTGCAGCCGGTGACGACGGTGTCATGGGCTTCCCGCCGCTGGCCGACGAAGAGGTGAAGAAGAGGGCCGGGTGGTGGGATAGCAAGTTCGAGGCGGCTGGACACGGCGAGCTGAAGGTCAGGGCGGGGGCGGAGTACACGTTGGCGTTGAACGGGGAAACGAACACCTGGTTGTGATCATCCCAGCCATGCGTTTGATGTTTAGCACCGCTACTCGTGCTGGACACCATTGATGCCCATCGTTGTGTGTGTCAAGTGTATATCACTACGTTGAATCCCGAACGGCCGGGTAAGCATATGTTGCGTGCGAGACCCATTGCGTCACCGGTGCGTCCTCAGTTGCCGACGAGGACTTCTCGCTCGACCGCTTCTCGACCGCCTTCATGTTCCGAAAGATGGAAACGCCATTCGGGCTCCCCGCATCTCTCGGCGCTGGCAGTGCAGTGCGATCAACGGCATTGGCCAGCGAGCACGAGTTCCCGAACGACAGGCGCTCCGCCCCAACGTGCATGGGAACTATGACCTCATCACCGCCCAATCGAGGTAAATTCCTGTTTGACTCGCGCCGTGTCCCCCGCCCCCATGTACCTTGTCCAATAGCAGTGCTGGTGCACCTCTCTCATCCCTATGCACTCATTCTAAATGCCCATAAGACCCCGCCGAAAGACCATACACGAACGCTTTCGTCAACGCGGAGCATGATCGACCACGAACAATCGCTCAGAGCCCTCTATTACTCTCCTTTCCCGTCAGGTGTGTGGAGCTGTGGCAGGCGTCTTGATGCAAGGTGCGAGGTGTTGACTGGGGCTGCAGTTATTTTAGATGCCGATAGGAAGGTGTGCTTGGTTAACCGCGAGGCGGAGAAGGTACGAATCTGCCCGTTGACCGTTCGATGTCAACGCCTCAAACCGCCTTCCCTGTAGCTCCTCCACGCCTCGCAAGCCGCTTGCGAAGGAGCCTGCCTTGACTCCTTCGTGAACCCTTCCTCCCTCAGCGCGTTTCATCTCGCGCTCAACGCCGCAGCGGCTGGCAGCAGTGGCGACGCGCGCAGCGGCCCCGTCAAGACGCACCTCACCTTCAGCTGCAATGGTGCGGGCTCGCTCGAGGCCGTCGTCCACATATCCGGGTGGCAGCCGGCGGAGGGCACCTTCAGCGCGCCGTCGTCGAGCGACAGCTTACCTCTCAAGCGACAACCAATCCACGAAGCGTACTACAGCGTCGGCTTCGTCCCGACGTATACCGTCCGGCAGCCTGCCGACCCATCCTCTTCGCCCACCTCTGCAGATACCCCGCCGACGACATCTCCCACCTCTTCCCAATATACACATTCTCCCTCTAATAACCAAACACCGCTCCCCATCTCTCCGTCGACACCCTCCCATATTACGACCTGCCTCTTGGACAGCATGGACGTCATGCTCCTCGCCGTCGGCTTCGAACACGAGCTCAAATACGCCAACGCCGCCTGCCGCTCATACTTGCAGCGCTACGGCCTGTGCGGCAACGATCACGCCGCTACGTCGGAGCTGCTCGCGCGCGGGCTGCGCATGGTTGAGCTCACCTTCGGCAGGGCGCTCCCGTTCCAGGACTGGCCCGCGTACCGCGCCGCGCGCGGCGAGGTCGTGGAGGAGCACCTGCTCGACTGCGAGGTTGTCGCGACGGGCGCGCGCCGGATCCTCCGCATCGCGGCGACGCCGCTGCGCGACGCCCACGGGACGCTCATGGGCGGCCTTGCGCGGTTCCTGGACGTGACGGACTTCGAGCGCGCGGTCGGGCGCGAGATCGCGGCCAAGGGCGAGCAGTATTTTCAGCTCGTGTGCGAGTCGATACCGCAGTGAGTGGCGCGTGTTTTTGTTCTGGGCGGGCGTTTGAACCGGTTTTTTGGCTGATGTATTCGGCCGATTTTTTTGGTGTAGGATCATGTGGACCGCGCGACCCGACGGGTTCCACGACTGGTTCAACCAGACGTGGTGGAAGTTTACGGGCGCGTCGGTCGAGAGCAGCATGGGCGTCGGCTGGCGGTCAATGTTCCATCCGGAGGATATGGCGGAAGCTAACAAGTTGGTGTTTCTGCCGTTCATCCTGGGGTTCCGAGCGCACGGCTGATTGAAGGGGGACACGCTTTAGGGTATGGTCTCATTCGTTGCGAACGGGCGAGCCGTACAATGTGCAGTATCGGTGCAGGCGTCGAGACGGCGTCTGGCGCTGGATGCTGGGAACCGCCCGGCCTTTGCGCGACGGCAGTGGTGCGTGCTTTCGGATGGCTGTTGCAAGGTAGGAAGTTCGTACTGACGATGTTCTTGCTCGGCTTTTTATCTGTAGGTGAGATCGTGAAGGTGAGGCCTATCTACGAATCGTTGGCAATGCCTTGGGGTATCTAACCGTGCGTTCTAGTGGTTCGGAAGCTGTACGGATATCAATGTGAATCCACATCCGTTTCTGCGTGGGAAGAGGACGCTGATTTTCCTGCGTCAGGATACCGTTGAAGCTTTGTACGGCGCACGAAGATCGCAAGCCCACTTATCGTCCGTGATCACTCACGCCGCGATCACTCTCTGGGCCGTGGACAAGGTATACCTTCGCTCGTGTTTGGCAGACCGTAATGACAGGTGCTGAATCGATGACGACAGAACGGCGTTATCACGGTCGCCGAAGGCGACGGCGCGAAGAGGCTCAAGCTGGTGCAGACCAGTCCCGCGGACAGCGCGGAGCAGTCGCCGACGCAGCAGCCCGCGCACCTCGACGGCGGCCCGCGCGCACGGGCGAAGCCCGGTCGCACGCACAGCCCGACGCTGGTCGGGAAGAGCATCTACGACGTGTGGAAGCCGGAGACGAAGGAGTACATCGCGCGCGCGCTGGGGGGCGAGACGGTGGTGAAGGAGATGGAGATGGACGGGCGCTGGTTCAGGACGTCGTATACGCCCATGCGCGAGCGCTCGATGCTGTTTCCGTCGGGGTACTCGGAGCTGACGGAGGAGGAGGAGGAGATCACGGGCGTTGTCGGCGCGAGTATGGATATTACGGCGCAGAAGGAGGCGGAGAAGATGATGGAGGAGAGCGCGAGGGAGAAGATGAGGGCGTTGAGCGCGGAGACGGCGGCGAAAGGTGAGAGACCGTTTGCGTGACCATTTTCCTTCGGATGGGTGGCTCACGTCGGTGCGTAGAGGCTAGTCGGCTCAAGAGCGAGTTTTTGGCGAACATGAGCCACGAGATCAGGTTAGTGCATCGTTTTGCTTAGGGACATGCGCGATATGGTATGGCCTGCCTAACCTTGGCCTTACAGAACTCCCATAGCAGGCGTTATCGGCATGTCGGAGCTCCTGTGCAGCACTCCGCTCACGCAGGAGCAGCGCGAATACGCGGAGAACATCCAACGATCTGCGGACGCGCTGCTACAGGTCATCAACGACATCTTGGACTTCTCTAGTACGTCGTCGCAGAGGTTTCGCCTAGCAACATCTCATGCTTTGTGTGGCAGAGGTGGAAATCGGCAAGTTGGACATTGAGAACGCGCCATTCCGCTTGGATATGGTCATCGAGGACACCGTGAAGATGCTTGGCTTCGCGACGCGGAAGAAGGTGTGTTGTCAGCGTCCGCTTACCGGACGAAAGGCCGGCTTCTGACATGGTACCGCAGGGTCTGACCTTCGGCGAGGACGTGAAACTGGAACACGCTGAATGGGTGATGGGCGACGCCGGCCGGGTGCGGCAGGTGATCACTAACTTACTCACCAACGCGATAAAGGTGAGGATGGTTAGCTACCGCTGCGCGATGAGTTTGACTGAGTATTCGGTCGTCACTAGTTTACCTCTGAAGGTTCCATCGGCCTCGCTGCGTTGGAAGAGAACGTGAGCGAAGAGGTGGTGCAAGTGAAGGTGGTCGTCACGGATACTGGCTGTGGTATTCCTGCGGCACACCTCGGTCGGCTGTTTCGCCCGTTTTCACAAGGCGACACGTCCACTGCTCGTCGATTTGGTACGCACAGCTGGAATCGGCGGCCAAGCACATGTCAGTGACTTACAATCTTGCAGGGGGCACTGGACTCGGCTTGACCATCAGCAAAAATCTCGTCGAGCTCATGGGCGGGCGCATTGGCCTCGAATCGGAGGAAGGCGTTGGCTCCACCGCTTGGTTCTCGATACCCTTCAAGCGGACGAAGCCTCCACCTGCTGGAATGCCTCAGACTCACGAAGAGGTCTGCGGGCGACCGTACTCGCCGCGAGATAGCATCGCGACGCTTCTCGAGGGTTCTCCGCGCAGTTCTCCGCGCAGTTCTCCGGGGTTGGATGTGCTTTCTTCCGTGGGCAGCGTCGCGAGAAGACCTAGGAGCTCAGTGTGGGTCCTCGTGGCGGAGGACAACCTGATGAACCAGAAGATTGCGCTGCAGATGTTGCAAAAGATGGGGTTCAACGCTCTGGCGGCGAACAACGGCCAGGAAGCCCTTACGGAACTCACGCGCAAATCGTACGACCTTGTGCTCATGGATTGTCAGGTGGGCGTCGATCCTGCTGTGATCTTTTTTACTGCCATAACTGACTGAGTGAATAGATGCCCGAGATGGATGGCTATGAAGCCACCACCAGGCTACGGAGCATGCCGCAGACGATGCATATACCGGTGATCGCGATGACGGCGTCGGCCATACGCGGCGACCGGGAGAAGTGCCTTGACAAGGGCATGTCCGACTACCTTTCCAAGCCGGTCAAGAGCCGTGTACTGGAGGAGATGATCCTCAAATGGCTGCCTGATGTCGCGGAGCTGCCTTCGCCTCCGCCTGGTACGCCGTTACCGCCGGCTCGCTCGCCGGAGAGGAGAAGGTCGCGAGAGATCCGTGACAGGCCCGCGACGGGCATCAGCCCTCCGTCTCCTGCGAGGGCCGGCCCGGCGACTCGTCGGAGCCTGGAGTCGAACGCGTCGTCGAGGGTGCCTACCTCTCCGCTTGCGTCGACGAGCACGTCGCTCAGCACGAACGGGAGCATGTCGTCGACGTCGCAGTCGCAGGCCTGGGCGACGGCGCCCTCCGGCGCGTCGTCGTTTTCGTCGGTCGCGAGCCAACCTCAGTCGGGCGGGAGGAAGAGCCTGGACGGCGCGAGGGCGCCCGCTTCGCCCAAGTCGCCGACGGTCAGGCTGAAGCCGTTACCGGACGCAGCGCCTGTACAGCTCCCCGCGGTCGCTCAGCCCCCCGTGCCGACTCCGGGTGTGCTCGGGCTCGGCATCAGCTCCTCCCCTTCGCCCGCGCTTGGCGCGGAGCCGCCCCGACCGGCGGAAGAGCGGTTGCCCTCCAAGTCGCCCCCGTCCGGGTTTAGGAACCTGCTCAAGAAGAAAACGTCGCCTGCCGTCGAGGGGAGCGGCGGGAAGTCGTCCGACGCGCAGCATCACGGGAGGAGTTTGAGCGACACCCTCGCCGCGCATTCGCGCCGGGAACGGCGGATGCTGAAGAAGTAACGCGGCTCTTTGGGCGGCAGACTTTGTGGATGAAGGTTGGAAGGGTCAGTTTATCGATCACTACACTGTACCATTTGCGATTGACCGCCTTTGTGCGGTGCGGGGTCCGTGCTGACTTGGCAAAATCGAGTGGTAGGTTGATAGACCAGTTGTATATATTCGTGGACTGCTTGCTGCATTGCTTATTGGGTATAATAGCGGTAGCATACATACTGTACACAACCTAATAGGACTGTTTATATTAAGAGGGGTTGAAAGGAGCTAGCCACCGATACCAAACAAGCGCAAACTGTGGGAACATGTTGCGACTGGACTGCACAGTTACTCCCGTATTGCTCCCACGCCTCGAATCCAATCCTCATCAAACTCGGGTCACTCGCTGACGGCCATCCTCAAGATTCAAGATGGGTTAGCAATATCTTACTCTGCCGCTGCTGGCGTATTGTGCTGACGATTTCTGTTTATTTTGTCTGCTCTTCCTCCCTAATTCCGCACATGGACGTCCTGGACGCCCTATTCGTGGATGTCCACTTGCCCTGGGTGCCCTTTGTGGATGCCCACCTGGACTCTTGTAACCTTCCTGGGTGCCTACCTGGCCTTCAACTCGAAAATGGGTGCCCATCTGACCTGTCGTCCTATGTGTCCTCTTTGGTGGGTGCGACACCGTCCCTGCTTGATCTTGTCGCCCGCGGTCGATCACAGGTATCTCTCGCGAGTCCCGGCACAAACGCTCCGCCACCGGCGCCCAGCGCGCCCACTACCGCAAAAAGCGCAAGTTCGAGCTCGGTCGTCAGGCGGCGTCGACCAAGTTGGGCCCGAAGCGGGTCCACACCGTGCGCGTCCGTGGCGGGAACCTCAAGTACCGCGCGCTCCGTCTCGAGTCGGGCAACTTCGCCTGGGGCAGCGAGCATGTGACGAAGAAGACCAGGATCATCGGTGTCGTGCGTAGCGAGCGCGTATATGCGGGTATGGACCGTTTGGAGCTGATGAGGGGTTGGTCGTGTTGATGCAGGTCTACAACGCGTCGAACAACGAGCTTGTCAGGACCAACACACTCGTTAAGAGCGCTATCATCCAGGTCGATGCCACGCCTTTCAGGCAGTGGTACGAGGCCCACGTACGTCCCATCCGCATTTTTTCCCATTCGTCGTGAGCAACATTAATATTCGATCGGCTATGCTACAGTACGCTCAGCCAGTGAGCCGCAAGGGCAAGTCCACGATCGAGACCACCGAGGAGAAGAAGCTCTCCAACCACGCTCAACGGAAACTGGACGAGAAGAAGAAGGAGGCCAAGATTGACCCCCTCCTCGAGACCCAGTTCGGTGCCGGTCGTCTGTACGCCGTCATCTCCAGCCGTCCCGGTCAGTCCGGCCGTGCCGATGGATACATCCTTGAGGGCAAGGAGCTCGAGGTGAGTAGTGTGTCCTCGTCCTTCGCGCGATTGCTTGCGGCGTCACGCGATCCTGGCTCCCTATCGCCAGCGGGCTTCTGTCGCCCGTTTTTGGCCCCCTCTGATATCATCATGATCTGTGCTGACCTCGGATTGCCGTAGTTCTACCTCAGGAAGATCCGGACAGGCAAGCAGAAGCACGCACAGTAAACCGGTGCACATGTCCGTTGTTCCCGATCGGTTCTGCGTCTGTTTGTTTGGCCGCGCGGCGGTGGCGGTGGGCGATAGCGATGGGGCCGGGGGATGAAAAACTTTCGTATGAGATGGCCCGTATGCCAGCAACTGTGTATCGCGATATATGCGCATGCTTTCCCATGTCCTCTCCGAAGCTCGCGCAGATGCGGTGCGCGGTGAGTTGTTTGGTGAATGTGAGACGCTAGCGACGGGCTGGATCTGACCGCATCGGAGTGGGCTCGGTTACCGGACGGTGTGGATGACGTTTGAGCACAGGCCACGGGTTCGAGCCCCGCCGTACCCGAAATCTTTCGCTTCCTCGAACAGGAACGCGCCGTCATCTGACTTGGCTCAAGTGCCGCCACCGTGGCCCACGGCCTCCTGTCTTCCCCTCCTCCGTGGGTGCTTCGCCCCCGGTGTCTCCCTGTCCTCCCTTTCCCTGCCTCTCTGCTGTATATCTATCGCCCACGCTGCTCGCGACGGCACGCGTCCAGTCATGTCGTCCAGGAAGAAGGCATCGTCGGGCTCGCCACGCGCCTCCGCGCGGTCCGAGGTGGTGTGGCGACGGACGACGACGATGAACATGCGCGACCTCAGCCGCGACGACGACTTTCTGAGCCATCTGCTCGTGGAGAAGCTCGGGACGGGCGACGTGCCGCTGCTCGTGCACAAGATGGACCCCAGCCGCCGCCTGCCGAAGACGAGCGCGGACGACCTGCTCGCGATCGTGCGACGCGTGAGTGTGTTCAGTTAGCTGTCGCCTCCGACCCTGAGGGTGCTACTTCGGCAATGCCAAGAGCCCCTCCTCGACGTTTTCGACGCGTGTTCTGATTTTCTTTATTTCTCTCGTGCGCGCGCAGCTCGTCCTGTCTCGGTCCTCCATCTCGAACTCCATACGCCGCGCCGTCGACGAACTGCTTCGACTCAAGCCCGTCCGGTACTATCTGCAGTCCTACGACCAGAAGCAGATCAACGCCTTTGCCACGTACGTCCCTCCCCCCCCTCCTCCTCCCTTACGCGCGCGCCCTGCCGCTCTCCTTCGGCGAAACTGACGGATTTTCCGCCGCACGGCTTGTCTCAGTCACGCGTCGCGCTACTTCGAGCTGTACTCTCCCTCGGGATCGATCGAGATCGCGCACACGTCGCGCTACTCGCAGTACACCGGCAAGTCGGAGCTCTGCATCCTCGCGACGCGGCCCATGGCCGTCGGCTCGGTCATCAACGAGCTCAAGGGGTCCATGGCCGACCTCACGGAGGAGGAGGACCGGGAGCTGAAGCGGACCGATCGCCGGAACACGGACGGCGGGATCCGCCGCGATTTCAGCGTCATCCACTCGAGGCAGATGAAGAAGAACCACCTTTTCTTGGGCCCCGCTCGATTTGTGAACGTGAGTAAAAACGCCGCCTTTCGCTTGCTCTCCCATGCTCTTCCCATGATGTAAAAAGAGAAACGCGGGGCATGTGTCTCCCGCTATCCATTGGAGTGAGCGGGTGGTGGGGGTTGGTGGGGGTGGTGGAGCGTGTGTGCGCGAATCGAGACTGATGCGGACGGTTCTGCTCTTCTAGCATGATTGCGACCACAATGCGGAGCTTTTTCGCGATGGGCGGTATATCACCTTCCGAGTTCGGAAGCCTATCAACGTCGGTGACGAGATCACGGCACACTACGGTGACAGCTACTGTACGTCCCTTCATTCGCTTCCTATACGCTACGAACGGCCTGCTCAATCGCATTCGGGCATGCATGTACAGTCGGGCGCAGAAACAGGTACTGTCTCTGCGAAACTTGCGAAAAGAATGGTCGCGGCGGGTACGCGCCTCGGGATCCGGACGCCGAATCGGAGGAGTCGGACTCGGATTCGGATTCGACGATATCAAGCGTGGGGTCGATCAGCGACGACGAGGAGCAGGTCGGGAACGTGAACGAGCGGCGGACGAGGCGAGGTGTATATTTCGTGGTGGACGAGGACGAGAAGGACTCGGACGAGAGCGACGCGGAGAGCGACGCGGACAGCATAGACGGGGCTCCCGCCAGGATGGGCCTGCCGACGCCTGCCGAATCTTCCCTTACACCCGAACTTCCCGATCTCACGCCGGAGTCGACGCCCAAGAAGCCCGCGTTCCAGTCCGTGATCTCCACGCGCGCGCAGAAACGCGCGCAGGAGGTCAAAGCGCAGCTCGTCACGCCGCCGCCGTCGAACCCGTCGGACGTGGACTCGATCTCCGCCCCGCCGCCGCGCTCGCGATTGCGCGACGCGTCCGCCGGTCCGTCCACCGCGACGCGGAAGCGCACGCGCAGCGCCGTGGCGGCCGAAGAGCAGCAGCAGCAGTCCGCGGAGCCCGAGCGACGCTCGCTGCGCCCGAGGCAGTCGCTGTCGGCGGTCTCGAGCAGGCTCCCGCGGAGCGTGTCCGCGGGCGCGAAGGCGCGGGAGGTCGCGGAGGAAGAGCGGCCGCGCAAGCGCGGGCGCCCGCCCAAGTACCCCCAGCCGCCCGCCCGCGACGACCGGTCCGCTTCGAGCTCGCGCGCGCCCCCGTCCGAGCCGGAGGAACCGCCGCGCAAGCGTGGGCGCCCGTCGAACGCGGCGAAGGCGGCGCTCGAGGCGGCGAAGAAGCGCGCCGAGTCGAAGAGCAAGTCGGTGAGCGTGGCGCCGGTGAAGCTCGAGCCTATCGTGCCCACCGACGAGCATGGGAAGCCGTTGCCGCTGTGCAGCGTTTGTCGAAACATTTTGCCGGTCATCTCGGTGGATGATACGGTCGTGTGGGGGATGGAGGAGAGTCCGAAGGGGAAGGGGAAGGGGAAGGAGGTCAAGCGCGATCGAGAATGCCCAAGGTAAAAACACCGTGTTTGGATCGGGTAGGGAGACGATCGTGGCTGACGGTGCATGCGCAGGTGTATGCGTCATTTCGCGATCTACGGGCTGGCGTGGCCGATGCGCGTGCCTCCCAAGAACCACGGGCACGGTTCGGCCTTCATTCCCACTCCGCGAGAAGAGAGCACGCCTGTGGAGAGCGGCAGCTTGTCTCGCAAGTTGACGCACAAGACGCTGTCGTCTTTGGACCGCAAGCTTGCGGAGGCTGCGGCGAAGAAGCACAAACGGGCACGGAGTGAGGAAAGGGCGACGAAGAAGCCCCCCATGGAAGAAGCGCCGCGCGTGAAGGTATCTACCAAGGCGAGGGAAGCGCTGCAGAGCAAACCGAATGTGCACACGAAGACCGGGCGGAGAAAGGCCGATAGGCTGAAGGCTATGGTGGACGAGCAGCCGAGGAAGAGGGGGCGTCCCAGGAAGATCAAGGTTCAGGAGTCGGAGGACGGCGAGCCTATAGCTCCGGAGAAGCAACCTCGGGAGACGAACGGGCGGTTTGGGAAGAAGATCCGAACGAACGGGATCCACGGGAGGAAAAAGGCGGCGGTCGTCAGGGCGGCGAAGGCTCAGGAAAGGAAGGAGGCGGAAGAGGCCTGGAGACAGGACGCCGTGGAACAGCTGGCGGAACTCAACAGGCTCTACTACGCCGCACGGGAGGAACGGGCCAGAAAGCGTGCAGAGGCCGATGTTTTGGAGGCTGCCACTTCAGAGGCTGCCGCTCGAGAGGCTGACACCGCTCCCGCCGCCCAACCCGCAAATGATCACCTACCCGAGTCTAAAACCGCTGCTCCGCCGAGCGGTGATTCCTTCGGTTCAGGGCCCAAGATTGTGGGTGGCCTCCTCTATCGTACCCCCAACCCCGTCTCGTTCGCCAGTCGCCGCCCCAGGTGGATTACGATCATTCCCGGTGCTGATCAGGACGAGCTACTAGATCAAGACCTATGCTACTCGGAGGAGGGCGACGACGACGTCGAGCATGCTTCGGAGCCGCCGGCAATGACCGAGCTCTCGTCCGCCTCGGACGAAGAGCTGCCTGTGACCCCTGAAAACGTGCACGGCGACGACTTGGTGACCCTGGCGGGCGAGGGCGACGACATGGACGACATGGACCCGGATGTGGAGATGCTGCCTGCGCCCGATGCGGATGGCGCGGGGCCCTCGTCTATCGGGTACAACTTGGTGACGCCGAACACGGTGTCGAGGCTGGGCTCGCTGAACTGGAAGCCGTCCCCGGTCAATGTTGCCATGCAGATGCGCAAGTGGAGTCTCTCGATGCGGAAAGACTCGCCCGACAGGGACGAGGCGGAAACGGCCGATGCGACCGAGGATCAAGCCTCGGACGACACGCTGCCTCGCGACGTAAGTTCCGCTCGTCTTGCTCTGCCGCTCCTTCGCTGAGACACGATTTCGTAGGTTCTGCTCCTGCGTCGAATCCCTGGACCTTCCACTTGTCTTCTCGAGCGATCGACATCGTCTGCTTCCAAGACCGCGGGACGCGGCGATAGCGCGGACACAGCCATCGATCTCACCGACGAACCCAGCAGCTCTGCTAGTACCGCCCGAACTATACGTCACACCCTTCAGTCCCTTCTTAACGAACCCCTCCCGAAACTCACCAGCAAGGAGGTCCTGCTCAAACCTGGCAGCGTGCACTGGCTACGCAAGACGGCGCTGTTCAGCGCCGACGAGACGCAGCCACCAACCCACCTCGTCGATGCCGGATGGGATAATTCATCGGAGATGTCCGAGGATTGACGATGCTTAGAAGGTGATGATATGACTAGGCTGTTTCTGATTCTGCTCAAGGACTTGGCACGAGTTCCATGTCTGTATTGCTATTTAAAACACTAGCAGTTTCGGAACCTTCAGGCTTCCCCAGCATTTTGTTCGTGCTTTTCCGCTCTTTCCGCCGTCGGTATGCTAGGCTACGGTAGTGTATCTTGTCGCAATTGTTAATAGTCCCACATTGTCGCGCTCGTCTTCCAACCAGTATATTGTCGTACGCATAGTAGGAACCCATGCAATGCATTATGAAGGGGGATAGTGGTTGCGTCTATAGATACATCCAGTGCAATGCTACAAATATGCGAATAATGCAATCAGCTCCGACGTCCCGTCATGAATTATCTTGCAGGCTCGATCTATACTCTCTCAGCCGGTCCCTCTTTCTCGCCAGTAGCGACCTCCGTATCTGCGGTCACCGCAGGCAACCTGCGGTAGAATACCAGCACCGCGATCATCTGCACCGCGATCACCCCGAGCAAGAACCAGTACGCAGCCGCGCGCCCTTCGTACCCTTGATATCCGGGCCCACCGTTTCGCGCGCTCCGCTTTTCGACGGCGGCCTCGACGCTGGTCGCGGCCGCGATGCCGACGGCCGAGCCGAGCTGAAGCGCGCCGTTGAAGATGGCGCCGATGGTGCCCGCCATGCGCGGCTCCGTGACGCGGAAGATGGCGATGTTGATGTTCATGTACGCGAAGATGCAGCCGGCGGAGCCGACGACGAGCGCGGGGAAGACGAAGGGCCAGTACGCGTCGCGGGCGCTCGCGAGCGCGAGGAGGATGGTCGCGACGCCGAGGAACGCCTCGCCGCCGAAGATGAGCCATTTCGGGTCGATGCGGCGCGCGAGCGGGCCGGCGAAGGAGCAGAGGAAGGCGACGACGGTCATGGGCACGAAGTGCACCGCGGTCACGATCGGGTCCCAGCCGTAGACGGATTGCCAGAGCCCGGTGGAGACGGTTACGACGGTGTACCACCAGAAGTAGGGGAGGAGCGCGCCGGCGAGGAGGACGCCGAAGTTGAGGAGGGACCAGGTCGCGGGGGGGATCGCGGCGGAGGCGGCGGGTATGAGGGTCTCGTAGTAGATGAAGGCGGCGAGGAGGAAGGGGGAAAGGATGAGTGGGGCGAGGACGCGCGCGGAGGACCATCCGGCGGAGGTGCCGGAGGTGACAGCAAAAATGAGGAGGATGAGAGCAGCTGGCAGGGGCGGGAGCGGGTCAGAGAGACATGTTGCTTAAGGCGACGAAACTTCTTACTTGTAAGGACGGAGACGCCGATAATATCGAGGTTCGCAATGCTGGAGAGGAGAGACTTCTTCTCGGCCCCGTGCTCGGGCTCTTGCTTGGGAATTAACACATATGCTACGGCTGCGAGCACAACCGATACGATGGCGAGGAACCAGAAAATCCAGGGCCATGTAGTGAACTGCACGAAAATACCGCCAACGATGAATCCGAGCACTGGAAGAGAAGTCCGGTTAGCATTCCCGTCGCATTGGAATCGCGTCCAGCGTAATCGTCTCACCTGCGCCGATGGCACCGCTGCCACCGAATATGCCGATCGCCCGCGCCTGTTCGGTCGGCTCGGGAAACACGTTGACCAACAACGCGAGAGCCGCTGGTATCGTCAGACTCGCGACTGAGAATAAGCCATGTCAGACGAGCGCGAGCCAAACCCAGATGTGAGATTAGCTCACTCATCCCAGCCAGTGCCCGAAGCACGATCAAGACAATCTTGGAGTGAGAGAAGCCGGCGCCGATGCAGAGCGCGCTAAGCCCGACGAATCCAATGATGAACGCGGATTCTGCGGATAAGTATGTTAATGTATATCCTCTAGGGCTTGAGAATAGGAATACTTACTCGGATTAAAGACGTCCGATATCCTCCCGCTCTGTGATATATCGTTTACGCGTGAACAAGCTATTCATGCTGAACAGGTACGGCATGGTATACTGACCACGAGCAGGAAACTGGCAAAAGTCAACTGGAAAGCGCTAACGACCCAGGTCGACTCGCTCTCGGACATGCGCAAGTCCGTGGCTATCGTCGGGAGCGCGGATATGACTGCCGAGTTGTTGAAAACGTCGATAAGCTGGGCGACGCAGAACAGTATGAGCAGCGTGTACTTCCGCGCCGTGGACAGTTGCCGGTTGGGTTTCGGCGTGGTGCCGTCGCAGTTGCCATCGCAGAGGGTCGCAGAGGGGGAGAGCTCGACGTTGGTCGACACTGGGACTTGGTTAGACGTCGACATCGGGGCTCGTCTGATGGAACGTCAGGGGGATTAAGCGAGTCTTTCGCTGTAATTCGCGGTAAAGGAAGAGGAAGAGGAAGCTCGCTTGGGAGGAGGGCGAGGAGCTGAGCGGCGCGCGAGAACCAACTGCGCTTGAGGCGAGCATCGCCAGCGTCCGCCAGGTCTTATAGCCAGCGATGCATGCAAGAAATGAGGGCTATTGCCCCAGGGCGAAGCGTACGTATCGGTAAGCCGAGTCTGACTCATGTGCGGTCCTCTAGTTAACTCAAAGGGGATATGCGAGTGGATTGATGTCGTCCCACATCGCGAGCGCGTACCGGTCGGCGATCGCTCAGGGAGCAGAATTAGATCTCAGATGTGTCAGCGTCGATGAACGCATGTTCGAGGACGGGGGAAGCGCGCGTTCTGGCCAATCACCGCGCGAGCAGAGAGTATACGGTTATTTAGGACGCATCTTGGTCATACCTCATCCCTTGGCGTATCGAAGAGTCTCCGGAAGTATAAGATTCAATTAAGATCTCGAGAGCTACAGCCGTTTCGTGCGGAGGTCGGATCAGTCAGCGAAAAAGATGCTGGTCGAACGTGGACGTGGATGAAAGGAGAGTGGCCGTGGGAAATGATGATTTACTGCTTGACCAGTCGATAAGAACATGAGATACTGAGGCACAAGCGACGGAGGCAAAGACACAATGTGCCGTGAAGCATGTCGGTGAAGAGCAAAATACTTGGAATATCATCGAGATCGGCGTCTAACTAGGGAAGTCGCTGTTTCGATATTTTCCGACTCGGCGCTGGCGTGTGTAACGATGCCTTTGCAAGAGCATCATCAGGCCATCTGGCTTCCATACTATCGAGCCGTCCCGCGCAAGACTGTACCGCGACTCGAGATGCACGTCCATCAATCTGTGGTGGTTTGAGCAGGGATGGTTTCCGCCGGTCGCGACATCCGCGCTGAAAACGTCAGCTGATGTCGAGGCAAGAAGACACGCAGCGCTGTGCCCAGTCAGCATGTTCATCCCAGATCGAGGCGACGCACCTTGCTGCATACGCAAAGAGTGCGACAACGTCAACCCGTGGCCGTATCAGCTGCGGATCTCTGGCTACACATCGGAGAGACGGCGATGGACAGAGGCTTACTTTCTTTCCGGTAACAGCCTCAACCGGCCTCTAGATGTAAGGCTTGTCGTGAAATTTTTAGTGGCCATACCCTGAGACAAGGAAAAATGCACCTGCTTTTCGTCTCTATAAAAGCCAGTCGGCCTGTCCGCACAAGCTGAAGAACACGCACCTTTGGAAGCGAACGTTGTGTGAACGCCAGTCAGCGATCCCCAGAAAAAAGGAGCAGGCACGCAGCTCGTAGCTGTCCATGTTAATCGCAGCTTATGTGAGCAAATCCAGAGGGGGGAACAAACACGCACACGCGACGTTCATCCGGAAAACAGCAGTCAGCGAGCCTATGAAGAGGGAGATGGCACATCATCTTGCTCCGCGCCCCTCTGTAAATGGCAGTCCGTTGCATCAGAAAGAAATGAAACCACTCACCTTTTACGATACACCATAAAGCACCCACCTGTGACTAGATCGATGGAGACGAGAATCAGTATGCGAATGCAGAGAAAACGAGCGTGCGCCTCTAACCATAACTCTCTGAACATGACACTCAGTAAGCCCACTTGGAGTAAACGAGCACGCACCTTGGACAGAGACCGCTGGAAGCAAGAGTCGACTCCATACCGAGCAACCGATCACACACACACCTTGTTCGTCGTTTCTGTGAGAGGCAGATTGCTCGGAAGACGGAGACAAACCAAGGAGTCCGGATGCGACGTGCCTAATGGAGAATAAAGCGCATAAACGACTCAGTAACTTCACGGGACTCAGCGAGATATCATGAGCATAGCGAGACGAATCACAACGGACGTAGTACTTTCGTCTTCGCGACAACGACAACTGACAGTGACCTGCGGGGATGTATCAGCATCTGAAGAAACATACACAGAGACGTACCACAGCAGGGTGTTATGTCAAAGACATCATCGTGCTCACGGCATCAAGGACCGCACTCCTCGCAAATTGCTCTAGAGAGTCAGCCTGAGCACTCTTGGCAACTGACTCGCACCTCGTCACGGTTTCCTGAAGGCGTCGGTGAGCGTACTTTATGGATCATTCGGACGTACCTTGAGCAATCTATCGCGCGTCTCAATTCGATCTGCATAAGCTTCAGTGACTAAAGAAGTCGCGAAGACTTACTTTTTACACGGAAGACAATGTCTGACGTAGGGCTGTATCGTAGTGTGCGCTCCTTTTCCTTGTCAGTATATATGAGGATCTTGAATGAGAGTTGATCGTTGCCGCATGATGGAGGTTGAAGAGAGAGCAGTTTATGTATTCCAACTCACCGCGCACGCACCCTTTATACAGGACGCGGGAGAAGATCTTGAATTATTGCGCGAATGGAAAATGTAGAGTATCCGCTTGACGTGCGGAACGGTGTACACCTCTGGGTTCCCGCAGGGATGTGAAGCTCGTGAAGGGACGAGCGATACCAAGGAGAGCACAGCTCTTCCAAAGTAGGCAATGAAGCATCCAAATGTGGAGAATAGGGGGTGGACCCAGTTCCGCGGAAGCCCCCTGACTTGCCGGAATAGGCGCACGAGGATCCAAACGTTGTCGAAACGGGCGGCTCGACTAAATTCAGCCATGCAATCGACGGATCCAAGGACGCGACGACGCGACAATGCTCCGGCCGATTCCCACCTCCCTACCGACAACTCGCGAACGGGCTGGCGCGAGCCCGGACAGTGTAGTTGCACGGGGCCTTTCAGCTCCCGCATGATTTTGTGTCATTGCGAAGGGCGCGTATACTGCAGCTGATGCAAGAAGAGAACACGCTGCCAGAGCGATCACAGACAGTGTCTATAAGTACTCAGTCCGGTATATAAGCAGCATGTGAGTAATATACTCGGGAGTTGTCGTGCCTATAGTGTCGGGTGCAGTACGGTGAGTAGGGACCACGAACTCGTCGGTCATATTGCAGGCTTTGAGGTTGAAGTGCCAGAAAGACGCATCGACGAAGGCTCATCTGAGTCGTCAATCGTTTCGACGTCCAGGCGCAACAACTAGCGCGTTTCGAGTTATATACGATAATCCACCGCATCGCCGTGCTTGCGCGGAATCTGTGAGCATCGCATGCGTTCCATCATATTTTACAAGTAGAGTACGAAAGGTACATATCGAAATTTCTTCCACGCGCTCTATCTGTCGAGCTTCCACGCGTTCTCCTTAATCAGCTTTTCGCGCTCCAGAAGGTATTTCCCTGCAATCCAAACTATAGTCACGCCATAGCACACAGCATGCGGACCAACACGACGAGCCTTCTTTGTATTTCTGTGAGGCCTCCGCCGCCTTCATGTAGTACCACCCGAGGCGGTCGTTACAGCCTACGCAGTACACATCTGCCACGGTGTGCACTCCGGTACTGGACACGCGCTTCAGTCTTCGTGGCAACAACCGACGCAGCTGATACGAGAGACATACAGGAGTTGCCTGTCCTCTTTCTTCCCTAACCTAACGTTGGTGGCCGAGTGTAGCAGGAAGCCGCGCCCGTCGCGTCCGGAAAACGCCTTGCTGATCAGCTCATCTTGAAGGGCCTGATTACCCCGCAGCGGTATAGAAGCCCGAACGGAGTGCGATAGAGAGACCAAAGATACGAGACCCAACCGCTTTTCAATCGCGGATGATCAACGAAAAGTACCGGCGGTAGGGACTGACGATGACGGCGGAGCAATGGCAGGTAAACGTCGGATGGTCTTCGTATACTAACGCGACCGGCTGCTTCGCGTCTGGGTTCCCGTTCGAGGTTGTCATTCTAAGCAACGGTTTGGTGAACGCGACTCATCCGGGTGGAGATTGTCAGTGACACTGTCAGTGGCAAGTCACTGGTCAGTGGGAGCAGTGCACGAGTAGTCGCATGACCGGCATTCGCCGCACCTTCTGCCGCGGCGGCGCACTTATGTAATAGCTCACCATCGCCATATCTCCTTCAGGCTTCGGCGCCTCAGGCCTGGGGTAGCAAGCTATACAACGCCGCACGAAGCTATATAATATCCCGCGGATGTCCATGAGGGCCTGTACTCTCGTTACCGTCTGTGCATGCTGCCATGGCCGCGGCCGAGGTCTACGCACAACAGCTCTACCGACTCGGGCATGGGCTGTCTGCATGGGAACCCGAACATGAGGTCCAGATTGGAGATGTCGGTTTCATCCAGGACGGCCGATTCATCAAACTTTTCAATGCGACTCGAGCAGAGAACGATCCTTGCCAACGGCTCGGCGTGCCGCCGTACTTCACCCCCCTCGACCTTCCCGCTCATCTGAGAGATGACCCGTACAAATACTTCGATCCTATGGTCCTTCACACGAGGAGCGTGAAGAACGTCCAAGTCGATATCGACTCATCGAAGTGCGCATGTGTGGATTTACGCCAAGCAACCGGTGCTGATTTTTTTTTTCCTGCAGTGCGTCCCTCATACCTTTTGGGGCCGGATTTCGATTCGAATGCTGCAATGACCTCGGAGCCGTGCTCGTACTCAAGCAGAAGGCCATGCGGCAGAATCTCAGGGACAGCCGCGTCGTCCGCCAATACATACGAGACAACGTCGACAGCTGGTACGAGTTCGCGAACGATCTCGGGTTCCGGGTCTCGGAAGGCGACATATTCATGGTGCGAGGATGCGACAAGACTTCGGAATGGGCCGTCGCCGCGTTCGCGGAACGGAGCGCGGACGCGGGCATATCCTTCAACGGCGGCTACGTCGTGGACGCCGGGGTTCGGGTCGCGGTGACGGGCTCTTGGGGTTGGTTTTGCTCTGCCGAGCATCGCTCTGGACCGGAGACCGCCAAGGACCCTGCCGAGTTCGATCAAACGGTGTTCATCCGAGTCTGGAAGTTTCGCCGGTTTCCGTTCCGGATACCTACACGCATATCGGCCGCGGCGGAGCCGCGGGACGGTTTCTTCGATGGCTCCGACGGCGACTGCAGCGCTGACTGGGGCAGCGACGGAAGCAGTCCTTCCAGCGAAGTGGCCATCAAACTGGATCCGAGCACGATCAAGGTCAGAATCTCCATGGCTTGCACCGTCACCGGTGTCATTCACGGCGCTGCAGGCCAAACATCCTTTGGATTTCTTGCTCCATCACATGTTCGAGGTCGGCACCACCCGGATGTGCTCCCTTCGCTTTCAGCTGATAGAGCCACCCTAGAGCGGGACCGTCAGCTTTGCCATCGCGACCGACGATGATCTATATTCGCTGTTCAACGTAATTTCTATGTCCCGCAACAATGGTTGACGAACGCTGACCCTGCTCCAGGAAGTACCGCCATTGAATGAACTACCATCAATGCTTAACAGTCAAAATATCGGCGTGCATGTGGATGTTCAAGGAGGTCGGTCTCATGAAGATGAGCTGTGTGATCAGCCTTACGCTTTTCGCAGTGGCAAGCATCCGTAGAGTAGCGGCAAGCAGCCGTACGGAAAATGAACGAGAGCAAGTTGACGCGCCAGCAGTCGGCACCCTTACGAATGCACCGATGACGTGGGAGCCAAGCAGCAGGTTTGTGCCATCTTCGCATACGCATCGATTCGTGGTTGAGCGCCTCTCCCGCAGCGCTCAAGAAACAGGAGTTCAACTATGTTCGATCGTATTGTTGGGTGCCGGAGGCGTTGGTAAGACGGCTATAGTTTGTCAGGTATGCTCTCCTGCCTCACACCACGGCAGTGACGCTGACGACGTTATCATAGTATGTGCACGAATATTTTTCAGGCGAGTTGTATGATTTTCACCGGTTGCGCTTGGCTCATTTGTTTCGGCAGATGTAAGGAGGTCCAGATATAAGCAGTTGACAGCTGATAACCTATACACAGCTATACGACCCTACAATAGAGGACACGTATATTAAGGTAACGACTGTGGACAGTGTTCCATGTACCGTTGAGGTGGTCGACACAGCAGGACAAAGTAAGTACGATCGATTGTTCCGGGACTTTGGCTGACAAGGGGTCCAAGGCGAGTACATGCCCATCACCGAACAGTGGATCAAGTGAGTTTTCCTGTCATGTGGTCGAAAACGCGTCTCTCATGATATCGCAGGCTCGGACAAGCGTTCATCCTTGTTTACGATATTACCTCTCGAGCAAGCTTCGAGCAGCTGCGCATTTTCCGAGGATATATGCTGAAGCATCGACGTTCTCTGCCATCGTGCATGCTCGTCGGAAACAAGTGCGAGCGTGCGTTGCAGCGGGAGGTACCAACAGAAGAAGGGCAAGAGATGGCCCAGAGCTTCGGGTGCCCTTTTGTGGAGGTTTCTGCCAAGACGGCGTGGGGTGTTCCTACGCTTTTCGAAAACTTCGTCCGCATTTTACGCTTAAAGCCCGTTGACGAACGTTCCTCTACATCGCGCCGATTGTCAAGGTCGTTTAGGTCAAGGAAGAGCGGATGCGTTCTTATGTGATGGACGGTCACAATCGTTCTCCAGTGTATCGATACATCGTGTCGCAACGCAGTCAAATACGTGCCACGGATGGTTTGTTTGTGCAGCAACGCGGCGCCATGAGTATGGAGCACGAAATACAGGGAATGTACACGGACAAAAACACGACTAGAAGCCACTAGCAGTCACCCTCAACTGATCAAGTTTCTTCAGCACCTCCCCAACTGTCCTGTCCAGCTCGCCCGCGATAGAGCTTTGCTTAGGAGCAGGGAGTGTGGCGAAAGCTTCGCATAGATCGCCATCTACAACCGCTTTCACCGGCACATAGTATCCCCTCCAACTCAGATGATCCCTTCCCACGAGCCCGAACTGCGTCAGCTCGGTTCGCATATGTTGCTCGAGCGTGCTGATGAAATCGACGTCCTCCTTACTCACGAAGGGAACGAGGACGCCGATAGTACCGTGCAGTCCCGTATACAGGATAACCTCCCTGCCACCGGGGACGAGCGCCACTTTGGAGAGGGAGGTTACTATGTCGCCGACGTGATAATGACAAAGCATCTTGGTTTTGTGGGGGGCGCCCATCAGTAAGCCCTTCTCGTGCAAAATTCCCGCGCCGGTGGGGTCATCGTCGACCTGCTCCGATACCTTCGCATCCAGACGGTTCACGAAGACGTTTCCGAATCGATCGCCAGCTATGACGGTGTTGTAGTCCACCATAGTGGACGAGGATATCCACCGAGGCTGGACGTCATCCGCGAACACGAGAAGCCTGTTCTCCGGTGGCTTGTAAACAGCATAAGCCATGGACTCTTGCATGTCCCCGACGAGGATGCGCGAGCCTTGCGTAGCAAGGGTCACGATGGCTGTCGCAAAGCTCTGATATAGCCCAGGTCAGGCTAGGGTCATAGTCGTTATCGAGCATGCGCACTTTGTTCTCCACCTTGCGAAGAAGTTTCTTCTTGCCGATGTCGTAGATCCTCAGAGATTTCCCCACACCCGCCACAAGTCGGCCTTGGAATGCCATCACTGCCATCGGTACGTCATCTGTCTCGGTCTGTGCAGCAGTCAGCGTAGGACTCAAACGTCTGTGACAGGATAACTTGCCTTGTGAAGAAGTTCTAGGCCAGCCCCTTCGTTTGTAAACGCGTACGTTCGGAGAAATCCGCTCGTACATGACCGAGGCGCCAAGAACGTATCCTGCGCTGTACCAACGACAAGGTGAAGTTCTCCGCCGCGTGCCGCCCAGGGAACGACAGCGATCGAGAATGCGCATTCATTGTTGTCAATTGGTATCGTGGCCACTGTCTTGGCCTTTGGCGGAGCGTTCAGTGCTTATCGGAGTAAAACTTCGAAGCATAACGTACGTCAACAGGGTCAATAATACGGATCAATGATGCCCAGGTGCCGGCAGGTGCCTTCGGTCGGCCAAACGTGTCAGCTGGGAGCGATAGCATCTCCTCATCAACCTGCTTTCCAGCTTGTCGAAGTTCGGCCACTTTCTTTTGCACGGCTTCTTCGCCCCATGTCCGATGGTCGCCTTCGATCAGGTAGAAATACCGATTTGCTGGATGAGGTATGAACTTGCGCGGCGTGTATGTCAAAGGCATGGCATCCTGCTTCAACTTGGTCCCAAGCCTAGGGATCTGGAATATGCTGAATCGACGTCAGCAACTAGACCTGACATGCCGATTCGACCACGAAATAGAGCTCAGTAGGAACAATTGGTATATTAATAAGGTTTTCGGCATGGATACTCCGACCCCTTTTCCTCATCATAGCGTTGATAGGAACACATTGAACATCGAGGGAAGGACGTACCGTAGGACGCTGCCAGCGATGCCGATCAGCCCATCGGGACAAAGCTCGGCGGAGAAACTCCAGGCGAAGTCAAGATTTTCGAAGATGAGCGGCGTGAAGTGCATCAGATTGTGATGAGTGTAGTTTAACCACGACCTGGAGGAAAGTGCGAGGATAGCTGGGTTTCGTTGAACGTTCACTCGGATCAGTCGGACGGGCCGGGTTCCCAAGAATCTGGAGCAGGGTCAGAATGTGCAAGGCACGCACGAATATCGACGTACCGTGTTCGAGTATCTGTCAACTGGCCGTTGATGGGGTCAAGCACCGTTCGGAGCAGCACACCGTTCTGCAATCCAATGTTCACGAACATCGTCGGGTGCACCTTGTTGATGCTAGCGTCGAGCATGTCCGCGATGCAGATCGCCGTCGGCGGGGCCGTCAAAGCTTGCAAACTGATAGTCTCCAACGTGCTCTCCGGATCCAATGATATGATTCGCACTGTCTGGTCCTCACAGCCAACTGCCTGTACAGAAAGGCGTCAGTACAAGCATGTATGACGGAGAAGTGCGAGGCTATCATACCAAGAAAGGTGTCCTTTGCCTTCCTTCCGGGACCTCGCCGATACTCAATGCTAGCACCGTGCTGCCCATGGCCTTGCGATCCTGGTACTCGTTCAACTGCCCCTCCAGATCCAGCTCAAAGTACACGAGCTCGGCACTGCTCAGTGCGACAACGACCTGCCTCTTGTTCGTCGTGGCAGTCACAATCGTCTTTCCCGCAGGCACGCGCCACTCGTTAACACGCCGGTCAGCAAGAACATGTCGGATGCCTTGCGGGTGTACTTGAAGGAGCGCATCGGCGCCGATTTGCTGTACAGCGATGGTGGGAGCTGAAGAGAGAAAGCCGGTATCTTGTACTTCCTCTATCGTTTCTCCAATCGAGAGGACAAGAGTGCCATTGACGAACGAGAGGATGATGTACGAGTCGTGCGCGTCTGTAGCCACGTCAGCAAAAGAACAGCGCAGCGATGCAAACCGACTTGCCATCTTCTTTCAGTTTTGTCGTCCAGACAGCGTTCGGGATACCAGGAAGGTCCGAGCTGACAGTCTCCTCGACTTCCAGGCCGTGCCTCAGGGTTCGGAAAGTACTCCTTGCTCCTCGGCCGCAAGCCGCGAAGATCTGCGGGGTATCCGAGTTCGGGAGGAGATTCATAACGCGTGCGTCAATGATAGGACTGAGCGACTCGACAGTATCCAACAATGCAAGGTTATCGAGAGGCCTTGGGCGGAACCACGCCCGTGGAAGAGCCTGGCTAGGGTAGGCCATACCGCGTTGTGGGTAATCCGCGGAGCTGAACTCGGGCTCGTCGTCGTCATCTCCGAGCTTTTGGAACTGATACAGGTGGCTGTGACACAGTCAGCCTCAGCAAAAACTTTTATCAAGTCCGTCACTCACTGATCGCCAAATTCGGACGCGACAAAGAGGAAACCAGATTTTAGAATGCATAGGCCCGTCGCAACGGGGACGGTGTCGAAGTACTTGATCTTCAGCGCGTTCACATCCTCGTCACCATTGTAATCGATCGTGACCTTGAACAAATCGCCTTCCTCACTTTGTAACAGGAAGAAGAAGTCGCCCTGTCAAGTTCGTGAGTTATGTGTTCTTCCCAGCTACAAAGAGAACATGCACATGCCTTAATCTTGTGCATGAGTGCAAATGTGATGATGACTCCCCGCTCCGGGTCATCAAGCGGATGACGTCTACGTGGGATAGGGACCCGATGTTGTGAGCCACTTGGATGCCTGTAGATGATGTGGTCCTCGCAGCAAATGAGGACTCCGGATGGTCCGTCAAACCGATCGCCAGTTTGGCCACCTGGCACTTGCACCAGGAGGTTGGCTCGAGGATCGACTGGCTCACTGGACTTGCGTACGACATGATTGAGACCCAGATCCAGTTCATAATAGGTGAGCATCTGGCGCGTAGGGAGAGTGAGCGCGAGCTGAGCAAGTTGAACTCGCATAAACGCACCTTCTCTGCATTGTTGAACGCCTCCCCAGAAGGATCCTGGTCTGACTCCGTGTAGTCCACCTCCAACGCCGCAAACATGGGGTTCTCATACCCTACGTCAAGCCCAACAATGTGATGGATGATGGCCGCGTTTTTGTGCGCTTCGAGAGGTGAGGAGATTGTAAGGTTCGCTGCCGCGTCGCGGTTGAGAATATATACAAGCTTGGCTTTCTCCATTGCCCCTATCATCACCGCGCGTCCCTTGGGGTCGGTAGCGAGATACTGTCCAGGAACGATACGTCGCGCGCCGGACTTCCCATACGTCTCCTGATGAAGTTTCACGAAACTCGACGTTTTTGGGTCATAATCCAGAATCACAATGCGTCCGGAGTCGGAGCCTACAATGGCGTAGTCTGAACGACGGCAGAAAACACGGTAAGTATGCTAAAGAACTGACACATACGCGTCGCTTACCCTTCGTGCCGCCCGTCAACCGAAACGCCGCCAACGACCGGATCGAGCCAAACACATCCGTAGCAATCACGGTCGCGACCTTCCCCGTTTGTGGGTCTGGCCGCAGGAGCTCTAACCGCGTCCCATGGGAGACGATTATTTCCTGTTGCCTTGCGCCAGAAAAGTTGCCTACAATCGCTTGAGTGACTGCAGTCGGTGGTTGAAGGGTCAAGTTGTACAAATGCATGAGACCCGCTCTTTCCCAATGAACACAGGGATTGTGAGGATGAACACCCTGACGTCGAGCGGAGGGGACGGGCAAGAGGTCGCTGACGGAGGAAGGCAGTGGCGGTGTTAAGCGCGCGGGCTGGCATCCGTCGACTGTCGCCTGGCAAGCGCACAGTGAAATTCAAGTCCAGTAGACCATTTGTGTCTGTATGTCTGTATTCGTGTCTATAAATCGCAACCAGAATGTAATGACTATTGCTACATGTAGGGGAATAACTATCTGGTTTGCTAGTCATATGCCCAAGTGAATCCACAGAGCCCAAACACTTATTGGTATTTCTTTGTCTGCTCGGAATTCACGCATGACAGAATCTAGAGCCCGTGGGATGCATCCATAGTCGAAAATTCCTTGACTGCTGCCAGCTAGCATCGCTTCGTACACCTTATGAGCTACTTGAGGGCCTGACTCATCGTCCATTGCCCTGCGAGGTATCAGGATCAGCTTCTCTCACCGAGCACTGACAGCACCACACGTACCACATAGTTCCGACTACGCTGCGAAAACCTAAGAAAAGCATCGCCGCCGCGAGGTGCACCGACTCGTCGGGAAGCCTGCCGTCGCCCATCGCCGATTCGCACGCGCTCAAGAAGGCGACCGCTGCGTTTGGCACGTCCAGCTCCATGATCCGGGAGAGCGTTAATAGGCCATCTCGTAGCGCGAACCCTGACTGGAGGGGATCTCTACCGTCTTGGGTGCCATGGCACGCCAAGTGTACCACGGAAGCCGACTGCATCTTCTCGATGAGCTCGTGAATAGTTGCTCCCCCTTCCAAGGATCCCAGTATTTCTGCAGATGGCAGTAGTTCTTTGACGCCTGAAACCTCTGCCAGAGTGTTGGGTATCGCGTCCCATTCTTCTCCAATAGGCTGAGGCTCCGCAACCAGTAGTGCAGCTGCTCCGTCCCGTTGGAGGACGTCAAGCGGAGGGTTGCGCTGAGCCTGTAAGAGAGCAGAAAGGCTGGGTGTATATGATGATATGACGTAGTCAGATGTCCATACGTCTCTCCTTCTTCGGTGCCTTCCCGCGGCATGAAGTGGAAGAAACGCAAATGGCCCAGTTGGGCACCACCAGAGACGAGGTCGTTGTTCTAGTGCACCACGCTATCGACGCAAAATATGAGTACATGTTTGATTCGCTGGAACGAAGACCGCTCACCTTCAGACCCATCTTACTGAAGATTGGGTCAACGACAAGATCCCACAAGCGTTCCAGAATATCCTTCCAGGAGAGTTGCCCCGTATCTCCGTGACGTACTTTGCATGTAGTCGGAGGCATCTTCTGGTATCTCTTCTTACTGCCGTGAGGAAAGCGTTTCCGGCGTTCGTTGTCGAGGTTCTCATGTACGTCGATGCTAAGGCCTTCGAGAACCGCACTGTCGACTCCTGGTAGGACTATCTGACATGGCACCTCCATGTCGCGGATAATCAATGCAACAGCTCGAGTCTCATTCGCCAAAAGGACAACAACCGGCCCCCCGTGGGCTACGGTAGACAATTCTTGCAATGAACGCGTCCGTAGCAGATGCTCATACCCAGGAGTTAACCGGGCCTCGTGAAGGAGTTCATCCAGCTCCTCATGCAGGGTCTTGCGACGTGTCAGCACCTGACCATCATCGCTAGCCTCAAGATCAATGGACCGCATGATCTCCGCTAATCGACGCCCGATCCCACTCGGAAGATTGTCTTCGCATTGCCTGGAGTTGAGAGCGCGGTTCCAGAAGACGGCACGGCCTTGCTCCAGCAGCTCAACAGCGACGTCTACCCGGGATCGTGAAAGCTCATGGATAGCCGCTTCCCGCGCGATGCCAGGCGCTTGCTTGAGGGCAGCCAGCCTCTCGCTTAGGTTCCCGAATAGGATGACCTGCGGCAGTAGGGTCACGGCGCATCGCAATGCTTCGGAGCGAATCTCGGGGTCGGCGTCCTTGCACGCTTTGCTCCATTCTACAGCGCAAGCAAAGCGGGAGTGGATAGGAATCTCGGCATTGTATGCACCTTCGGAGAAGTGTCGCACGGCTTCGGTTAGGTGATGTCTGTCTCCGAGGAGCGTCCACAGGCATGCATGCTCTTGAGCGCACCCTCGACTGTATTCACTGGCTCTGAGCCGGTTAGAAGATACAAGTTGCAGCCCCTGCTGACGGAAATCTAGTGCTTCGTGAGCGTGTTGAGGCTCTCGCAAAGTGTAGGCGAGCAGGCAAAGGCATCGGGCGAAGCTATCAAAGAGGTCCGATTTAAAGACGGGCGAATAAAGCGGTAGGCGATGTAAAAGGGAGCGTAAGAGACCGATAGCCTCCCGCAAGTCGTCGGTGCTTCCGTAGTGGCGGAATCGCAGCTCCAAGGCCAAGGCGATTACTGAGATGTACATCTCTGGGTTATCTTCTGGAACCACGGGAATACAGCGTTTCCCTAGATCAAGGGCGGTATCGACATCGGTGATGTCCCCGGTGTGATGATATCGGGCTATAAGCATGGTTCCCGCGTACTGCATGTACAGTAGCTCGCCTGGAATCGGAGCGTCAACCACAAGAGCGACGCAATCCATCATGAGCGATACGGCCTCCTCCAAATCCTCGAGACGTCCGCCGGATTTGTATCTGTTGTACAGGGCTTGAGCTAGATTATACAGTAGAGGGCGGAATGGTCTTCTCCCCGGTCGATACTGGGCCTTCACAGCGGTCCTTGCCACATCAATCTGTTCGTCAACATATTCGGCTCGTCCGGTGGTAGAATAAGCATCGCCCAGCGCTCCGATCAATGCCACCGACACGTTGAGGATAGGGATGCTTCGCTTCGGGCATACTTGATATGCCAATCGGGCCTGGGACAGGATCTTGTCAAAGTTCGCGGCGTTGGGTGCGTTGCTCAGCCACGTGACGAGGCGACTGAGAGATGAGCCGTAGTGTGGGTGGTTTATGTGCGCCATGAGGTCCGACACATAACCCACGGCCTGCACAACATCGTCATAAGAGACGCCTTCGTACTCAACCAAGGTGCCTTTGGCTGTTCCCCACGGAATGGAAAGAGCCCTTGCGCCGGCGAGGACAGCGAGAAGGTGGTGCGGGTGGTCCGTGGGAGTGAGCATCAATGCGTCGCGGGCGGCGCGGTATGACAATAGAAACGTATTGTTAGGACGGCCGACATCGCGATAAGCTCGTTGCAGATAGCTCAGGGTCCGTGGGCGTCGGGGATCGACCGAGCTTAGTTCACCAAGCGCCTCGGTCAAGAGTTTAGCGGCCAGTTGGAATTGCTCGAGAGGGAAGGAGGGTTGAGGGGTGTCGCCATAGTTGCGGACATAAATCGCCACACCGAGGCCGTGGAGGGCCGGATAGACGTCGAGACCATTGTCTTTCCGCAGGTCCAAGCTCTGCTGATGAACGGAGATCGCTTCCAGGGCATCTCCTAATACCGTCGTGTGTTCGAACCGCGCGCACAAGGCCTCCCCTAAGGTGTCTAGGGCGTCCTCGTATATTGGATGACTGTCCAAAACCGTGGGATGGGCGAGTAAGGCTCGAATGATGGATATGGACTCGTTCAGCAGAGGGAGGTCACCGAATAGGGAATAACGTTCGAGTAATGTCTTGCCCAATGCGAGGTTAACGCTCGGATGGGCGAAGGCTTGTTCGTTGCTAGTGAGTCGGAGGACTCTGATGCGATCGTCCATATGAGAACGCATGTCGTCGTGACGACGCTTGGCTTCATCCATATTGAAGCTGGTGATAATGGATACGATCTCGGCGGCATGACTGTCCAGCGAAGCAACACTTAGCTCTGCAAGAAAGTGAGTGGGTGATTTCTGTTGAACGGGAGAGCGCGCACCCTGAGGTATCATGGTTCGAGTACAGTAGAAGGGGATCTACGGCATCTGAGAAGATGATACTTCCGTTTTATATAGGCCAGCAATCGGTTCCATCATTCGAACAAATGAGCACTCTGCCTGAAACATAGGATGGCCGGGACCGAAGCGTGCTTGACTGTGAACGAGGAGTTAGCCGGATTGGCGAAGCGACGCAGAGATCTGGTTTGACGAACCGAGCATAGCAAGGCCGCGCGGAAACCATCGATATGAGCCAGAAAATGGGGCAAACCCCGAAAGCTATGTGTCGGTTTTCGGTGGTATGGAAGACAAGCCTGAGGGACAAGTGTCATCGGCATACGAGTGATAGAAACAGGAATAGCTTGGCTGGCGTCGACACCGCTACGCATATTCCCGTGCCTGCGGGAGCCAATGGAACGGCACGCAGCCAAACTTGCGACGCATGGGAGGAGCCGTGTAGCGAGCAACTGCGGAGTGAGTCCAGGCAGCCCCATAAATAGTGACCCCTTCGATAGCTTTGTAGTGTCGTAGGGAAGTGGATGACGCCAAGGACGGGATTCATTATGAGGATGCGAGCATCACCGTCCGTTTTGGCACGGTGGCTTGGGCCTATCTCCTAGGGCGCTGCCGCCCGCTGGTTCCAGAGAGTTCATGAACGTTGAGCTGAGCGTGGCGGTACATACATGACGTTCTGATCCGCCAAGCTGTGAGCACTGGTAGATCTATCAGGAGCTCCGTGAGAGTATCCGCTGGCCATGCACTGTGCTGCTGTAACTGGCGTTCGTGCACCCGGTAGGTCCGTATCTGGTTAGCACGTCTCTTAGACGTATGTCGTAAGCACAGATAATAATACGAGTACATACTGTAGCACAGCCGTTCGGAGACCGCTGATCCCGGTACGATATCGTGGCTCATTTGTGCGACTAAGACGCGACAGACTTGCCCGCATGCGCCAATTCGGACCTATCATATTTTGATTCGACAGCCAGAGTACTCCCTTCCAATGTACTTATGCCGTGGCATCCCCGATGTTCGAGTCCGGGAGTTGAGTTTGTAGTCTGAAGAGATGACTGAGTGGCGATTCGGGGTGGTCCGCGTTTATGGCGAGGTCCTATACGCGTCGTTCTCAACCCGGTGTCCCGATCGGGCCCTCAAGGATGAGTATAAGTGAACGCCACGTGGCAATATGTAACTCCGGCGTATGCCGGTTCGCGTCGCTCACTGAAGTTCACCCAGTCAGCCCGTACACCTGCCGTGGACACTGATGAACATGCAATTGTTCTCCATGACTCCGACCTCGTATCCGGCGATCTCGAAACTCGTAAAAAATGGTCTTCGACAAAGGGAGGGCATTGTGCAACATGAAGCCCCCAAGGCCGGCACAAGGCAAACGAAGGACAATGAAACACGAGCAACCCCCAGCAACCTTCTAAGGGCCACACAACAAAGACATGCTGAAATGCGGGAGAATATGGACATCTTCGTTCTGCACATACTGCAGCCTGCGCTTTGTCATGTCGCAAAGACCGCTCGATCCATCATCGTCACTAGCCAAGAGAACCTGCTGTTCATCGGCACTGTCATCGCAGGATCCAGAGGGATTCCTGCAGCTTGTTTCACGTCCGTGATTTAGGACCACAAAGTTTGAAGATGTCTTCATCTTCCCAAGTTGCCGAAAACGATATCGAAGAGGCGCAAAATCATCAAGTGCAAGTCGGTCCAAGCATGGCGAACGCCCCGGTCGGTGAGTCAGTCATCTTTTGTGCGCCAGCGGGATCTTACTAGATTCATTCGTTCAGCAGTATCCAACACTCCACCCAAAGGTCGCATCCATAGGAGCCGGCAAGCCATTCGCCATGTAAGAAGGGGACTCCGGTTCGCAGGCATGTCTCGCCTTCCTTGCCATGGATTCTATAGGACGGGACGGTGTCGGCCCGGCGTCGCTTGTCAGTTCTTCCACCTTCCTATCAGCGACGCCCGATGTCAAAGTATCTGCCTCGGGTGGCTCCGTGGCAGGTGTCATCCTTCGCTCGCGGACGCATGCAGGCACCAACATCATCTGCTGGTGGCTACCGTGAAGTCGGCTCAGAACTACGCTTCATCTACCACATCTCTATCGACTAGCACATCTTTCGACCATCCTCATACTAGCGCGAGACGCCACCGCAACACTTCAGCGGGCACCATTCTATCACCAACATTCACATCGACTTCCGCTACCATGACTCACGCGAGCCCACCTCATACGAGCGAATCTACGCTGACTGAAGCGATTTCAAGACGTCAAAAGCAGGTTCCCTGCTCCATCTTCTATAGGCGAGGATTATGCGAGGACTCCGTCTGTATCCAAACTCACGTACATCTCAACGAACAACACGAAGAGGTCCAAGCCATCTGTCGCCAATGGCTCCAGGGTCGATGCCGCACGAGCGACTGCTCCCGGCGTCACGGATGGCCTTCGTTCGTGACGTTCGACGAGGCAGCACGTTCGGTAGAACCCTCAGGCAAAGGCGGCAATCCGCTCGATGCGGCCCCTGATATACAGCCTTCCGCCACTTCCATACCGTTGGCCGACACTGCTTCGTCAGAGACCCGGGTTGATGTCTTCATCCCCACTCTTCAAGGCAATGCCTTCAATCCGGAAGTGACGTACCTGCAACCTTGCGCGGCGTTTTACGCTCGTAGCTTCTGTCTGCTGGGAAAAGAGTGCCCGTTTGCTCACTACTCTCTGCGAATCCTACCATTTTACACGTGTGGCTCGTGGTTGAAGGGAGAATGCCGCGACTCCTCCGCATGTTCGTCAGTGCATGTCCTGCCTACGATACAACGCACCTCTTTCGACGGAAACGGCAGGTCGCGTCGGGAGAAGCGAAAGTGGGTTCGCGGAGCTCAGGACAAGGCCACTCGGCGAGTACGTTTGAGGGCCACGCCTGTTTTGCCCAGTGGCACCGTTGCTCGGTGCTCTACCGAGGCCACAACTATCTATCCTCCCACGATCGGTACAGCCGATGGGTCTGCCATGTTCGATTGGTCCACCACCCGCGACGTGGCCCACCGACAATTTCTATATAAACCCGCGTACCAGTACAACTATGGTTGGGGATTCGACCCATCCGACACCTTCGGTCTTTACGCCACTTCAACACTACGAGATAGCCCTTTCCTGGAGCAGGCTCCTGAGGACGACTTCTGTAGAAGTCCCGATCACACGGATACCTGGACAAGCGGCGAATCCGATCAGAGCTGGTCAGATATGGTCGACGCATTGGAGAGTCTCCCTGCCGGAAGGCGAGCAAGACCTGAACCGCCCTTGCCAGAAATCGCGAACCGCCAACGACAAACAACGCCACCCCATTCGGACGTTTTGCCTGCGGTGGAGCAAGAGCAAGAACTTTCCTCGGACGCACAGACCCTCTACGAGTTCACCTCTACCAAGAGGGTCAAGGCCTCGCACGTCGACTTAGGTTCGGACTCGTACGCAGAATATCACTCTTCGAGCAGCTGCTCTGCGGCCAATATCAAAATCGCTCCGGCCAAGACCGATGCCATAGTCGTGATGACAGCGAAAACCTCAGCAGAGCCGGACTGGTCTCAGCTAGATATACACACCCTCGTTCGACTCCTTCTAGCCCGTGACGGCCCCAGGGCCGTGGATAACGACCTCATCGTCTTCATGGCTTCCACCGCCCGTCCTCCAAGTCCCTTCGCATTCCCGCAGCCCGGCAATCCCAACCCGTCACCGCCGCCCCAGTCAGGCCTACGCGTCCCGCTTTCGAACGCGCGTCAGACAGCGAAGGCGTCGTCTGTGGTAACGGCGCCGGCTTCTCCGAACACGGAATCACAATCGCACTCCAAGGGCTGGATCGGTAACGCCGTCGGCACTGCCCTTCGTTGGGCGAAAACGCGCGTGTCGGATATTGTTAAGGATGGTCAGAAGGAGAATCAAGCCACAAGCCTGCTGCCAACTTCGCAGAAGCTTGATCCCCACAAGAATGCACAGACTCTACAAGGTGCGCCTCCTGGCGCTTTCACGACGCCCACAAGCGTATCGGCATCGACAACGCCCCGTATCCCTCCGCCGCCTCCAAGCACCGTCTCGGGACTACCAAAGGCTTCGGGTCCTGTGCAACTACCCTCCAAGACGTCCCTTGTTTCCAAAGCGGCGCCGCCTCCCCCAAGCGCTGCTCCTGGCCCGAAATTGACAAGCACCGCACCGTCGGCACCCCCTGCGAGCTCCGCACGTGCTGCAGCACTCCCTGTCCCCGATGCAACGCGAGCGCCCGCACTGATCAAGTTCGTGCCGTGGCCGACGACCTCTACCCCTACTCAACCTACAGGCAAGGATGCAAATGACGGAGTCCAGTTCGTCCCTATCCACCCGATCTCCCCGGGCGTCCCGCCGTCCAGCGACCCGCCGCTGGATTGGATCGTCGGGCTCGACGGGCCACCGCCGCTCAATTACCCGTCGCCGTCAGCGCCGTTTACGGAATGGGAGCGCTTCGGGCGCGAGCTGAACCCGCTGTGGGCGCTCTCGGCCGCGCACTACGTCGCGCACCTCACCTGGACGCTGCCCGAGCGCATGCTCCTGGACGAGATTATGACCCGCGTCCGCGGAGGGCCGGCCCAGTTCTCGAGCAAGCTTGACTGGGAGTGGGTCGCGACCATGTTCAACTACGGGAACCGTCGGGCGGCGACGGCGGAGGAGGCGGCGTACGAGGAGCCGATTACGTTCGAGGTACAACCGCTCGTTCCCGTGCCATCGACCGACAATGCGCCACGGCTGGATGTGGGACCGTTCTACGAGGCGACGATACGGCGGAAGCCGCTCGTGCCGTGGACGCGCACCGGGCGCGATTGCGCGATGATGGTGTACGTTGAGATGTGGTGGGGCGAGCGTCGGCTGCCGTCCATGATCTACAAGTCTGTGGACACGGAGGAATTCTTCCACGTTTGGAGGGCGGTCGTGATGACTATGGCCAGAATCAACGTACCTATACTTCCTATGCTCATCCAGCCGAAGCTGCAAAGGGAGGATTTAAATCTGCACAGACTGACGACGCGACTTCGGAAGGGTACGTGTCTCGTCGCGCTCGAGTTTCCGGCTGATATTGATCTCGATGGATTATAGCTCGTCAAGCTCTGTCGCGACCCCTCAAGGTTCCGGCAGGCACATTCGGCGACATGTCTTACACGTTAGACACGACCGCAGCATGGTTCGAGTCTGACAAGGTCAAGAAGGCCCGTCCCCATGCCTTCCTCGAAGCACGCGACGAAGATCCACGCGACCTGCCAGTCCATCTCCGCAACTTGAAGATCCCGCCTCCACCCCGACCTCGTCCCAGTTATTGATGTCTTTTCCCCCCCAACAGAAGATGCAGCCAGATGTATCGATCGTTGTTGCGCCATCAGGATGGGCAAAGCGCTGCACTGTGCCACACCCTCATTCCAGTTTCTTCCACCCAGTTGACAGCACGTACTAGATAGATTGCATGGTAATGATAATACAATTATACAAGAACCGAGTGTGAGAAGAGATAGCGGATTGCGGATTTACTGCGAAGCAGCAGCCTGTGGGCGACGCAGATGCCTCAGCTCCTGCCCGGTGCCCATGGGATCGCGCGACGTCGTCTTGCCCGCCACCTTGAGCTTCTCCGCGCGACATTCAGCGATGAAGTCGGTGAACATCTCGATCGTGTCCAGCGGACCGCCGGCGGACTCAGGGTGGAACTGCACGCCCCAGACCTTCTTCCCCGAGTCGGCGGTGGACTTGATGCCCTCGACGGACGAGTCGTTGCAGTTGATGAAGAACGGCTCCCAACCCTCCGGGAAGGGCTCAACGAGCTTGAGCGCGTACTGATGGTTCTGGCTGGTAACATACACGCGGCCGGCCTTGATGGAGCCCGACGACGCAAGCGCGAGCACGGGCTGGTTGTGCCCGCGGTTGCCGAACGTCATCCGATACGCCTCGAGACCCGCGGCCATGCCGATGATCTGATGCCCCATGCATATCCCGAAGATGGGTTTGTCCCACTCGCGCATAGTCCGGCGCAGGTTGAGCGCAGCCTCCATCGCGTGCTGCGGGTCGCCGGGTCCGTTAGAGAGGAAGAGGCCGTCGAACCTCTCGCGAATCGCGTTGAAGTCGTAGTTCCACGGCAGGACAGTGACGGCTGCGCCGCGGCGGACGAGCGAGCGGAGGATGTTCGCCTTGGCGCCAAAATCGAGCACGGCGATCTTGACGTCGCCAATAGGGTTGAGGTCGTAAGGCTGCTTGGTCGACGCCTGGTCGACGAGGTTCTCCGTCGTCGGGTCCCAATACTCGTGCGCCGCGGGTGCAGGGAGCGCGGTGTCGTCGCCGACGGCAAGTCGACCAAGCGTCGTGCCTTGGTCGCGGAGGAGGCGTGTGACAGCGCGCGTATCGACGCCCGTTATGCCCGGCACGCCATTGCGCGCGCACCATGAGTGGAGCGACTCGACTGCGCTATGATGAGAGAACTTGGCGGCGACGTCGGCGACAACAATGGCCGCGGGCTGAACACGCTCCGATTCCAGTACAACACCGACGTCACCGTTGTCCTTGGGCGCGTGGTTGTTGGGCACGCCGTAGTTGCCGATCATGGGAGTGGTGAAGACGAGGATTTGGCCGCGGTAGGAGGGGTCGGTCATAGACTCAGTGTCTACAACAGGTCGCCCGTCAGTACGCGATACAGAGGCACTATTCAGGTATGCTTACAAGAGGTGATTGACGTCGAGAAGACCGTCTCGCCCCAAATACTGGTCGGTGCGCCGAATGCCTTGCCGGGGAATGACTGGCCAGTCTTCAGGTGCAATACGGCGGGTGTAGTGTATGGCGAGCCAGCCTGCGTAGCGAGCCCTCGATACAGACGAGGAAAGCGAAGTATTTGACGAGTGAACATTGCGTGCAAGTTGGGTATTCGTCGGTCTCAAGGTGTCAATGAGAAAACAAGGTCGCTCAGATAACTGCGGTAGCGCAATCGATGTTAGACTCGTTGTGGCGAAAGGAGAAGACGAGTATAACAACGTACTCGTCGCGAGTGCTTTGGGTGAAGATCATAAACACGAGCAGCGCTCGAACAGCACCGAAGGTTGTGAGCAAGGTGGTGGGCGAAGACAGGAAATTTTTGGTAGTCGCGACTTTCGTTACGTCCACCACGTCATGCTCATGACTCCATCTCTCTTTCCACCTCCGTTGGCTTGTGAGTCCGCTCGGGAACAGGTCGTTCAGGGCGTTGAAGTGGCGGCACCCCGAAGGTGATGCTGTATGCGCTCTCTCATTTTTCATCACTTCTTGCGCACAACAAAGCAAGCACATCGAACATCTCGACCTGATCAGAGTTCTACACGCACACGGCCTCCTCGTCCAGCCCTGGTGTGTTTTGTCAAGTGAACAGCGTCAGAAAGGCTATGCTATCCTTGATATCCCATAACACACCGGTCGGGCGGTATTTGATGCATATACTGCATGCACCTGAAGTAAGTCTTGACTACTATTCCTCGCACTCAGGTGCGGGACTGAGGCACCGATTTAGTCACCGTCCCATCAAGCCTTCGAGCGGCGAAGCTTGATATCTCGCGCATGGCTGCTCATCTGGCCGCGAAAGTTGTACATAAACAAGTAACTCGCGGGCGCTTCCTGAGTGCGCAGCTGATGATGCGACACCCACGGGAAGGTTGGCCTACCCGACAAGACCGACCATGTTTCGTCCTCTGCCCAGGTCTGTCTGCACGAGGTCGATCGCCCACCCGGCTGCAACTCAAAGAGCACGGACGCCTCTCCCTGCATCTATCTCATAGAACCTCGATGTCGCAGTTTACTGCAAGCTGCGAGCAACATCCGGAGAAGGCATCTAGTGGGAGGCGGCTTGTGGATGATTCAGACGTGAAGGTTTATTGCGATTGCTTCGCTGACCGAATCGATCAAAATTGACATAGCTCATAGATGTACGATGAATCCTTGAATGACGGTTGGGCGTATGTGTACAGTCGTTGCAAAGAGCACGACGATAACTTGGTTGAGGCGTGCTCCACCGACATCGACATGGCCCTGATCTTCGTGAGTCTGCCATCTATGCCCCCCGCTTTTGACTGACCTACTCATAGGCTGGCCTGTTCTCAGCCGTCCTGACGGCTTTCCTCGTTCAAACTTACACCCAAATGCAACCCGACAACACGCAACTCACAGCTCAGGCCCTCCTCCACATCTCCGTCCAGATCGCCAACCTCCCCGTCTCTGCTCCCAGCTCAATTCCATTCAGCGCGCCGCCGTTCCGCGCGTCGCGCTCCATCGTCGCCATTAACTGCCTCTGGTTCATCAGCCTTGCCGCCTCTCTATCCTCCGTCGTCCGCGGCATGTTTGCAAAACAATGGCTACGGGAGTACGCCAAGTGGACGCGTATCACCCCGATCCAGCGCGCGGTGCACCTCCGGCAACACCGGCATGCGGCTTTGATGGAGTGGGAGGTCCCGGACGTCGTAGTGCGCCTCACCACGACGCTCCAGGTCTCCGTCGTCCTCTTCTTTGTCGGGCTCGCCATCTTGCTCGGAACGATCAACACCGCCGTCGCCGTCGTCTCGTCCCTTACCGTCGGCGCGTTCCTGGCCGACTCGGTCGCGTGCGTCGTCGCACCGCTATTCTTCGAGACGTGCCCGTGGAAAACGCCCATGGGCTGGTTATGGGTGAACATGCAGAACATACGGCGCGAGGATATTTCGGCACGTTCAAGCCGCTCTACCCCTCGTTCGCAGATCAAGTCCATCAAACTCCGCACATTTGAGGGCTGGCGCCAGCTATTCAAGCTCGCTCTCGCGCCTGCGCGCGCCCCGCCACGACGGCTCGATCTCTACCGCTACTCCGGCTGGGTGCGGCGAGACATCGCGCTGCCCTCCATGGGACAGGACCCGATCAATGCCGTCGCATGGCAATGCACGTCGCTCCTGTGGATCGCAGCACACGAAGGGTTGAGCTCCGATGTCGTTGTACGGTGTATTGAAGGACTCCCTGGTGCTGAAATCAGGGCGCCGACCAATCTCCAGGCGAAAGGTGTCGAGTCAAACTCGGAACTCTTCTCATGGCCAGATAGCCCCCCTAAACGGTTGTGTGCGTATTGGCTCGCCATTTCGAAGCATCTGGGGTTTGACACGCAGCGATTCGTGAAGCCGTTGAACATGATTCAAGATGCTCCCTCATTCGCGAAGATACAAACCCTTGTCCATCATGCAGACGCGTTCAATCAGCTTGCAGTCGACTTGCGGCTCACTTCATGCAATTCTTCTCAGCTCCAGGCGATGCTTCATCTTCTAACGTCCGGACTCGCCTCCGTCCTTGACGGCGAACTTCGTTTTCCCGATTGTGGTGACATGTCCCCCTTCACCGACAGGAACTTGTCCTTTGTTGTACCCTCATCACTTTGCATGGTACACCTGCTCCTAGGTGAATTGCGGTGGGGTGGAGAAACCATGATATACGTCGGCCTTCTGATTAGGGCAGCAGCCTATGCTTCACGACGGAGCGATGATTCACGAACGAACGCAGAAAGTCTGTATCACCGCCTACTCGATGAAGTTCAAATGAACGGTCTTGCTAGTGAGCATCAATGGCAAGCCGCTGATTGAGTTTTGCTAACAAGATTGCAGCTTGCTCACCAGAACATCTGTCAACATTTGTCGAAAGTCTCTCACAGCTGGGAGACGTGCAAGCATATCGCTCTGGCCCTGGTATACGCTCTACCTTCTGGCGTATTGTGAACGTTATCACGTCTATCAGATCGTCGAACGGGGATGGTCCGAGCTGTACGCATGATGCGATACTGATGAGGACGGTGGAGGAGGCACTGAATGCCGAAATCTCGATTCAAGGCGCGCGGTCATATGCTGGTGAGGATACGACCTTTCCAGAAGGCCTGTGGGCGCGTATGACCGCGTTCGCGGGACGACATCGCGACTGCCAGGAGTCAGTGCAGTTCGTGTCGTCCCTTGTGCAAGCCCATCGCCTGGGGATCGCGCAATTCGAGCTGTATCCGCACTTCCGTCACTACTACCTCGCACAGGACGAACGAGAACGGATCCAGAACGTGGAGGAGTTGCAAGCATATCTCGAGGCCGAATCAAGGCGATATTCACTCGGCGATGGGCAACTGCTTTCCCCAGAGCCAGGACAAACAACGCAGGACGACTAGGCAGAGTTACATCTCTTTTCAATCTCACTAAACATCTGAGTTGGCTGTAAATGCGAAGCAGTAGAAACATGAAAGCAGTGCGCGTTTGTTCCGGAAGGGCATGGGACAACAGAGCTCAGTCGGTCTCGCGCCGTGATTGGATGACTGGACTAGTCCCAACACCCACTCGAAACGGAGTCATGTATGTTTTCATAGTTCACATCGGTCAGCATGTTCAGTTTGGAACAGGATCCACGTAAGTTTGTGAAGCGTCAACGATGCCTTCCCGACTCGGATGGACACCGGGAGGTACGAAGCATACTCACCGTCCCCAGGTGCCCCACGCGCTAGACCCACACACAACAGCACCCACATCGATACCCACATTGCTGAGGTTGTTTCAAGGTTTGAATTCGGGTAAAGTCCCGCTCGGCGCCGCCTTGAAACATACCTGATGGTCTTCGGTGTCGCTCGCAGCATCGAAGCGTTAATGCTTAATGGGGCATCGAGAAGTCAGATAGCCAATGTTAGTGGGTAAAATGATAGAAATGTACCACCTTGCTTCCTTCGTCGAATAGTCTATCGTTATAGCCCAGGTAAGTTCGTATGGGGTTACACCAGGTTGCTAATCCTTGTTCATGTGGTGGGTCCTGTGACAAGCCAACGGGAACGTACTTACTTCAAGATTTATCGCCCCTACAAATGAGCGGACAGTGAATCGCGGAAACAGTGAGATGGCCCTACCCTACTTAAGAACACCCTGGGGGATCGGGTGGAATCCACTTCTCGATAAAAATGTCAGGAAAAGACATCACGCTCTGGACCCACGCATTTGCGCCGAACGGATGGTGCGAATGAATCGCATTATCTCAATGTTCATCCACTGACCCTGCTGTGCTATAGGAAAGTGATATGCGTCTTGAACCTACTGGGCTTGTCGTACGAGTCCAAGTACCTCGACTTCAGGAAACAGGAGCAGAAATCTGCTGAGCACGTCAAGCTCAATCCGAACGGGTTCGTAACGCCTTAGCTGATCGGGAATCGATGCCGCAACTCATCCACTATCACAGGCGCATCCCAACGCTCGTCGACCACAGGAACGGCGACTTCATCGTCTGGTGAGGATACGACAATAGTTGGATGCAGAACATGCGCTAATGCACTTACAGGGAGTCCAATGCCATTTTACTATACCTCGTCGACACTTATGACGAGGGGCACAAGATCTCCGTCACCGGACAGGATTGTTTCATCCTGAACCAGTGGCTCTTCTTCCAAGCGTCTGGACAAGGGCAAGTCTTGCATATCCAAATGCGTTCCAGTCAACCGTAGTACTCACACATCGCCAGACCCTAGTACGGACAATTCGGATGGTTCGCGTCGCTCCATCCTGAGAAGATTCCGAGCGCCATCGAGCGATATCAGAAAGAAATTATTCGCATCCTGGGCGTTCTCGAGAGCGTACTTTCGAAGCAAGAGTGGTTGGTCGGCGGTAAGATGACCATCGCCGATACGTCATTCATCATGTACGCGTGCCGTTTTACAGCACTGACCTGTAATAACTGGATATCTTGACTTTCTAGTTGGAATGAATGGGCCTTCTGGGCTTTCCGTCGGTAGCCATCGTTTAATCGCTAAAGAATACCCTAACCCATAGCTCTTATTCCAGCAACATTGGATCCGGCCAAGAACATCGAGCTTGACGTATCCCGAGACTTTCCGGCTGTACACGCGTCAGAGTCCCCTTTCAAGTGATCTGAGATTGCAACATTGACGTGGAAGTATGCTCTTCAGTTGGCACCAGAAGATGACCGCACTTCCGATGATCAAGGAGCCGCTCGCGAAGGAGTTCGAGAACATGAAGGCTTCCATCGCGGCGTCTCGCTAGTGTAAGTTGCATGTCTCGAAACGACTTGGGGTACCCGAACATGCCCATGTCATGGTCAATTGCGGCCTGGGCCATTGATACGTTGTCCTGTACTGCCAATACGATTTGACCGTTTATCCCGTTCTCTGACGTCTGGAAGTGGTCGGCCTACGCCAGTGGTCCGTTACGCACATACAACATTCTGGTCGGCAGCGTCCCCGCGCCCAGTTGACGGATGTTGAGTCAACTTCCGTTTATCCGCGTGCCACTGTGCGCGACGTCGACATCTGTTGATGGATTATGGGATCAGGCGGCTTGTGTTATCGGACAAAGAGCTGCAATAGGCCGCGATTCGTCTTCGCTGGGTAATAAAGTCTAACAGGAGTGGAGATAGTTCCGATCTCCCTCGATTCCATCAGGCGTGGTAACTATTAGCAAGCGGCGAAGGGGGAGCCCCGCATTCATCTAGTGGGTCCCCTCGAGAGACTTCAGATCTCGGGAGTGTGAGCACTTAACGACTGCATTTCGGCAAGAGCTCCAGGTCACATCGCTACAAATAGGTGAGCAACGAGTTGGGAGAACAGCAGGATCCGCTCTACCTGAGAACAATCAACCATACGATCATGTCAGGCAAAGACGTTACACTTTGGACTCACGAATTCGCGCCGAACGGATGGTGCGAACGGATCACATTCGTTCGCTGATCACTCGCTGACCTGATCACGCCATAGGAAAGTGGTATGCGTCTTGAACCTATTAGGTTTGTCGTACGAATCGAAGTACGTCGATTTCAGCAAGCAGGAACAGAAATCCGAGGAACATCTCAAGCTCAACCCGAACGGGTTCGTACTGCACAAGTCACATGGACTTGTATCATTGACGAACTGCTCGTAACAGGCGCATCCCGACGCTCATTGACCACAAGAACGGCGATTTCGTTGTCTGGTATGGAGGACGGGTCATCAGGCGTCGGCTTCTGCATTAACTTAGCTTCCAGGGAGTCCAATGCTATCTTGCTCTACCTCGTCGATACGTATGACAAGGAGCATGAGATCTCCGTCACCGGTTTGGATCGGTTCACCTTGAACCAGTGGCTCTTCTTCCAAGCATCTGGACAAGGGTAAGTCCTCCAGATATACGAACCCGGAAGGCAGTAGCGACGATGAACTCACCACCCTCCAGACCTTACTACGGTCAATTCGCCTAGTTCGGGAGGTTCCACTCCGAGAAGATCCCGAGCGCGGTCGAGCGATACCAGAAGGAGATTCTTCGCGTCTTGGGCGTTCTCGAGAGTGTGCTTTCCAAGCGAGAGTGGTTGGTCGGCGGAAAGATGACCATCGCTGACATCTCTTTCGTCCTGTACGTATGCTTCTGTAACAGCAGAGTCCCCCGATGACGGTTAACACGGCGTTAAAAGCTGGAACGAATGGGCTATCTGGGCGTTCCGTAAGTACTCGATCACCGACATTCATACCCTTCTGATCCGTATATCTTATTGCAGCGACGTTGGACCCGGCCAAGAACATAGAGCTCGACATGCCTCGAGATTTCCCTGCTGTGGATGCGTGAGTGCTACGGCAAAGCGGATTCGCACTCTTAATGCTGACCTGGATTAGCTGGCACAAGAAGATGACCGCCTTGCCAGAGATCAAGGAGCCCCTTGCAGAGAGAGCCAGGAACCTGCTAGCTTTCCGAGCACGCCTGGGCCAGTGATTAGTGGCTTAGCTTGGTCAATTACGACATGACTTCGCGTGGTAGAGTTAACGTTGTCCCGTTTGACTCGTACAATTGCGGCGTTCAACTTGATGTTCCGCATCCGTTGATCCAGATCCAGATCTCCGTCTAGCTTTGTAGTTGCTTGACTATCAGCGAGTCGAGTATAAAATATCAATAATGACAGTTCTATTCCCTAAGCCGAATTCCAGTATGATACCTTCGAGATTAAGCTGAACACGAGGATGAAACCGTGATTCTTGCGTCATAGCCAAGCACGTTTCTGGAGTCAACCGATAGGGATTGCCGTAACGAACCGTCGTTCGACGCTGATCTCGAGGCGATCGTGGTCGGGACAGAGGACCGCCGCGCGCACGCCAAATTCGAGTGGCTGCAATTCCCCCTTGCCTGCCCACGATGCCGGCACGCCAGCTCCAGTTCCAGCTTTTCGAAAACCTCGGATAGCGGGCAAACCTTGCTTATAACCGTCCACCACCGTGGCTTTCGTCCTACGCGCCAGAGTACTTTCCGTGCAAAACTTGCGCTTGATCGCCCCTCGCATTATCGGCTGCGCTCGCCGCTCCATTGTCGAGGTCAGCGGTACCGCTGCTGAGGACACCCCGACGCGGCACGCATCCAAGCACACGAGATCCAAAGCTCGCGAGGACAGGACCAACATGGCGCATACGATGAGCGTGACGTTCCTCGGGACGTCGTCAGGCGGCGGACCGACCGTGTCGCGCAATTGCTCGAGCTTGGTCGTCGACGCGCTAGGAGACGGAACACTATGGAGTACGGTATTGGGTCCTTTTATTCTTCTTTCATCGAGGTACTGAACGATGCTGTGATTGCGTGTAGTGGTGGACTGTGCGGAGGGCACGCTACGCCAGTTCCAGTTCCAGCCTACACGGACCCCGCGACGTCTCAAAGTGATGGGCGTGCGCAAGGTGTTCATCACACACATGCACGGTATGCGTACACTTCCTGATACCTATGAGGCACGGCGTTGCTGACGGATGCCTCGCATAGCTGACCACATAATGGGTCTCATCACCCTCCTCCGCAACAACCTCCGCCCCGCCTGGCTCGCGAAAAAAGAAGACACGGTGAAGGACGACGCCAGCAACGTTGCGTCAGAAAACGGTCCAATCAAGCCTGGCAACTCATCATCATACTCTCCGGCGGAGAGCGCGAGCGTAGAGATCTACGGCCCCGCCGGCCTACGCTCGTTCGTCCGACAAATCCTCACCGTCACCCACACCCGCTCCGCCGACAAATACGTCGTCCACGAGCTCCTCACCCCTTCTGACCCGTCCACGCCCTGCCACCCCCGACCCCTCGACGACGACGACGACGACGCGGCCCATTCCCACGCCGTCGCCTCGCCCGACGTGCTGCACTCCAGCGAGCTGCCCGGGCGCGACGTCCTGTGCTCCGAGGACGGATTCTGGCGGAACATCGCGCGCGGGAGGGGCACGTTCCGGGGCGGCGAGGTGCGCGTCGACGCGGGCCCGATCGTGCACCGCGACCCGTGCATCGGCTACGTGTTCCGCGAGATGGCGCCGCCGTGGCGGAAGCTGGTCATACTCGGCGACACGCGGGACGCGGACGCGCTCGTGCCTTTGATCAAGGAACCTGCCGCGGCGCCGGGCGACGAAGACGGGCGTCATCCGGATCCGGAGCAGATGGAGCAGGACAGGGCGGACGAGCAAGTGTCGAGCGCTCTTGCCGACTCGCAGGCGGTGTCGCTCCTCGTACACGAGGCGACGGACGCATATATCCCGCCTTCGATCGACCCCATGGTAAAAAAAAGTGAGCCGTCCGTGTCCACCTACGGGCTCGTAATGTCGCTAAGCACAGCTGTGCCCGTATCCGAACGTGCGTAGGATCTCCCGAGCTCGTGGCCGAAAAGTGCGTCGAGCGCGGCCACTCGACGCCTGTCATGGCCGGCGAGTTCGCGAAGAAGATCGGCGCGCGGCGTGTCGTGCTCAACCATATCGGATCAAGGTACGTCCTCTTGCGCATCCGCAGAGACATAATGCTCGCATTGACGAATCTCTCTAGGTTCCCGCTACCGACGAACAATATGGGCTATCGTCTTCAAACACTGCGCGCGTCCGTCGTTGACGAGATCGCGCGACAGTGCACAGAGGCTTGGGGCTCGGGTACGGAGGCCGTCTGCGCGTATGATTTCCTAACCGTGGAGGCAAGTAACAAAAAATGGCGGCTTCCCATCTTCCCTCGCGCATCAAACTGACCTCAATGACGTTAGATTCCAGCACGAGTCACCGGCTATAGAGAAACGGTCGGAAGATTCGACAACGAGATAGACGTCAAGGACTTCGTTCCCCGTTCGAGCAGGCGCGACGACTATGCCGCCTCGGATATGGGACCGCCGATGCTTCCGGGTGGCATCGAACCCGTGATCCGTTCTAATAGAGGAGGCAACAGGGATAGGGACTTCGACCGGGGAGGTGATAGGACTCGAGACTACAACGGGGGAGGAGGCCACAGGAACCCGGACTATGACCGGGGAGAGGACAGGAATCGGGACTACGACCGGGGAGGAGGCGACAAGGATGGCGGCTACGACCGAGGAGGCGGCTTCGGTGGACGACGTCGCGACGACTATGCGAATAACGGAGATGGGCGGGGTGGTGGCAACTCCGGCTTGAGCGGACGAAGGGATCAAGGCAGCGGCAGGAGGGATATGCACACCCGCTCCCCTGCTGATCGGGATGCCGGGAGAGGGCGAGGCCGAAATCCAGCGCATGTGCCCGTGCCGGACCATGGCACGCCGCTCGACGAGCCGATGCCTTTCAGGTCGGGCGGCTACGAGAGGGAAAGAGGGTCTGGAAGAGGCGGGCCGGCACCACGCCCGGGGAGGGGTAGGGGTGGGCGCGCTGACAGCCACGGTGCACAGTCTGGGGAGAAAAGGAGGAGGACGTGAACGGGTACATTGGGTCTCGCGCAGCTGCATCCAACCTTGTCTTCCGTTTTGCATTGTAACACCTTGCCGCCCGGGTTGCCGTGGAGCACCGCGTTCACAGGTACACGTTTCACGTTCCCGCCTCTTTATCTACGCGTGAACGCGATGGTATATTCTGCTGGTGGACAGGCATGCCACGTATGAGCGGCGCCGGGCGATACCACCCGCCCCAGCGTACCGCGCTGGATTTTCTGAGAACGGCCGCAGGGTGGTGAGAAGCCCCGCGGCGGGTATGCCGACGCCCCGGAGCCGGAAGTACATGGGTCCAGATTCAAGCGCCCGTCGCTGCTCATAAGTGTCCACCGCCTCGCAAGGGGCGTCGAATTCTGTTCTCCAACCTCGTTTTGCTCACTTGCACCGTCGCTGAAGCCATGGATATTTCGTGAGCAACGCGACGAGAACTCCTCGGCTCGCGGTCCTGAACGCGCCCCGCTGACTAGATCGATCCTACAAGGTGGCTACCAGCACCCGCTGTCGCGCTCGTGGCAGGCGAAGCGGCAGCTGACCAAGTCGATGCTCATGTACCCCATCTTCATCACGGACGACGCGGACGCGGAGGTCGAGATCCCGTCGTTACCCGGCCAGAAACGATGGGGCGTTAACAAGCTCGAGGGCTTCATCGCGCCGCTGGTGAAGAAGGGCCTGAAGAGCGTCATCCTCTTCGGCGTCCCGCTCAAATGCGAGAAGGTGCGCTAGCCGCTCGAATCGCGGACCGCTCAACGAAAGAAAGAGGGGTGAGAGCTCATATGCGTTTTGTTTCGTGGGGGGAACAGGACATGGCCGGCACGCCCGCGGACGACCCGGACGGCCCCGTCGTGCAGGGCATCAAGCTCCTCCGCGCGCGCTTCCCCTCGCTCTATATCGCGACCGACGTCTGCCTGTGCGAGTACACCGCGCACGGCCACTGCGGCGTGCTGCACGCGGACGGGACGATCGACACCGAGCCGTCCGTCGCGCGGATCGCGCAGGTCGCGGCGAGCTACGCGCGCGCGGGCGCGCACTGCGTCGCGCCGAGCGACATGATGGACGGCCGGATCAAGGCGATCAAGCGCGCGCTGATCGACGCCGGGTTCGGGAACAAGTGCACGCTCATGAGCTACTCGGCCAAGTTTGCGAGCGCGCTGTACGGCCCCTTCCGGTGCGCCCTCTCCCCCCTCCCCCCTCCCCCCTCCCCCCCC